ACAAAACAAATATGAGCAATGCAATTTCAAACTTTTGCTGGCAATTTCGATATTGCTCAAGTTTGTAGTATTTGTGATACCTATAACATCGGCTTAATCAAAATTCGATTTTTCTTATGAGTTATTGAGAAAATTTGATTGCAATGAGAAGGATTTCGACGTTTTTGATAAACTAAGAGCTGAACTTTAGGGGTTCAGTTCATTTATGGCTGTAGTTTGATGCGTAGATCTCTTTTTATTGTAAATTCTTTCAGCATGGAGATCGAGAATGAATCTTTTGAGAACTTTATGAGTTTTTACACCCGTAAAGAGGTCCTTCGAGGAAAGATAGTCCAGACTACATGAAGATGCGGGTTAACCAAAAAAATCCGATGGTTTCCCCATATTCATGTAGATCTTCGAAAAAATGAGCACCAAAAAAGCCAAAAAATAGGCTTTTTATTGGATTTGTACACTAGATCAATAATCTATTTAGGATCTGACACTCTTTTTAGCCAGAGATATGAGGTCCTTTCTAGGAAAACGATCTATTCATCCATAAAAAAAATGAATTATCGTTTTCCCCAGAAATTACATGGGGAGTGGTAAAAGTAAGGAAAATCTGGGTAGTATAAATTTGTTTTTACTTTTATTTCGAAAAAGTAACAATAATCGTAAAAGGGTATTGATAGGCTTGCTAAAGTAACTAATTTTAGCTGTCAAATACTTTTGTATTTTGAAGTAAATTAGTATAAATTTGTTTTTACTTTTATTTCGAAAAAGTAACAATAATCGTAAAAGGGTATTGATAGGCTTGCTAAAGTAACTAATTTTAGCTGTCAAATATTTTTGTATTTTGAAGTAAATTAGTATAAATTTGTTTTTACTTTTATTTCGAAAAAGTAACAATAATCGTAAAAGGGTATTGATAGGCTTGCTAAAGTAACTAATTTTAGCTGTCAAATACTTTTGTATTTTGAAGTAAATTAGTATAAATTTGATATTATTTTAACTCCCTTTGAAAACCTCAATTTTCCATACAGAGGGAACGGGAATAGCATCCAATATTCCCTGAGAATGGTTGCGCATTCTCAGTTCCCTCTATATTTCGAACGAAGCTCTCATCGGTCTTTTTTTTAATACTAAACGTTTTTTTCCCCTGTCACTTTTAGCTAAAATTTGGGTTTGCCTAAATATGGTCATTATCTGGAATAAAGAGTTAAGCGTCATATGTCACTTTTTGTACTAAGGAAACATCGACTTTATGCGTTATGACTTTTCGATGAGGAAACAAGTGTTCACGTATTATAAACTTCCTTATCCCAATAAACCAACCCTAAACATAATTAATTCTAAGAATGATAATGGTCTCTTTTCTATGATAACCAAATCAATTTGAATTTTGTTCAAAAGATATCGTAATTCCATAATTTAATACGTTAAATGTTATTGAATAACTCTGATTATTCCTTTACATGCAAAATGAGTGTGTTCTTTTTTACATTTTTACTCATATTAGATCAAATTTAACCTGATTTTATACTATTAACACTTATTTTAGAGGGGATATACTTAAATCTCTATTGTTTTAATAAAAAATTAAAAAAAATATAAAAATTTTCAAAAATGTTAAAATATACTAGCTTTCAAAGAAAGTAAGTCATTTTATAAGGAAGACATTATATGTTTAGGAAGGAAATTCCGTGTAATAACCAAAATAGGAAAGAATATTCAATCATTATGAAAGAACTCTATTCTAACAATTTGTGAGACATATATCTTTATAGCGACATAGTTGCAATTCATGTTTTATCCCCTTTCCTTCATTGATTTTAATTAATGCATTCATTCACTGAATATGCATGCTCAAAATCGAACATTTGCCTTACTAATCAACGGACAATGAATGTTTAAAAATGATTAGTATTGAAAAGTAGCTGGAATTTCAGTGTTGTTTTGTATATTTATTCCAAGTGCAAATTTAAACAAAATATACTTATTCAAAGTGCAATGTTTACAAACAATCAATCAATAAAAGTCACATCTTTTTTTCACTGGAAATAAAAATGATATTTGTTTATAAAGATAAGTATTTAATTACAATAGTACGAATTTAATTTTTAGACTGAAGTTTATTCATTGTTACCGTTTTTAGTCTAAATTTCTAGGAAATGAGTAATTTATTTTGCAAGATAAAGTTCTTCGATAAAATTAGCATGAAAAATCTTCTTTCGTATAAGAGTAATAATAAGTTTCCGCAAATCTTATTGAGAATAGTACGAGAATTTTGTTTGAAATTTAAATTTTGCATAAATAAAGAATGGATGCAAGAATTTTCCAATTCCATTTTGTTAGAGTTGATTCGTGATTCCATATTGTCGATTCCTATTCCTGTTTTTGGTGCTTTACTATGATAACCAAATTGATTTGGTTATCATAGAAAAGAGACCATTATCATTCTTAGAATTAATTATGTTTAGGGTTGGTTTATTGGGATAAGGAAGTTTATAATACGTGAACACTTGTTTCCTCATCGAAAAGTCATAACGCATAAAGTCGATGTTTCCTTAGTACAAAAAGTGACATATGACGCTTAACTCTTTATTCCAGATAATGACCATATTTATGGGATTAAAAAGTTTAGGAAGCTTCTCCCCATTTAGTATAAGGTCGCCAAAAAAAGTGCGGAAATTAAAAACCGCAGTTTGAGTACTTTCTGAGAGTCTGTTTGTCAGAAAGTATACATTTGTAAACTTTCTGACAATAAAATTTTTTGGTCCTTTCAAAGTTTTTGACAATGTCAAAAAGTATACATCGGCCTCTCAACTTTCCTCTCAAACGGCGGTTTTTTAAAAACGCTCATTTTTTCATCGACCTTAAGTTATTAATTAAATTCATGTTTATTAAATCTGAAAATAAATTTGAGCATTTGTCATACTCTTATAAAAAGTGGCATAAATAACTTTTTTGTCTATATGTCAAATGATAGTTTAGCGTTTTCCAGAAAATGAACGATGATTTATATTGAAATAATTCATTGGTTGATTTAGAATAGGTGAAATTAAATTTAGAATTTAATTTTTTTGATGTGACAAATTTAAAATTTGACAAAAAGTCGTTCTGTAATGAATTTTAATATTAAACGTTATTAAATAATATAGAGATTCACGACTTATCGGATCATATAAAATCTCATGATTGAATCTGAATTTATTTTATTTTATGCCACCATTGAAAAGTATCATTTAGCTACCTTGGGCTGTACCAAATGAGATCATTGGTATATGTATATAATGAATAATAACAATTCCAAAAAATTATCAAGTAAACTCGCCTGGAATCAAAATATGATCAAATTTGGGAACAGTTCTATAGTTTACCACGTCCAAATCCTATTATTGAAACAAATCCGAATATATCTGATGAGGATAATGCATTTGTTTATCAATCTATTTTCAAAGATCTGGCAGACTATGCAATCTACTTCAAAGACAAAGATAATTATTTTATCTTATCCATGGAGAACCAATTTTTCAATGGTAATGGCACTTTATGTATTTATTGTAATTCTCAACTCGTTAGTCATCGCTTTTGTTCCTTGAAAAATTCAAGACCTTTCATTTACAGCGCGTATGCAAAAACCATTGTAAATGAAGGATCCGTTTCCGATTGTGTAAGTAAAAATCGAGGTTCAGTAACTCAATGGTTTGGACGAGTAAAAATTGATTCAGTTAACTTTTCAAGATGCAAAACAAACCAAGGATCAGCATTTTCTTGTCAATCGGTTTCAAAGACAGTTAATTCTAGTTATTGTTGTATTGATTCATGCAATTCATGAGATTATAACTCGGTTTATTTCATTTATTTAAGTTCAAATATAATAAGATCTAATTTTGTAAATAATAGTCAAGATAAAGATAATTTTGGGATTGTACACATTGATGGAAATTTTGAAAATGTTCTAAATATTGAAGATTGTATTTTTAAGGAAAATTGTAAAAACGGAATGGGCTCATATTTCAGTACTAATTCAGAAGCATCAATATATATATTTAGGACAATTTCTGATTCAATTTCTACAAAAAATGAAGGCATAACCATAGAAATGTCAGGAATGGCAACGGCCATCTTTGAAAATAGTTTTTCGGCAAACATTTCATTGAAGTGTGAAGAATTATTTCGTGAAGAGAAAACACCAAAAGCAAAGATTCCCCGCTATTCATTTTCGATTCCTTGTATGATTACTAAAAAATAATTATCAAAGAAGTGAATGCACTGCATTTAAGTGCATTGATTTTTATTTGGTGTATTATTTTTGTTGTCTGGTGGTTTTAAACGACAATGCGAATTTTCGAATTATTGATTTTTTAGCAAGAAAAAGAGCCACTCCATATATAATGCATGTTTGCACACGATATACATAGATGACATTGATGTTTGCCTTTATTTTGGTACCAAAACATGCTTGTAAAATCGCTTTTTTAGACGACAATGATAATTTTGTCACTTTTCCATACAACAATAAAACATTCTCTTTATTTGGTGTATGCAATATGACATCGTATAAACGTATGATAGACTAAATGATATAGTTAATATATTTTGATGAAAACTATTTATTCACATTGCAATCATTAATATGCATACTTTCATTATGAGGTTTATATTTTGGAGTGGTTTTTTTGATCAACATATATAAAATGAAATGATATTGATTATTTGCTTAAGTAAAACAATGAATTATCTTCGCATTGAAGCAACTCATACTTAACAATACGGAGAGAAAGAAAAGGAAGAAAAAAGAAAGATGAAGAAAATCTCATTAGTGAATTAAAGCGATTTGCTCATTAAAGATAATTCAATATTTAGATATGGAATCAATCGAATTTATTTATGCATTATGGAAGGAATATTCACATATCTTCCAGGAAATGTGAATTTGTTACAGTTGTAGCTCATTAAATATCTTTTTTATACTTTTTTTGTTTGTAATTAAAAATAAAGCGCTATTTATTTAATAATCACATTAAAATAAATACAGTTATATAAGAAAATGAAACACGACCAATACTATGATAATCACTTTTACACGAATAACCTTCACAGAAATTAAAGGAATCGATTTGAAGTCCAGAAGTTTTTAATAAATTAACTATAGCTTTTTTACTTGTACCTTGAATTAACACTCCGCATTTCAATTGAGGGCAGTCCAAAAATGCATTAGATCCAATACTTTGTATACTGGATGGAATAGTAATTTGTTTCAGTGATGTGCATCCTTGGAATGCACTTACACCAATACTAGTAAGTGAATTTTCAGGCAGCATTATAGACTCTAGATGCGCGCAACTTATAAATGCGCTGTCTTCAATATGCTGAACACCTTCAAGAAGAGAGAAGAAAACACGAGATGAAGCTGGTGGATAGACATGCATTCTGTACCTATTACTACTATAAATTGCACTACTTTCACAAAGGAAGTTTTGGGATTGGAAGGTATTGACAGTTGAAAACTTTGAGCAGCCATCGAAAACTCCAAAGCCAATGCGGCTAAGTTTGCTGCCACTTCCAATATGGATAGAAACAAGTTGGCTGCATCCTCTCAAACACTGGTCATCAAGAGTTACAACATTGTCTGGAATATCGAGAGATGTAATTCCTGTGAAGCTGAGTGACTCTTGACCTATGTTTTCGCAGTTACTTGGAATACTAAACATAGACAAATTAGTACAACCTTTGAACATGGAAGCTGACAGATTGCCAAAACCAATTGTCCCTGAAGTAAATGTAACTTGAACAAGTCCACTGTTCATGAAACAACCTGAGCCGACAGAATTTACATTCCCTGGTATAATAATATTCAGCAAAGATGTCAATCCACTGAAAGATTTAATACCTAAACTTACTTGTGATGTAGTTTTAAATGATATTGAACTGATTTTCTCACAATTCAAGAATGCATTTTCTGAGATTGTCAAAGGAGAAGATGAAGAAAACGAGAGCGAAGCAATATTCTTGTTATTTTGAAAAGCATTCGGTCCTATTGTAGTAAGATCTGCTTGGAATTTAATATCACCTGAAACTTGTGTCCCAGAAAATGCTGAATCTCCAATTGACTTGATTTTAGAGCCAAAAGTAAATGTTTTCAGATTTGAGCAACCTGAAAATGCGCCTTGTTCAATTGTTTCTAAATTTGAATCACCATCAAATGTAACAGATGTCAATGCCAATTTATTTTGGAACGAGTTCGTTTTTATAGATGTAACAGAGCTAAGGAGAACTATTTCTGATCTTGATCCTAAGTATTGCGATACAGATTTGTTTTTGTCAATGTAAATAACATAATAATCATCAAAATAAATGAATTCGTTGTTGATTGAAGTATATTTTATATTCGGATTAGAAGCCAATGCATTTCCTCCGAATGATCTTAATGACTTCGGCAATGTAATGCTAGTCAAATCATTACAATTTGCAAATGCTTCTTTGTTAATAGTTTCAACACTATCTGGAATAACAATAGACGTTAATTTACTTGAATAAAAACAACTATTATCGATTGTTTTTAAGGATTTTGGAAGAGTTAATTGCTTAAGATTTGTTGCGGCATAAAATGCCCAAGTTCCTAATGAAGTAACTTTATCCGGGATGATTATTGTTGAAAGCTGTGTACTTGCAAAACATCCACTGTTTATAGAAACTACATTTGGATCAATGGTATAGCTGTTTCCACAATTAGAGGCGCAATATATAATTTGTGTTTTATCTAAATTATAAATAGCTTTTGTATCAAAGGATAAATAAGGATTTTTATTGTTTAGTGTAATTGTTTTCATCGATGTTATACCAGCAAAAGCTAAGCCATTAACATACGAAACATTTTCGGGTACTTCGAAAGTTGTAAGCTTATCTCCATAAAACACATTTGAAGATAATGTAGTAAGCTGTGAACCAGGAGTAAAAGTAATACTAGATAGTGAATAGCATTGAGAAATTCCAAAATCTAGAATAGTAGTAACTGTAGATGTAATATTTATACTTGTGATCTTTAATTTATTTAGAGCATATTTTGATATGCTTTTTAAGCCTTCTGGAAGTAGTAAAGTAGCAATTGAATAACATTGAAAAAAAGCATATTGGCCAATATATTCTAGATCTTGGCATGATGAAAGATCAACACTTTGCAACTTCGAACAGGTGTAAAAAGCATAATCATTTATTCTTTTTAATTTCGGTTTCGATTTAAAAGAAAAAGTTTCAAGAATGTCTTTGACTGTTTTAAAACAATAGGTAATAGGATCTGTGCCACCAAAAACTTCGCAATCGCCTGAAATGATTAAATTGGATTTTTGGATGCAGATGGAGTTTAATGTCTTTCCTCCATCTGCATAGCAATAAGATGGTATCTCAGTCATATGCTAGAACTTGAATCGGTGTTTGAAAAATGTATGCTTTAGCTTAATTTGGGGAATAAAGAATTACAATACTGAACTCCTTTCAATTCAAAAATTGAATGAAATTTATTCGTTTTAGATAAGAGTAGAGGTTTTCCTGTTCATATTGGCGTCTAATTTAAAACTTAGTACCATTAAGCAAATGTACGATGCTTTCCCGATCATTGGAGTCTCACAGCTCTTAAAATCTGAACCAACTCGATTAGATAACAAGAATCATGACACGTGTGTCAAAAATCTATTCTAGTGCTTTGATATTTTGGTTTGTTGTTCAAACTTCGATGTAACTCATCTCAATTTCATTCGATCTTATGAATACTTCGATATATAAAATAAATGTTATTTTATAAAAATATATGGTATTTGAATTTGAAAATAATTCATTTTGATCAATGTTTTCAAACAATTTTTCAATACATTCTTTGATTAAGAGTTTATCATCTAATAATGATGAAGAAAGATGTAACGCCATGCATGAAATCGAACCATTGAAGCAAAACAATGAATTTTCTAATTTCTTGGTTAATTTTATACTTGATCCGAATGAAAAGATCGTTGATCGCATATTTCTAATTGGTGTCCTTCAATACAACAACCAGGTACTAGGAATTGAGCATTTTGAAGCTTTAAATGATTTGTTTAATTTGAGGCATCATCAAATGGATAATTTTCTTGCAGGATTATTTGCTCAGTATCATCACAATGCGCAAGATATAGAAGCGTATTTCCAAATTCAAAACAAATATGGTTCTATATTATGTATAACAAAATCACTTCCATTATTAAACCAAATTACAGAAAATTCAGAAGACTTAGATGAAATAATTCAAATGGTATGTGATTACGTGTCGAACATAATTCTTGATGAAAATATCGAATTTAAAACAAAGTACGAAGCATTTGAATGCATCAATATCATATGTGAATTTGAAACTTATGACTTGTCATCATTTTATTCACTTATATTTCAATTTTATTCTGAAATCACAGATATTTCACAAATTGACTGGAAACTATTTTCAAAATTAACAGAAAATGCAGTACAATACTCTGATAGAACTATGTTAGATGTTTCTTTATCGATTTTTAATAATTTATCGCAATTATCTCCTCATTCCGATAAGAACATCATTTCTAGCCTTATAAACATTGGATATGTAATTGATTATTCAATTGAAGAATACTCCAACGAAATTGACTTAAATGAACTCGTGATTTCAGCAATTCGAAATTCATTTTATTCAGAAGAAGACTATTATGAATTTAAGACTAATTTTGATTACTTCTATCAAATGGAAATAGATAATGAAGCCGATGAAGAAGATTCAGATAAATTACAAGCAATTTGTTTCAAAATTCTAGAAGATCTGTTAGATAAAGAATCAGCAACTGATTTATTGCAAAACAGTCTTGAAAATTCTAATGCTGTCGATACTGTTTTTTTATTTATTTTCATTAACAAATTTGACCTTGATTTCGATCCAAATGTACTTATAGAACGAATTAATGTAATTGACTCACCAATTAAATGCATAATAGCAAAAGGAAATTTCATTAGATATGTCATTAAAAAAGAAATATGTGATTCTGACTTTATTCAAGCAATTCTTAATGAAAACAACTCTTATTTACTTATTTATTTGTTAGACAGTATCCAAGAAAATCCAAACTTATTTATTAATTATATTCCTGCTTTATTTTATCAAATAATTGATATTTTATCTTCATTTAACTCAGATAGTGTCAAAAGTGCTTTGTGCTTATTATTAAATGTTATAACTGATGAGACAATTTGTTGCTTTACAGAAATTGATGATACTTTTATGCATTATTTTGAGAAATTATTAGATTATAGTGTTAATAGTGGAACAAACTGCGCAACAGAGGTATCTCTTATAATATCAAAAATGCTTTCTAATGATATGATATTGAACAATGTTTCTCAGTTATTATCTCAAAAAATCATTCATTTCTTTTCAAATGAATTTACTTTTGATTCAGGAATAATCATATTTGGAACTTTATTAATTGACAACATTAGTTTCCCAGATACATCATTTTATTCTCAAATATTTGATGTGTTTTGTCATAATTTTCCAAGTGTTGGATTTGTTACTGGTTGTGTAGAACAAATAATATCTATTCTATCATTTGGTCTTGAAAATGGAGTTCCTGGTATTGAAGATTCAATTTTATCATTCTTTAGAGCAGCTCCAAATATAAGTTGTTTGATTCATTGTGGAAGTATTTTAGTTCAATCAATAACTAAAAATGTTGAACTTGGAATTGAAATCATGAAATTATTGATAGTAAAAGAAGATGTTGAATCATATTTTCACATCAGGATTACAATCCCTACATTGTTTTTAAGTCTCGTCGATAACGACAAAATACAACGAGTTTATTCAGAATCAGGATTAGATTTTAACCAAATTATATCAAAGTATATGGAGGAAATGCTTGTGAAATCGAAATTTCTTTTGTTTATTGATGAAAAGATACTTTTGAAGTTTATTTTAACATTAAATAGCTTAGTCATAGATGGAAACGAATATCAGTCAATTGATATTGTTCTTCAGAGAATTAAGTCATATCTTTCTTCTAACATTGGTCTTCTTAAGAGTTTTGAATCGTCGGAAACTATTATATGGCAGACATCAAACTTTATGAAAAATGATTACGTTCTCTCTCATATTCAATGGATAACATATAAGCTGAGACAATTCATTGATGAATGTATTTGTCCATTCATACAACCTGGCACAGAATCAGAAACTTCTTATTCAGAAATTTTGCAATTTTTGAATGACAATCAATTATAATATATTATTGTTTGAATAAACAACTGTTTTTAAGTAAATGAGATTTGTAATGGCAGATTTATGCAAATTCAAATAATATGGTACAAAAATACTCAATCATGGTTAGTTTGGAGTACTAAATTGACATGTATATAAACTATTGTGTCGGTTTCTCTTAACTATGAAGCTTTAATTACTGAAGTAAAAAATTTGATGAAATAATATACTGATTTGTTCGCTTTTTATTGGTGAGAATAGAAGTTATGTTCGGAGTAGTATTAAATATTAAGTAAATTCTCTCTTCTGAGATAATTAAAATCCAAACGGGATCAATTTCGGATAGATGTTGAAGTTACATCATAAAAATAATAAAGTGTAAAATGAAAATGTAAAATAAGGCTGATAAAATGTGAAATGTCCACATAAAACGACTTCGACGAAAATCAATGTAAAAAAATGCTTTAAAAGTTAACATAATAAGCAAAAAGTTTACTCGAGGACTTCCTTGATTTCGAACCAGCCCTGTGGCTTGAAGCAAACTGGGCATGCCTTTGGAGCGACTTTAGCTCTTACGACGTAGCCACAGTTGCGGCACTTCCAGGCGACAACGGCCTCGCGCTTGAAGACTGTTGATGATTCAACTTGCTTGGCGAGTGTGTTGAAGCGGATTTCGTGTTCCTTCTCGACAGCAGCGATTCCACGGAAAGCCTTAGCGATCTTAGCGAAGCCTTCCTTCTCAGCAACATCAGCGAAGTGTGGGTAGTCTGTTGTGTGCTCGGCGTATTCACCGGCAGCAGCATTGCGGAGGTTTGTAAGTGTGTCGTTTACGCCACAGGCTGGGACCTCTGTCTCGATCTTGACAGAGCCAAGGCCCTTGATCTGGCTCCAGAAGTAGTTGGCGTGGACCTTCTCATTCTCAGCTGTTTCGATGAAGAGCTGAGCGATCTGTTCGTAGCCTTGCTTCTTGGCAACTTCGGCGAAGAATGTGTAGCGGTTGCGGGCCATGGACTCACCGGCGAAAGCGCAAGCAAGATTCTTTTCTGTCTGGGTGCCTTTAAGAGACATTAAAGCTAAGTGAAGTCATAACCTCTAAATAAAACACAATTAATAAAAACCTCAGAAATAAAAACTATAAAAAATTATCGCTTTGATAATTTGACTAAATAGCAATCGTATGAAGACTTAGAGATTTGACGGGCTTTAATCAGCTGAAATTGAATTATCATTCAAATATTTTGAATGTTTGTTAATGGCTAACAAATTTTGCAATACTGTTAATAAGTATTAACTATTTATTAATTTAAAAACTGACAAATATTCTCAAAAAATACAATGCTCGATCATTGAGCTTTCATTGGCTACATAAAAAATAACCGTATGCAAAATATGTTATCCTATCATGCATCAATTAGCTTTTTCAACTTAAAATCCTAAAATTCTCAAGAATCTGTTTGAAATTGAAATTTAAAATCATCATTAAATCCCAAGTATATTATGCGCAATAAATTTCTGGCAGGAAAACTCGTGTATTTCAGGAGTTGCACTTAAAATACCAAGAATTATTTAAATCACAAAAATATATGCCACAAAAAATATTTTGCATATGATCACTCGCTTTAACATTTTTGAAAGCAAACTATATTTCACTTTGTATTATGTCAATTATAAGAATTAAATATAATTTCATTATCTTATTCGAGTTTTGTTGATCGCCGAGCTACATATGTGAAATTTGAGCGGAAATTAGATAGAGGTTGAATTATTTTTCTTTGTTAAATGAAGAGTTGTCGATGATCTTAGATGGAAAAAAGAGAAGTGTTTCGACCTCAGACCTCAACGCCCGAGCCTGTGGCTTGGTGAGTAAATATCATGTAGCATAATAAATATATTGGTATTATTTGTTATCGAATCTATCACTTTTTACACTCAAATATATTTAAAATTGTTTTTCATTTCGAAATTTTCATTGCCACTTTGTATATTAATAGATATATAGATATATAGAAAGATTTTAAAGTATGAAGATCGTATATGCATGCAATTTTGAGAAATTTGCAAATTATCCAAATATTAAAAATTTAATGAAATTATGAATCAGAACTAAATGTAACTTATAAAAACATCCAAATTTTCTCTTTAAGTTCGGATTTAATTTTAAGAGAATTTTTCAAAGGTTTACTTCGTCACAATTTTTAAAAAGATTTCAAATAAGAAGTCCTTATTATGATAAACATAATGATTAAGAAATAAATTTACCCTTGTCAGACGATTTTATTTTTTCAGATAAATAATCGTATTCCTGGACTAGGGACTTCCACAGTAACTCTTTTTACAATATATACTTTCTATTTCTGCAAGAAAAATTACCCTTTTCTAGGGATGCGACGGTTTTACGCCATGACCGTTTAAAAATAGAATAATACGCCATTTTTGGGGCCGAATGGCGGGTACGGAGTAGCCGCCATTCGGCCGAATAACAAAACAATACAAAATTATCGCCGTCCTTTTTTTTCTCTCTCTCTCTCTCTCTTTCTTTTCTCTTTCCTCTTTTTACTCCTCTTTCTCTTTTCATCATTAAACGTAGAAAGATATATTAATATTATTTTAAAATTAAAAAAAAATAAAGAAAGTATAATAAGTAATTATTTAGTTATCGATATATATATGTAAAGTGATAATCTGAGGATAATCTGAGGAGGAGTCTGAGGATTAGACCGAGGAGTAGTTTCAGGAGTTGTCTGAGGATAATTTGAGGAGTTTGAGGAGTAGTCTGAGGAGTTTGAGGAGTAGTCTGAGGAGTTTGAGGAGTAGTCGGAGGAGTTTGAGGAGTAGTCTGAGGAGTTTGAGGATAATCTGAGGAGTTGTCTGAGGAGTAGTTTCAGGAGTTGTCTGAGGATAATTTGAGGAGTTTGAGGAGTAGTCTGAGGAGTTTGAGGATAATCTGAGGAGTTTGAGGATAATCTGAGGAGTTTGAGGATAATCTGAGCATAATCTGAGGAGGAGTCTGAGGATTAGACTGAGGAGTAGTTTGAGGATAATCTGAGGAGGAGTCTGCGGATAATCTGAGGAGTAGTTTCAGGAGTAGTCTGAGGACTAGTCTCAGGACTAGTCTGATGAGGAGGACTCTAAGGAGTAGTCTGAAGAGTAGTCTCAGGAGGAAGATCTGAGGAGGAGTCTTATGAGGAAGATCTGAGGAGTAGTCTGATGAGGAGGGGTCTAAGGAGTAGTCTGAGGATGATGAGTAATCTGATAAGGAGTAGTCTGAGGATGATCTGAGGATAACCTGATGACTAGTCTAGGAGTGGTCTAATAAAAATGTAAAATATTTTCAAAGAAAAAATTCTATGAATTTTATATTTTAATTCTTAGCATTATACTGAATAAAATAAACATAAATATCAAAATTTGAAATTGAACACGCCAAAAAATTGATAATCCACATTCAATATTTTGTAAGTGGCGTACTTTTTGAATACTCGCCATACGCCTTGGAGTTCTCAATTTTGAATTCGCCTTTATTTGGGCGACCTCAGAAAAATACGCCATTAAGAAAATATTGTATGAGATTTTAAATTTGAACACGCTCTACCTTAAGGAATTAAATTTATTAAGATATATTTATATATAATAAACGATTACTTAAAAAAAAGTATTTCATCACTTATGTAAGTTTCAAAAAAATCACGAAAATAAAAAAATCAAGATTAAAATTTTATTTTTAATTTTTGAATTTCTCAAATGGCGAAATTTTTGGGCGAACAAAAAAATGTACGCCCGGTCAAATGGCGTGTTTAACGCATCCCTACCCTTTTCTATCAAATTTTCAGTCGAAACACTTCTCAAAAAAGTTTATTTTTTTCCATTATTTTGTTATTTCAAAATTATTTCATTGATTTTGGAGATTTGAAATCGAGCAAAACAGCTTATTTTCAATTATATTTTTAGGTGCCGGATAATTTTTTTATGTTGAACTTTTGAAATATAATATGCTATCGATTGCTGTCATGAATCACTATTATCATTAATATTTATAAGTTAACATGTATCCAATAGGAAACACACATGTCAATTCCTTAACAGCCAGAATCAGCCTTTCATTTTTAAAAATTTATTAAGAAACATCTTTATTACAAACATTATTTGAATGTAAAATAAAACAATGCAATGTTAGAGTGTCTAATGTACTATTTAAAATGGCGAGCATACAAAATAAAACGATGAGCAATTTTTTTTCGATGATGCATTCTTTCTATTTTTAAAAATGCATGACTTACAATATGTAAACCATATCTATTGGCATAAATAGCCTCTACTTCTTTTGTTTACCTCAAAATTTATCGAATTTGTTCCCAAATGTGCGAAATATAACAATAAATCGACAAACATGATTAATGATAAAGAAAATTAGTACTCAAATCGCAAATTTTATGATTCGATTTCAAATTTAGATCTCAAATCCCTCATTATGACAAATAATATATGCATGCATAGGCGATTCCATTTTGATAAAGTTTTCCTATAACGATGACGATTATTTTCATTATTTTATATAGCGGTAGAATTATAATGTCAATATTTGGTCATATGAAGCCATCACGCATTGTAAAAAAGGCTATGGATGGTTTAGCTGGATTTAGAGAAACTACTTTTGCTGAAGATAAAGCTCAATATTTAGAAATTATTAGTAAAAATTTTGGTCGTATGACTGACATTCTTTATAAGAAAATTGATGGTGAAGAAGCGAGTTCTAAGTCGCTACAACTCATTAATGAGATTGCTGCTACGAATTTCATACTTGATGGAATTTTAATTTTATCAAATCTTCCGGTTGAGCATAGGAGACAATTCACAATGATATTCACAGGAGCGGTAGCCTATAAAAATAACGGAGAATCTCCTCTTGTGAAATATATTGAGCAAGATCCTGATATAATTGACACAATTATTCATTTATATAACAATCCTGAACTCGCCATTACAGCAGGAGAGATGCTTAGAGTATGTGCCACATACGAAAGTCTTACGAAACAAATCCTAAGTAAGAGTTCTGTTAATCAACTCTTCAAGTTTTTCACGGTTCCACTTTTTGATGTCGCAGCCGATTCATTTTCATTGTTCAGAGAAATATTACTATCATCACCAATCGCAAAACAATATATTCGCGATAATTACGATTTTATTGTTGAAAAATTGAATCAATTTTCCGAAAAATCCCATTACGCATCATCATTACAGAGTCTTAGACTCATCCGAGAACTAATCGAAACAAATGAAGTGTTCAATATGCTTTATTTGAGTTCAGATCGCAATTTTGATTTGATTTTACAGCACTTCACTTCACAATACAAGAATATTGCTATTGAAGCCCTTAAAATCTTCAAATTGTTCATAGATTTCAAGAAATCATCCGAAAAGATCCGAAAATTTACCAAAGATAACAAAGATAACCTGATCAAATATGCTGATGCACTTTTGGACTTCCCTCTTGATCAGAGTTTCAGAACTAATTTGATTGATACAATACAAAACCAACAATGAATCTATTTTGAGGAAATGACCAAGTTTCAACAACTTTTAGGCAGATTTCTTCATTTTGTTGGTTTTCGTAGAAAAAATCTTTCATTTTTTAATAATTTTCACTCATTTTTGACTTTTACTCTCTTATCATGTTATTATTGTTTATAAACATACTCTTTCTTTCTACTTTTTTACCAAACTTCAGTCAAATTGATAAAATATTTTTCTAATAAACACTTATTCTTCCAACCAATACAAAATAATCACATTTTTATATACGAAACAGCATATTTTCTATCTTATTTAACCAATAGAATGAGGCATTCTCATTATGCATTCAAATCACAAACGAAAGTTTAATATCATTAATATATTAACAAGCTAACTTTACACAAACTTAACTTAACATCAAGTTTGAATATCATGTTAAAATATAAATTTTATGAGTTAAAATTTGGCCAATTGTCTCAATAGTGGAAAATTTGGATATCACTTCGTATTGATACATTGCTTTATTCAAGGGAAAATATCATTTTTCCTGAAGCATCCAACAAAATAATGTCTGGTTATTTAAGACTTTAAAAAGTAACCTTTCATACCCAGACAAAAATCAGATATTCATAAATGAGGAATATTCTTGTACCAATTGCACAGATATGGTGGGATTATTTTCAGAAAATCCTCTGACGGGGTATTGCCTAAAAACTCCATTTTCTCAGACTTTTAATCTTGATTTTTCTTTCCCAATTCCAATTAAGGCCCATAAATATGTCCTGCAAAGCTTGTATAATGTGCCAAATACAAATTGTTATTGGTCTTATCCTGTTTCATGGAAAATATATTATGGAGATGACTTTACTAACTTAAAACTTTTGGATTCTGTGACTGATAATCAAATTCTATCAAAACGAGGTTTTAGTTTTGAATTCGATGTCCCACCTTTTAAGGCATCAGTAATTAGATTTCAGACTATTAAGGCCAATTATATTAATTCTTATTTGTTCGGTTTGTCTCAATTCGATATTTTTGGAGAAATTGAAACCAATAAAAAACAATTCCTTAGTGTCGCATGCATAAATCCTAAGACATTCAAAAATCTGTCATCATCTTTGTATATCCTTCTGATTGATTAAAATAAATACCCTACGTTCCCAACTTCTGGAAAACGGTTTTTCACCCTTATGATCAGTTTCAGACACTTTGGGAGTCTCCCAAACTTTGATATTTTGCATTATGATAGAGAAACGTGTCTAGTTTAACGCACAGTTGTTTTAAAGGCAAATGATGATATCACATGAAATTATCAAATTATCAAATTTTGAAGTACCAGTCCAAAGGGTCAATTAGATCCTACACAGATGTGCGATAGTGAAACATATGTGTTCTTGATTTGAGAAGTCCTACTGATAGAGGTATGAATCTCACAGCTTTGTGTGAGTGTGTCTGACACTTGTATAGAGTGGAATATGCGCCGACATATATTATATAATAACATGTAGTTGATAATTATGAAAAAATAGAATTCGATGCGAATGATATTGAAAGTTGTTTTGTAATTTGATATTTTTCTTATATGTGTTAATTAGTAAATGGCTTGTTTGTTGTGATAGTACTGTGAAAAATGAAAGGTATTTTAAATTAAAAAATTGAGATTTTGAGATATCTCTAGAATTAAGAATTTATTATGTATTTGACTTTTATATAACTATGTGTAAAGGATCTCGATGTCTATATGCTTTAAATAAAATTAAATAAAATGAGATAAAAAATTAAAATGGACAAGAAGATATATGGAAATGTAATTTGTATTGTGTTGGTTGTTGGCAAAATGATTTTAATACAGATTTAAGGATTTGGAATGGATTTGAAATTAAATGATTTTAATTCAAGGAGTAATAAGATTTTGAACTGGTTTTTATTTTGAGAATGTAAACTCCTTCCAAAAATATGTATTAGAAAGATCAATTTTAAACTTTTTGAAAGAATTGTTTTTTTGTTGAGCGATTTTCTCATATTTAATAATATATTTAAGTTGGCGTATCTTACGCCCTTCCAAAAATATGTATTAGAAAGATCAATGTCAAACTTTTTGAAAGAATTGTTTTTTTGTTGAGCGATTTTCTCATATTTAATAATATATTTAAGTTGGCGTATCTTACGCCCTTCCAAAAATATGTATTAGAAAGATCAATTTTAAACTTTTTGAAAGAATTGTTTTTTTGTTGAGCGATTTTCTCATATTTAATAATATATTTAAGTTGGCGTATCTTACGCCCTTCCAAAAATATGTATTAGAAAGATGACTTATAATTTCATAAATTATTTTGTCCCGACGGTTTGAGGGGTTATCAGAATGGTTGCTTACACAATGCGTCAGCAAAATGTCGGTTGGGGTGCCCTTCTTGGCCTCCTGAGTACTCACCAAGATACCCCCAGCTCCCGCAAAACACCTCCCTTATGTGCGCATTACCGGACGGCATTATTTTGCAATTATTTCAAATTTTTTAGATCTCTTTTGTTAAAGTTTGTTAACTAAAGACATGAAAACAGCTTACCGCTTCAAGCTGCTCTCTTCCCGGTTCCTCTGCCGCAATCTTCTGTTTGATTGTGCGCAAAGCTCTCCTCCTTGTGAACTTTGCCTGACAGATACACCTGGGAGACAGCATTCGGACATCTTACCGCTTCAAGCTGCTCTCTTCCCGGTTCCTCTGCCGCAATCTTATGTCTGATTGTGCGCAAAGCTCTCCTCCTTGTGAACCATGGCTGATAGAAAGAACTGAAAGACAGGATAGGAGGAACATGCCGGTTCAAGTTAACTTGCAATATGCTTCTGATTAGTGATTTTAGATGAAAGATTAGCGAAATCGCATTTAATTTGGATAGAAGGATTCAATTTTATGAAGCAGGCTCGTAGAAAATATGCAGGAATAGCACAATCTTTTGCAATCACAACGCGATTGCAAAACTTCGACCGACAAGAGTGTATTGTGCACTCTTGTCGGTCTGCATGTCTCATTCCGGGAGACATTGTCACTGCATGTCTCCCAGAATGAGACAATCTTCGCATTCATAACTTGAATGCGGAAGTTTGACCGACAAGAGTGCACAATACACTCTTGTCGATCTAAATGTATCTTACAATCAAAGACACTTTCATACAATCTTTTCGAAGTTAAAAAAAAAATTAATTATTTCTTTCTTTTGTTTATTAAATCGCCTTACTCACGTACTAATCTCTTTTAGAGACTCTATCGAGCTATCCCACATATAAACCGTGACAATAATACATATTTACTCTCTTCATATTCTGATCTCATGACACATTATCGCAAAAACTATAATTATACAACACATCTCATAAAGTCTCATTTTAGCCCTATCTAAGCGTTCAAAACCTATTTTCCACACGTAATCTGATTCTTCTGGCTCCGCTGATTCGATTTCTGCTGTCAGATCGTGAAAATATGCATCACATAAAGAGATAAACACAACTCAAAATTATTGCTTTTTTTTTCAAATTGTCTATTCATCCATCTTTACATATTTATTATCTCCTCCGTTTCCCCTCACAAATTCTTTTAATTTTCTGAATAATACGTATAATAAAATGAATATCTCAAAAACTAAAACACAAAATTAATGTTGGAAAATGACTAGATATAATCTGAACTTTTGAATTCATACATTTTTGGAAAAAATTGAATTTTCAAAAAAAAGAGCTTATTTAGGTATGAACCTGAAGAGAAATTTTAAGGAAAATATTAAGTTGTGCAATTTGCATTTATCTCTTTATGTGATGCAGTGACAATGTCTCCCGGAATGAGACATGCAGACCAACAAGAGTGCACAATACACTCTTGTCGGTCGAAGTTTTGCAATCACATTCTGATTGCAGAAGATTGTCTCATTCTGGGAGACATGCAGTGACAATGTCTCCCGGAATGAGACATGCAGACCGACAAGAGTGCACAATACACTCTTGTCGGTCGAAGTTTTGCAATCACATTCTGATTGCAGAAGATTGTCTCATTCTGGGAGACATGCAATGACAATGTCTCCCGGAATGAGACATGCAGACCGACAAGAGTGCACAATACACTCTTGTCGGTCGAAGTTTTGCAATCACATTCTGATTGCAGAAGATTGTCTCATTCTGGGAGACATGCAATGACAATGTCTCCCGGAATGAGACATGCAGACCGACAAGAGTGCACAATACACTCTTGTCGGTCGAAGTTTTGCAATCACATTCTGATTGCAGAAGATTGTCTCATTCTGGGAGACATGCAGTGACAATGTCTCCCGGAATGAGACATGCAGACCGACAAGAGTGCACAATACACTCTTGTCGGTCGAAGTTTTGCAATCACATTCTGATTGCAGAAGATTGTCTCATTCTGGGAGACATGCAATGACAATGTCTCCCGGAATGAGACATGCAGACCGACAAGAGTGCACAATACACTCTTGTCGGTCGAAGTTTTGCAATCACATTCTGATTGCAGAAGATTGTCTCATTCTGGGAGACATGCAATGACAATGTCTCCCGGAATGAGACATGCAGACCGACAAGAGTGCACAATACACTCTTGTCGGTCGAAGTTTTGCAATCACATTCTGATTGCAGAAGATTGTCTCATTCTGGGAGACATGCAATGACAATGTCTCCCGGAATGAGACATGCAGACCGACAAGAGTGCACAATACACTCTTGTCGGTCGAAGTTTTGCAATCACATTCTGATTGCAGAAGATTGTCTCATTCTGGGAGACATGCAGTGACAATGTCTCCCGGAATGAGACATGCAGACCGACAAGAGTGCACAATACACTCTTGTCGGTCGAAGTTTTGCAATCACATTCTGATTGCAGAAGATTGTCTCATTCTGGGAGACATGCAATGACAATGTCTCCCGGAATGAGACATGCAGACCGACAAGAGTGCACAATACACTCTTGTCGGTCGAAGTTTTGCAATCACATTCTGATTGCAGAAGATTGTCTCATTCTGGGAGACATGCAGTGACAATGTCTCCCGGAATGAGACATGCAGACCGACAAGAGTGCACAATACACTCTTGTCGGTCGAAGTTTTGCAATCACATTCTGATTGCAGAAGATTGTCTCATTCTGGGAGACATGCAGTGACAATGTCTCCCGGAATGAGACATGCAGACCGACAAGAGTGCACAATATACTCTTGTCGGTCAAACTTCCTAATACAAAATTTGATTCCCTTATTATCTTCTTAACAAAACTTAAGATTTCAATAATACATCATGAAAACATTCATTTACTACATTCACACTGTTATTCCTTTCTATAAATTAACTCATTTGATAGAATCTTGTTTTTATATCTTATTATTTTCTCATAATACTTCTAATTCCTCTCTTTCCTCTTCCACATAAAATTTAATTTTGTAATGCTATCATATACACTTAATGTTTTCAAATTTTCAGATTTAAATTTAATCTTTATTTTCATCATCATTTATAATCTTGTTCCTATATAAAGTTATAATAAATTATCGTCAGATTCTAATATTTAAGATTCTTACTACTCAATTCAATATAATTATGTTAGTCACTCATATTCAGGAGAATAATTTAAAAATCTATAGCTCATATTTTGATAGTTATATATTTAGATGATATATATTGCAATTCCGGTTTCAACACGATCAAATGCCAAACCAAGACAAAATATATATGAATTTTCAAAATATCGATTTACATTAGAATCTATATCTAATTTTATCAATACACAAGTAGGGAATGTTCAATACATCTTTGAGCAACGTGAATAGCACAATTTTATAGGATTATTTGTTGATTATATAAAATATAAGCCAAATCGAATCTGCTGTATAGTACTTTAGTTTATCATTGAATGTTAAATGTGTTCAGATAAATATTTGAGTCAGATATCGCATTTTCTAATTTCAAAATTTATCTCATGAAGTTAGAATTTATTTGATCATACAACATCATGTTAGTCAAACTAGAGTTCAATGGCGATTCTAAAATGGAACAAATGCTTGTTTTATCAAAATGTTAAAATATTAATCTAAAAAACTTAATATCTAACCAAACCATTCTAGAATTATTATATACAGGTATAGGCAATCTAAATGCACACGGAATTCGGAAAATTAAAAAGAATATTTATGAGATTATTAAATCTTATATAATTCAATGAAAAGTAGATAATATGAATATCTATAGGCTATATATCAACATATGAGTTTTTGGTTTGACCAATACTATACTAATGTGATCAAATTAATCTGATTTCTTAGATTTTCATTTGAAGCATTTGCAGTAGTAGAGGTACCTTTATATATTAACATATTAAAAAATTGCGCTCCGATTCGCAGTTTCTTCATGATTTTGAGATTGCATTAGATTTCGCGATGCAGAAAAAAATCACTTTAGATTCCCGTCAAACTCTAAGTATAAGCATGTCTCTATATGTAGAAACTGTCTGCGCTATTTATTTCCCGGCTCAAAAAACCACGGTGTCTGTGTGAGGAAAATACCCATTTTAGGACCCTGGGTACGGGGTCATGAAAATTTTCCAAGAGTTGGAAATATAGGGTATTTGCTATATCTTTGACAACATCTAAAATTGACAAATTTCTTATTTTGAAATCATTTTAATTTTCAACTATGATCATTCAACTCATCAATTACATGATAATTGAGTTAAAAAAATTTCTATAACTTTATCTAAGAAGAATAGAAGCATTATTAACATAATAAATATTATATACTCGAATTAGATAATCATAGTATTCAGTTTATTAAAAATAAATTGAATTAATTTTTTCCAAAATAAAATACAAACATTTTATTATTATACAAAAAATTCTATTGAGGGATAAGTCCCAAAAACTCATCTGGATCAATAACAGCCTCTAAAGATGTGATGCAATCCGCAAGTATTTCGTTTTTCAAAACAGATTCGAATCTCTCCAATTCTTCAACAGGGAGAGTTGTATTTCTATGTAAAACAAGTCTAATTTTGTCAAAATTTTCAGGCGTATGGAAAAAATAAGAATATTGAGCAACAATTATCAAAATAGAGCAATACATCAGTTCTTCATTCCTATACAAGACTCCTGATCTAAATTTCGTCACGTTTTTGAACATTTTTGGTAAAGATATCTGATCTCTTAAAAACAAAGCCGGCAAGAAGGAAGTAATGGTCTCACATATTCTATTCCATCTCTTAAAGTCATTTTCTACCCTTTCCAGTCTAATATTTTTAAAATTTTCCATTAAATTTTCAGCTTCAACGTAAATTTCATCATCATTCTCTAATAAATAGATCTGTTTGACTGTCTTTCGCTCAAACCTTTTACTCATGAGTATGTGGTACAACAACGTTGCGATTAATATCGAAATCGAAAGATCACAATCAGTATAAACAGCTGGAAGGCCATTCGTCATCAAATAAGCAATAAGATTGAAACTATCGGCTACTAGCTTGAGATCTGACAACGTAAACTTGAAAAATATGGTACTTAAAAGTTCTTTCAATAATTTGTTCGAAAACAACAGTTCTGAGTTGATTTCAACGAACAAATTGACAACAGATGACATGTGGTCGGTCTCCACAAAGTTTCTTCCAATTCTGTTGAAAGCAACTTGTCCTCCGCGAAATAACGTTTTATCTTTAGTGTCAAAACGTCTAAAACTGAGGGAGGAGGTTTCGTAAACCTGAGGAATTGAAAATTTTGTGGTCAGTTGCTCTCTAAGTGTCATATCGTGGATGGATAATAAGATATTGGGAGATTGATAGAAAAGTGTTTGATAAGAACGAAGGAGATCATATGACATGGCATGTACTTCCTCAACAACACTTTTTTTCGTGGAAATCTTTAAAATATTTTCAAATTCCATCAAATTATTTTTTTCATTTGAGTCAATATCGGAAAAATTCCTCTGGAAATGGCATAGAACTGTATATCTGAGAATGATATACACTCCTGATATAATAAAAGTGAAAAGAATAAGAATATTCGTAATTTGTGAAGTTTTGTTGGCAGAAGTACGAAAATCAATGGAAAAATCATTCAAACAGATTGCACCAACAAGATCCCATAGAAAGGAACCTCCTATATACACTGGTTGATGAACAATCAAAATTGATAATTCATTTCCATTTAAACGACAGTTAAAGAGCGGCTGAGTATCAGAAACTAAATTATTTCGATCAATTATGCAGTTCCAGATCGGATCTTGTAAACTATTTAAAGTCATGTAGTAAATTGTATCATTAATAACTTGTATTACGTTTTCTAGTGAGTTAGATGCTAGTAAATACCCATTATTGTCAAGAAGAGCTAGTCTGGAGTTCTCTGAAGGGTTTAAATTTTTTAATATTCCGTAAAAAGCCTGAATTGGGACAGAATGACTTGTAGTACCGTTATTTCATATGAAACAAAAAAATAACGTATATTTGCAGTGAGTAGGCATACATCGAGCCTACTCACCCAACAAACTTTTTAATCACTCTCTGGCCGACATAGAGCCAGAGAATCACATCTGCATTAAATTATGCTGAAGTTTTCTGAATTTCTCTCAGATGAGGAAGGAAATCCAGAAAACTTCAGCATAAACAAATTACAGACATCTTCTCTCGCTCTTTGTTGGCCAAGAACCACAACTACATTACACTAGGACAGAGTTTTTCCGAGGCCTCTCATCAAATGAGAGACTTCGGAAAAACTCTGTCCTATTCGATTAATTACAGAATCCTAGACCTTTTGGGACCAGGAAAGAGTAGTAAGAGTACTTTAAGGCAATGCTCATTACGAAGTCTCTCATCGAATGAGAGATTTCGTAATGAACATTGCCCATTTCGAGCAAATTTACTCCCCTAACCCTCGGAGGTTAAGGGAGTAGTACTATAGCCAACGAGGGCAATAACGTATTACTAATATCGCCAGAAGCAAAATAACTACGCAGCCTAGCTACGCTATCCTAGCAGCTAGGCTGCATAGTTATTGTGCTTCTGGCTTGCGTAACCCTCATGGAAGACCGATTGGAGATCTCCCGCCGAAATCACTTGCTGATGTGGATGGAGCAGCACTATGATTGGCCAGATCAAAGGCTGCGTAGCATCCCAGCAAGTGGATAGTCGGCGGCGACCCCAGCTGTGGTCCACCATGAGATAATGGCACTTTTTTATTTTAGCGCCAATGTCGAATCTGACAACTTAGACCCTTTACAAAGTGTCAGATTTGAAACTTTACAAATGTCAGATTTGGCGAGATTTCCAGCACTCAGAGAAAACCTTCTCTTCAGAAATAATGTATTTTTTATTGTATTTTTATTGTTTCTTGTTTGATTTATTGCTTGTTATCAATAATGTTTCTTGTTGTTTGAACAAAATAACAAAAACATTATTGATATTTTTTTTATTTTTTATTTTTTTCTATGAAGATTAAAGAATATATTTTAGTAACTTTATTAAATTTATATAGTGAGTAACAAATGAAATTCTTTCAAAGGTATACAATTCAGAAAATCTAAGGTCCAAAATTGTAAACATTGCTCACAATTTTCCTGAGAATTTGGACCCGAGATTTTGAAACTTCTATACGTTCACTATTTTTGATAAAATTTTAAAATTTCATGGGATTGTAAATCATATATTAATTAGATGAATAATGAATAAATTCCAGCATGATATACATCATTATATTAAACACTATATGTAAGGCTGGTAATTCTTTGAGGTTTAGCTGTGTTTATATATATATATAACTCTAGATTGTATATGCCGATTTTCTCCAAACTACGTATTCTACATATGCATAATATGTATAGCCTGCAGCTGTAGTTTAGGGCCAAAATTTTGGTTAGAAGGGAGTGTCCGTACCTTTCAATTATTACTTGCTGCAATATTAAGAACGGTTTTTTCATCATCATTTTCAACAAATATAATAAATTATGCAAAATTTCAAACAGATTAAATGAAGTTAATAATACATATATTTTTTCAATAGATCTTTTTGATCAATCTTCTTTATAATGTTCCAATATAAAAAGAAATTATGACACTCAGGATTAGTATTTAAATATTTGATTTATTAGTAAAGTTGCAACTTTATTTGCTATGCTCGTATAAATATTTTTGTTTATAAAGGGTAGCAGGTCTTGTTTTCATTGATATTTGCGCTATGTGAATTAAGAATTTTTACTATTTCTTCACTATTATTTTTTGATGCAATATGAAGAGCGGTAAACCCATTTTTATTTCTTTCGTTAATATTTGCGCCATGTGAAATAAGAATTTCGACTGTTTCTTTACTATTTTCTTCTACTGCAATATGAAGAGCTGTATTTCCATCATCATTCTTTTCATTGATATTTGCACCATGTGAAATAAGAATTTCGGCTGTTTCTTTACTATTATAATATGTTGTTTTATGAAGTGCGGTTTCTCCATTATTATCTTTTTCATTAATATTTGCACCATGTGAAATAAGAACTTCGGCTATTTTTTTTACTATTATGACATGCTGCCTTATGAAGAGCAGTTTTACCATATTTATCTTTTTCATTAATAATTGCACCATGTGAAAGAAGAGCATCGGCTGTTTCTACACTATCCATTTTTGCTGCAATATGAAGAGCGGTCTCTCCATATTTATCTTTTTCATTGGTATTTACACCAAACGAAATAAGAATTTCGGCTGTTTCTTTACTATTATTATCAAATGCTGCGTTATGAAGAACAGTTCCTCCATTTATATCTTTTTCATTGATGTTTGCACCGTGTAAAATAAGAAATTCGATAGTTTCTATACTATTACTAAATACAGCCTTATATAGAGCGGTTTTCCCATATTTATTTTTTTCATTGATATTTGCGCCATGTGAAATAAGAAATTCAGCTGCTTCTTTACTGTTATAAAATGCGGCAGTATGAAGAGCGGTACCTCCATCCTCGTTTTTTCATTGATGTTTGCACCTTGTGAAATAAGAAATTCGATTATTTCTTTATTATTTCTACGTGCTGCATAATGAAGGGCAGTTTCTCCAACATTATTTTTTTCATTGATATTTGCACCATGTGAAATAAGAACATTGATTATTTCTTTACAATTTTCTTCTACTGCAATATGAAGAGCTGTATTTCCATCATCATTCTTTTCATTGATATTTGCACTATGTGAAATAAGAATTTCAGCTTCTTCTATACTATTATTCCATACTGCATAATGAATAGGTGCACTATCGAATCCATCCTGTGATTTTTCATTGACATCTGCACCGTTTGATAGAAAATATTCACAAAGAGATGGGATATTAAAATTTAATGAAGTAATAACTAAAAATGATTCAAGATTATTAAATTTGACACAATTACCCAAATACATCTCTATATCGTACTCATTCATCAAAAATGTAACAAAATCAATGTTGTTTGAAATAATTGCATATTCCATACATTTATTATATGGTCTTCTGTATTTCAAACATTCACTCATGATCTCTGGATTTCCACCTAAAAATGAGAAATGTAGACAACGTTCAGTTATTTTTGAGTTGAATTTCGTTCTTAAGAACTTGAAACAATCAATTGCTCCGTGGTAACAACATAATTCAAGCAATGAATATCCTTCTTTAGAATATGCATCTGGATATAAATCGCTTTTAAGTTTTTGATCTTCATTAAATCCATTTCTTTCCGTGAATGCGATGAATCTTTCTTTGTCATTATACATTATTGCTCTGTAAATTGTATCTTCTGAATGAATTTCGAAATTTTGTGATTTAATTTTTTCGAATTCATCAGATTTGCCTAATTTAATACCATATTCTTTATAAAACAAGAAATTAGAAATGATTGAACTGCGTTTGACATCTTTGACTTGATAATCGTCAGATATACGTTTGGCAAGAGATAAATATGACTTTGTATAACGATTATTATACGGAATGATTTTCAAAATATCTCCCATAATATTTTTGGGAAGAACTTTCTTTGAATCAATCAAGTTTGTTTTGATCATTTCGTAAATTGAGATTAATTCTTCTTCTTTTTCCGTTTTCAGCTGATACAATGCATTATATGAATCGATGTAGTATTTATAAGTACTTCGAAGTTCCCCGAATCTATTTGGGTGAATGTCTTGCTCAGACATTAAATAATTTTGAAGATTGGCATATTTAAGTTTTGCAACATAAAACTTTTTTGAAATTACTTAGGAGAAAAATTTTATGCAATACATGGGGAAAATAGTGACGGCCTAGCATTTTATATTAATATTATAGATATGGATTTTAATTAAGTTTATATACATGATCTGACACAATAGCAAAGTCGAAAGTAAGAAGATTTTCATCTGGTTGCTTATATTATTATACAAGATTTTTTTGCCAATCACTCCAAATCAATTGATTCTTTGAATATATGAATAACTAACAGAAGTATTTTTTGTCTCTCAATAGGCATACTTTTCAAAGGCCAAAAATTTCTCTTGTCAAAAATTCAGCACAAAAAAAGATTCAGATCCCAACAGATCACATGATAATTCGGTAAAATGTATTATAGAAATGTAATTTTTGAAATAAAAAAAAATATTGAAATAAAATAAAACATGGATCTTTATAACTCGAAACAATAACATACTTAATGAAGAGAAGCAAGCTTTGATGACTTAACTTTTGTCAATCCTGGTCTCATAATAAGAGGTTTACCAGGATTTGATTTTCTAACAGCATCGTACTGAGGATTAAATGTAGTTACAGGAGGGCCTTTATTCACCATGGAGCCTGTTGGTGAAGACAAAGGTCCTAAACTTCCTAACGTATTAAAAGTGGAGTTAACTGGCGACGTACTTGCCAATGGATTTGTCTTGGGACCACCCATTGATTTTTGAAGGTTGTCATGAAGTTCGTTTAATCGCAATTCGTCTTTTGTTCTGTTGCAGCAAAACTCGGTCTGTTTTTGCAAAGATATCTGTTCACTTTTCTCTAACATATCGACGGCATTGTTTTGAGCGTCATCATCCGCTGACTGTTCTCTCAACATCATCATCGTATTTGTTACTTCTTCATCGATTCGCCTTTGAGTTGCTTGCATTTCTAATTTGAACTTCTCAAAGTTAAGAAGCTCTTGTATGCGAAAGATTAGCACACGTAGTTGGTAGATATTTCCATCATAACCTTGTAACATGAGTTGTTCAAGGGCGCTTGGTCGCATATTTACTGTCTTGCATAGAAAAGAATCAAAGAGATCTTGCACTAAGCTCTGGAATTGATTGAATAAATTGTATTGTTCAACTGTATTTTCAGGACTTTCGAATTGCATGCAATTAGTAGCTAAAAATCCACAAACAGGCTTCCACCATGCTTCGGATGTGAAAAAATTGCAAATCTGAATGATAGTGCGTTCGTTCATGAAATTTTTATTGAATCTAAAAAAAAAACGAAATTTTTTTTTTCTATCTGAGACCATTGTTTTTCATTATTCCAATCATATTAAACTCATATGACTATGAATACTAGAGATCTTAAATATCATTAGTATTTTATGATTATATACCTTGTGATTTCAGCTTGCATAGCATATTTGAGTTGGCATTCAATAGAAAAGTCATAATAACGCAAACAATGTCTGTTATTTATCCAGCTTGTTAAAAATAATTATTGAAGAATTTATATATTTATAAAGAAGAATTTTTTTTAGATTTGAATTACATCATATCAAAGTTTCGATGATCTGAATTTTAAAAACAAAAGCTCAAAGAAAGATGGACTTGTTAAATGATTCGTTAATCAGCTCCACAGCAATTATGTTTTCGTTCTTCAATGAATGGGATCTAAAACATCAATAAGATATCCTCTTTCATAAGTCACATGATCACATTCTTTTCATTTAAATTATGTGACTTTGTTCAAAGTTCTTCTTCACATGATTTTGAAGTTTCTTTTTCATGCGATGAAAGCTCATCAATAAAGTTTTAGACGCGTTCTTTAAAATGTAGTTCCACATAAAATATGTTATTTTACAAGAATGCCTAATTACTGTGGAAATACCAATTGGAATAATTTTGTTTTTTCCAATTATTTTTGAATAATAATAATAATAAAAAAAAAACTTAAATTCTGCAATTCGAAGACCAGTCATTCTTTTTTGTATGCAATTTATCATATGTCAGCCCATCATAATTAACCAAATTGACATTTGCACCATGAGAGATAAGGAATTTTTCCATTTCTCTACGCTCAAAACTTGCAGCAATATGAAGAGGAGTATTGCCTTCGAAGTTTCTTGCATTGATATCAGCACCATTTGAAATTAGAAACTCTGCAATTTCTATTAAATCATGACAAGCTGCTGTATGAAGAGCTGTGCCTGTCAAGTACGAGAAACCATGTGCATTGATATTTGCGCCTTGCGAAAGTAAATACTCACAAAGTTTAGTTGAAAAGAAAAGTGGAGAAATTAAAAAACATTTGTCAAGATTGTTATTTTGATCAAAATAAATTAAGAATGATTGAAGATTATTGAACCACCAACAATATGTTTCATCAATATCTAACATGTGTTCGTTATATAGAAAAGCAACAAAATCGATATTATGTGAAATGATTGCATATTTCATACATTTATTATTTGGTTTTTTGTATTTCAAACATTCATTCATAATCTCTGGATTTCCTCCAAGAAATGAAAATTTGAGACAACGCTTGGTTATTTTCATGTCGAATTTAGTTCTTAAAAGTTTAAAACAATCAACAGATCCGTGATAACAACAAATTTCGATTAATGATAAATCTGAAGTGAATTCATATTTATTCGATTTGTTATCGAGAAATTTATAAAAATCTAATGAATTTGGATATAAAAAACTTCCTAGCTTCCGATTTTCATCGAATCCTTCTCTTTCTAGAAATGATATAAATTGTTCTTTATCATCATTCAAGATTGCCCTGTAAATAGTATTTTCTTGATGAATTTTAAGTGAGTTTTTAACAGCTTCTATAACTTTGGACTTTGGTTTAAATTTCTTATCAAGAATGATGCCATACTCATTGTATATCAAATATTGAAAAAGCATCGGAACAGAAATATCTTTTAGGTGAAATTCTATGTTAATCTTATAAAATAAATACAAGTATGACTTTAAAAAACGATTGTTGTATTTCACTACTTTATAAATTGTTGAACAAATCCTATTTGGTGAGAATATTTTTGTTTCAATCAAATTATTTTTAATAATTTTGAAAATTTCGTCAATCTTGGCTTCATTTAATGTAGCGAGTCTATATATGGCTCTAAATGTTTCAATATATTCCTTATTTATTTCTATAAGAGCCTCGTAATGAGAGTTTTGCATGAAATAAAATTTTAAAAGTGACTTTTTGACAATTTTTTATTTAATCGAAAGTTTATTTACCATATTAGATGTTTCATCAAATATTTAATGGTCGACTGCAAAATTTGAAACTTCTGAAAAATGAGTGGCGATTTGCAAAACTATTCAGGCAAAAATTTTCTGAAAAATGATGTAGTGCATGGCACACAAAGAGCAAGAGAACTTGTCTGTAATTGGTTTATGCTGAAGTCACCTTGATGCTTCTCAATATGGCATTAGATTTTCAATGATGCTTCGCACCAATTGTCAGAAATTTGATTTAAATTCAGATGAGAGCAAGTGCAGCCTTACGATTGTGATTTATAAATTTATATATACCTGATGTCACAACAGGGATCTATTAGATGATGTACCAATTAAAGGTGCACTTCCCACTTTCTGACATGCTATGAAAAAATCAATATATCTTGATTTTAATAGCAGAGTTGTATGTCAGTCATATAAGGTAGTATATATTGATTTATATTTACTTTCTCCCAACCAAAAATATTAACTTTTGGCATTGGGAAATTAGGATATAAAGCTTACTTGTCAAAAAAATTGAGAGAATGTCAGAAAGTGGTAAGTACATCCTTAAGTTTTATCAAATGTTATTTATACTTGCATGAAAAATCTGACATGAGGACATTTTTAATGATGAGAGCAAGTGCAGCCTTACGATTGTGATTTATATACCTGATGTCACAACAGGGATGTATTAGATGATGTACCAATTAAAAAAAAGTGATTAAAAAAATAGAAAAATAAATAAACATTCAGCCTCGAGAGAGGGTCAAAGTTGCTATTTGTCACTTTTCCACAAGAATATAATGGGGAAAAAGTTATCATATAGTTGATCTCATTCACTGAGGTGAGAGATGCATGTAGTGTAATGTTATAAACAGTGTGATTGCTGCTCTAAGTCCTAGGTTCGAGACGCATTGGCTTCATTTTTCTCTTTTTTATTGACGTAAACTATTCAATTTTTGTGTTCTCCATTCAAATTTCAGAATTTTTTTGCAGATTTCACGCTACATTCGAAGTTACCTTTTGTAACAACCACCACTGCCTACGAAAGACGAAAGTGTGTCACGATTTCACCCGGAAATCCGATGGTTGTTTAAGAGTATGCACTTTTGTCACCTACTCCATTCAGCCTCAATTATGAATGAATATCTTTCAAAATGTTTACGAAGGAATATGAGTTTACAAACAATAAAAAAAGTGATTTAAGTGTGCACTTACCACTTTCTGACACTCTCTCAAAAAGAGATATACGGGTGTGAAGATGCATAGAAAATAAACCTTAAACAGGGAAATTTGAGAGTATGTCAGAAAGTGGTAAGTGCACCCTTAAAAAAAGAAAAATAAATAAACACATTTAAGGATGCAGACTTGGCAATTCTGAGGTCATTTTGGCAATTCTTAAAAAATTTCCGGCGAAATTGGCGTCCGAAGGGCGCCAATTTCGCCCAATAAGATACATATATCATAGTTATTAGTATTTGGTTTTAGGACCTATTTTTTTCTCCTTTTTCTTCATTTTATTTTTAATTATATTGTATTTTAATTTCTATGTGAAAAATAAATCACACTCTGTTCATTTTGATGAGAGTCCTCTGCTATACTTTGTGAGCAGTTAAAAAAATTATTTTAAAAAATTATTCGAAATATAATAACAGAAATGCATTATCTTATTGAGAATTGAATATCAGTTCAACAAATGTATCATATTCACAAAAGAACTCCACAAAACAGTTCAAATTATTAATATTATTCCAAAATAATCAAAAATTTACATAATAATTCATGTAAGAAGGCCATCTCAGATGTGAGAAAGAATTAGGCTTAAATTCGTGTTGACTAAACGGAACAATATGTATAAATGTTTTGCGTTTTTAATAAATGAGTCTGATTTGATTTTACGTGTAGTTAAATATGTTTCAGTGTCATTGTTTCAGCTTTCTTGAAGCTTATGGCAATTGGGCAATTCTCAATAACGTGCAATTGCCAAAAAAGTTTAAGGTTTGGCAATTCACTCAAATCACTGCGAAAAAAAATAACGTACGTTATTTTAAAAAGAGTTTACATTGAGTATCTCTAGTTTCGCTATAACCTAATACACAACATCACAAAAAACATAAATCCTTCGGCAAAAATATCAAATGATTCAATTTCAAATATCAAATTTCCAAAAATCATCAATAATGCCACCATTTTATTTCATAAATATATCGAAACTAAAATATAGCATCCTCTTGCTTCTTTCAGACTTAAATAATGCAAAATTTACTATTTTTTTTTCAAAACTTCGCTCATCCAAGAATTGCCAAGCTTGGCAATTCGTGATAAACAAAATTTGCGCTTTTGGCAGTTCCGACATCCTTAACACATTTTCCTACGCAAAGTCTCCTAATGGTAATCCAGTCTCAATAATGAGTGAATATGAGTTTACAAACAGTGGGGAAAAAAGTTATTTAAAAAAATAAGAAAAATACAAACAGTTTATAAATTTTTGATTTCATAAGAAAGAACGTCTGCTAGTGAAGATTCGTCAGTTCCTATCAGTTCCCACATTGTCTGCACGTACATGTTGAGGGAGTTGACGAAAGAAGGAGGAAGTCTTCTTATGAAATTTGATCTCAGAAAAATTTTTTCAAGAAAAATAAAAGCGAAGATATCTCTGTCTAGAATTGACATTCTGATGATATATTTCATCATAAGAGTTGGGTTATATATTGCAAATGCACAAGGAGGCTTTGAAAAGAGAATTACGTTTTCAATTACAAAAGAAATCAAAATTAGAAACTGTCCTGCCTTAATATCGATTCTTTTGTTGAATAGCATCGCGAGTGATGACAAAGGAATCGATTTAGAGAAGATATTGTCCATGGGATCAACAATTTTCGCAATAGAATACGTAACTTTTTCAATAATGCGTTTTTCTATGGGTATTATGTTCTCAAATCGAAATGTGTTGAGCATTTCAATGAAAAGAATGCTCCGTAAGTGATCTCTCCCGTAAATGTATTTATCTATAATGGAATCAAGGTCAAAAATGGTCGTTAGAGTTACGGGATGGAGCTTGGAGATCTTCATATCATAAATAACAAGTCCAAAGGTCTGTGAGAAAAGAGAATAAAGAGTTTTCTCGTATTGAACGACATCGTACTTAGCCATTGATAATTTGAAGGCTTCGTTTTGATCATCGATCTTGATATCCAATATTGATAACTCTTTTTGCTCTTTATACCTTTGGAATTCTGAAGATCTGAAAAATTGATGCATTGTTTGCTCCGTGTAGCCTTTTGAGAGGAGATCTGTGTACTGTACATAAGCATTTTCAAGATAGGAGTTCGGTTTGAACGTTTCGCACAAATATCTCGGTATAGGAATAATATCAAAACTTTTTGAGCGTTGTGGGCTTATTCTATGGAAGAATTGTATCATAAATGGCTCGTATGCACCATCTGCAATGGATTTACCGCTGTTTTCCAATTCATTAAACAATTGAATTTTTGATGTAATTGTTTTGAACGCTTTGTAGATGGAAAGGACATCCTTTTTGCTAAATATCAATAGTGAGTATGGTAATTTGCACGTAACTGAAAAGACTGGCGTTTTATTAACTCTTGCAACGTTTTTCGTGATTGCGTTGAGGATACAGACCGCGTTTTCGTTTGGCCAAGTATTGTTTTGTTGGAAATATTTGATGACAAGGTTTGGATGAGTCAAACTAAGTCCGAAAGGGGATCTTGAAGACCAAATCGAAAAAGTTTGGGGTAGAAATGATAAAAAGACAATGCGGAATAGTAATTCGACGTTACATGATGCGAGTTCTCTACAAATAAAGAAGATTGATGCAGGTAATAATTTTACACAGATATTTAATGAATTTACGAGAGATTCATGTATGCTTTTGAGCGTATTACTACTTGATGATGTAAATTCTCTGGAAAATTCACACCAAAACGATTCAATAAAATTTATTGATGAATATAGCAAAGAATTGGTTAAATTCTCTACCATATAGTCTGGTCCACCTGCTTGTATTAAATCGAGAACAAGAAGACCGGCTGGCTCTGAGAATTCTTGAGATGTGAAAAATCCAAAAAGTGCGGGAAATGTTGTGAATGCAAAGTTTATAAACTCTTTTTCTGGCATTGATGATTCAATTAGTGATATTGCAAATATTCTTGGCTGTTGATATATCAATTTTAAAAGGTTGATTATGATTTGAGTGGGAAGAGGATCAATTGTAGGAATGTAATCTTTCTCACTGATCATAACATTCTTCATTAATGTGTTGTATGATAGTTTTGCAGTCTGTTCGCTTAAAAATAATAATTTATATAAAACATGATAGTATCCTCTTCCGAGAATGATAATCTTACGCTGCTCATTTGTTAGTGTTTGACTTACCTCGCATTTTTTCTCGAAAGCTGATGGGATCACTCGCTTCTTTATCTCCGCCAATAATTCAGCGAGATTCTCTCCCATCGAAAGTGAATTTTTTGTTGAAACTCTTATTTATCAACACATAAATAATAAGATAATTTAAAAATGTATATTTTTCATGAAGTTTACAAATTTGAACGATTACAACATTTAAAAGTGACATAGGAGATTCATTTCCGTTTTGAATTTTGAAGATTAAAGCATCTTAAATGAATAGTAACTCTTTATGAACTATATATCTTTACCCCGCTCCAAATTGATCTTTTTTTACAATATCTTTTCTTTATTTCATGAGTTATACAATGGATACTTGTATTATCAAGCCCAATTGAACGATTCCAATGCATGTGAACTGCCTTGTTCACATATAACTCTATTTTGCTTTCATAATCATCTAATGATTTATGTCCAAATCATTCTGATCATAAAACAAGTTTTTCTTTTGGGAGAGATTACATAAGATTATCATAAGTGACGCTAGAGGCCACCATGAAATTTGACGATTTTTTCTATTGTCTTGACAAATCATGGATAATTCTGATATTTATTCATTCGGGAATCAATACACGACTATTCTAGAATAAAATTAGCAAATCAGTAAATTTTGTCACTTTTCCATTCATATTTATAATCTCTTAGAAAATCATATGAATCAGATACAATCTATGTTCGAACAGATCGACGAAAATGTAAATGCTTCATATGAAACGCTTTCTAAGATACTTCAAACTTTTATTAGTTCGGATTCAAATCTTATAGCAGAAAAAATACTAACTCTGATGGAGCAAACGTCTACTCCTGTCAATACAACGCTATTAGATATGTATCTCGTTTCAATTCTCTCAATTCAAGATATTTCAATACAAATCCGAACTTTAACGGCAATTTCATTGATAAATCCTAGTACAACAAATTCACTACCATTTCTTCCGGGCTATCTTAAAGTTTGCTTTAAGGCAGATGAATTAATTTCACCAGCTTTGCGTTGTGTTTTAAATGTAATGACAGAACAGCTATTCCTACGTCTTAAGATTGATCTAGAGCGAATTGCGCTGACGGGATCAGACACAGCCCGTAAACTTTGCCTTCATATTTTTTATCGTTTATATCAAGAGGATTCAAGTTATATTTCCTATCTTCTCGTTTATATAAAAAGAGCATTATTCGATCTGCCATGCAAACCGAACGCTTTTACGATTATTTCAGAAGTTGTTGATCAAAATCGCTCATATATACGTCCTCTTGTTCCATTTCTCATAAACGAAGTCAAGTACTGTGGGTATGTCCATTTTACGAAGCTTACTCGCGTTTTTGTCGCTTTCGCCCAAGATTCCGAATATAAATCGAAATTAGAAACAGCATTATTAGATTTACTCGAAAGTACAAGACAAATAAATTATGTCATTGAGATTTCCAAGATCGCCGCTGCCATGGAAAGCGACCAACTCATACAAATCCTTGTTTCAAGAATTGATCGAGCGATTCAGATCAATAAGAACCCCAATCTGTCATTGGAAATGGCAAAAACGCTTCATTTATTTGGCGACAAGTATCATATCAGTCGCACATCCCTTTTAGTTCTTCTTCAATCCCCAGATTATAATATAATTTCGCAAGCAATGCCATTACAGACTTCCAACTCCGATACTAATGATAGTATTAAGATAGTGAACGACATGATTGTTGAAATAGCCAAAACAGGGTCTCCTCACCTTGCAGAAGTCGCATTACAATTAGTTCCTCATCATGGAGATTGGTTTGTCACAATTTTGTTCGAACTTTACAATATGAAACTGAAAACACTGTCAGATGTAATTTGTAAAGCTGTTTTGGGCATAAAAGATCCGAAAACTCAAAGTGAAGTGATTTCTGAAGCTAGAAAACAGTTTGAAGTTATTCCGGATGACCAATTTGGTATAGCCATTGCAGAACTTATCAGTAGAACAAGCAGTAACCCTGAAGACTTCTTTATTTTGTTGCCATCAAATATTAATTACAAATCTCCTGAATTTCAAGCTTCAATGGTTTCTTTTGTCTTCGAATTTTGGCAAAGGGCTGGATTCGAAATAGATACAAGCATGATGAACAGACTTATGCTTCTTAGTTTTTCAAGTGAGAGGGAAGTGAGGCAGAGAGCCTTGGAACTCATCACTATGATAAAATCAAAGAGTTGATTAGTAAAATAGTATGTTTTTTATTATTAATTTCTTATAATATTTTTTATAATTTTTGATTCAATCAATTTTTCATTTACAGCATTACCTACAAATATCTGTTTTGTCATTTAAATGTTTCGTTTTGAATAATATTTTATGAGTTAATTATTTGTTATTCGTTCCATTTTGAATCATTTTTAATACTGTTAGATTTAGGCTATTTGGGTTGTGAAATGTTTCAATTAACACATGCTGAATTAATTCATTTTATTTCTTTTCTCATCTTCATAGCAAAGGTTCATAGCTAAAATTAGAAACCGATGCAAAATCCTTGGATTGAACTTCATTAACGACGATATTTGTGATATTTTGATTTTATTTTTTCATAGTTACTCATCATGATAGTATCCTTATAAATTTCATGAAGCATGATGACGAAAATATTTGATCAATCAATACATTCTCTGGAAATTTGATTTTATAAAAAATAAATTTAAATGAAATTAATTGTTTACAACATATATATGAATTATTTTTAACACAACTTAAAACGCAACTTGGAATTGACTAACTCTGCCTAAAATTAAACTGATATTGAGCTTAACTGTTCCAGAACTTTCTGATTTAAGTCTAAATCTATCATTTGGAGTATGTACTAAACCTTGGTTACGAAGATGTGGTGAACCTCCAACAAAGTTCACTTCTAAATCTTCCATAATTGATCCAATTGGCCTCCAAAGGTCAACTGTTATATCATGATTGCCAGGAGATGTTGGTAAATTTGCAAAGCCATAACCGCCCAAGTAAGAGCGTCCTAGAGAGTCGTGTTCCCAAACTTCGAAAGAAATTTTCGGCCAACCTTGAATACCTGTAAATTCGTAATGAATATCTATTGGATGACTCCAAATGCAAGAGTCTGATAAATCTGCTGAATTGTCGGTTTGAGTTTGTCCGTGATCTAATCCACCAAGAAGTTTCCATTGATCACCTGCAACAAGCCAATATCTGCAGAATGATCCATCACGAAATCCTGTGGATCCAATAATTCGTCCAATGAAATATGCATCAGCACTCTGTGTCATAGATAAATTTTTGAAGAATTCCGTTACTAATTTCCATATACTTTTTATTTTCGATTTAATTGGAATATTTGTAATAGGAAACACAAGTATCGTTAAAATTCGTCAATCAGTTTGTAAAATTTTGCTCTCATAAAACTGAATTAGAATATCGAAACCAAACTGCTACACTTTATAATGCCGATCGCCTGAAACATGAAAAATGGGCTCCTGTCGTATTGTTTCTGCCTTTCACATTAAATTAAGTAAGATCATTTAAATTTAGAACGCTCTCATACTCTGTACAATGTGTGTAAGATTTTGAGTGAAAAAACAAAACTTATAAGTGAAACTTTATTAGCATTGATTGACAACAAATGAAACAAATTAGCAATGGAGGAAAATGGCAGAAGTCCATTACATAATGCTATTAAATGTGCTTCAAAAAACGATACTTTGCAGCGATTGATCGAATTGATCCCAAATTTTGCAATAAATATTGTTTATATTATTTAATCTAATAAATATCTGAAAAGAAAACAATCCCTCGTTAATATTTTAATGTATATCATTAATCGTGCCATTTGCAAGGAGAATCTGGACCATTTCTAAATTTTCTCTTATTTTTGCATCATGAAGAGGTGTTTTTCCAGTGTTGAATTTGAGATTGAAATTTACACGATGTTGAATAAGTAGTTGTATAGAAATAGTATTGTTTCTGCCTTCCAAATTGGGAAGAGGTGCTTTACCATCAATGTCTAGAATATTGACTTATGAACCATGAGAAATAAGGATCTGATTCATAAATGTAATTTAATTGATAACTACAATATTTGATCAGAGGTATTTCAACAAATCTCTTTCACCATTTTCTTTTGCATAACGTTTTGCCGTTCATTCTTGATAAGTCATTACGTTAATGTCTAATATGAAGAAGCGCTTGGCATTCCAATTAAAAATTAAAAAAATCACAATTTCAGCAGTGTTTTAGAATGGTGCATAATAGAGTACCGAATTTGCATTATTATCGATCACGCAGCAATTTGCATGATTGGATATAAGAATAACGAATATTTGTTAGTTTGTATGCATGCAGGCATTATGAAGTGCTGTTGTTTCATTTCTATTTTTTGTGTTGATGTCTACACAGAGAAATATAAAATAATAGGCATGAAAAGGAGTGTGGAGATTAGGAGAATAAGTCAAACAGGTGATGATGTCTTGTGTTTTATCACGATAAATATGCCTGGATATTTTGATCCAGGACAAAGACTAATAAATTAGCATTGATATAACAATATCCATAAAGAAAAAATGAAAAATTGTCAATTGACAGTTTTTTCAAAGATTTACATTTTATAAAAATATAGAATTTTGATAAAACCGCTTTCTGACATTTATCCATTTGGAATAAGATCAGTGTCCTCAAAATACATATTTTTATAAAAAGATTTTAATTTGAATTAAAAATAATCGACAAATTAATTTTTTCAATGCTCTGCTTTTTACTGATTGCAGCTCTTTCTATTCGGCAGCCAAAACATGACGAAGGCGATCTTTTAGAGGAAGTTTTAGACGAATTAAAATCACTACGCCAAGAGCTAAAAGAATTACAGGAATCTTTACCAAAAGAAAAATCGGAATTCATACACTTTGGCAAAATTTTAACAGAGCAGGATCTTCCGAAGGCCCCTGTACCAGAACCGGCAGTAAGGCCCCCAGATACAGCTGCAAGGGATATACCACAATCAGATGTTCCAAGCTCCCCCTTACCAAAGCCGGCAGCAAGGCCACCAAATCCAGATGTGGTGGATTCAGCACGGCCAGATGTTCCACCAGCAACTCCATCACCAACGCAGATAGATATTACCCTTTAAACACGGTAAAATGAAATGTTTAGTTTTCAAATGGTTAAGGTATTTTTTTGTTTTGTTTTGTTTTTTGAAAACAACTAAGATTTTTTAGCAGGCAACCTAAAGTTGTTCAACCTCTATTATAATTATAATTTGAAATCAACCTAGAGAAGTTCATTCTCTTTCATATGAAATTATATAATGAATTAATGGAAAGCATCCATCATGCAAAAAATGTGAAAATCAATCTTACAAACAATTTTATAGGGATGAAAACATATATACAAACAAAATATAATCTAATTGTGCTCAATAACAGCACTATTCCTTCTGTGCCCAGCAGGAATCTTTCGAGCAAGATGTGAACTTTCAACTTGCTGAGATTTGAACCTAACTTTCCTTTCAACATTGGGAAATCTTAGCTGTGGTTTCTTTGGACGTATGTAATTGAAGATCTGAAGGACACCAGCAGCTGTTGGACGTTCATCAGGATCTGGCTTCAATATCATATCTAATATAATAGAAATTCTTTTGTCACAAGTAGCAGGGATAGTAATTTTTGCATCGGATATCTGTTGCTTTAACTCATCTTCTGTTGTTGCAGTATAAGGAATCTTTCCAAAAACAAGGCAATAAAAGGTAATTCCAAGTGCCCAAATATCGGCTTTGAATGGATCATGTTTAAGACCTTTAATAATTTCTGGAGAAGAAAATGTTAAAGATCCTCCAAATCTTGTAATCTTCTGATTCTTTTCTGCAGAAACTGCTAATCCAAAATCTGCAATCTTGATTCTATTATATTGGTCAATAAGGAGATTTGATGGCTTGAGATCTCTGTGAGCTATTCCCATTTCGTGACAAGCAAGAAGACCTTCTGTTGCTTGTTTGAGCCATCTAAAGATCAAAGCACTTCAATCTGTTGTCTGGACTTAATGTAGGCAAGAACCCTACCATTTGCACAATAATCAACAATAATAAATAGGTAATCACTGTCACGAAAATACGAATATATGTTAATAACTGAAGGATGATAGATTTTGGACAATGTTGTGATTTCAGCAGTAAATGATGTCATATTTTTGAAGTTGCAAGGTTGCCAACATAACAGATTTTGGCTGCAAAATATTGACGATATTGGAAAGAATAAACCTTATAGACGCACGCGAATCCTCCAAATCCGATCAAATCTTCTAATCTATAGCCTTTTTTATCCAAAGCCTTTGTAACAATATTTAGATCAAGCGTGGGAGGATTCATTTATAAATTGAATGTGTAAAATTTCTCATAAAAAAAATTAAGAAGGCTTCTTATTTGATAGCTTATTTAACATGGTTAAATATTAATTATCATTTTTATCTCTTAAGAATTTTATGAAAAGTGTATTTTACACCACAAAAAATATTTGACATTAAACATTCTAGACAGTAATAGAGCATTGCAAATATAGCGTTTTTGAAATTGATAACGAAATCATTTCTGATTGCAAATTTATTTAATTTACAATAACTATAAATACCGAAAATCAACCGCAAAATTTTCTGAATAAAAACTGTTCTATTTCAGAATTTCAAAAATTCCCAAAATTGAGAGTCTCTCAATTTATTTCCTTGATCAAATCGATCAACGTTATTATTATATTAAAACCTGAATATAATTTGGCAGATTTTTTGTGTGGAGATTTTGGACGTTAATATTATAAAATTATCGTTAATCTTTTTGCTACAATTTCTCCTAAATCATTTGTTTTACTTTTAATTAGATCGTTGAATAACCTCTTTTTACGTAAAATTCAATTGAAATTTTGATATTTCAATGCTTTGATCTTTTTGCCTTACAGAATGAATGACTCACCTAAAAATTGCGACATACAAGTTGAACTATATTGAGATATGAAAATCAATATATTTTATTAACTAATCTCTATATAATTACGAGTTCCAGATAACAATTATCGGAAATTATCAATGTATCTGTCATAATATGATACAAATTGTATATACACTATATGTGCATGTGTTTTATCTGTATTATTTTGTTCCAGAATGTCTTTTGATTGAAATTGTTTTTGAAAAGGATCTAATTACTCTTAAATGGCAAAATAATTGCAAGAGACATACTTATTTAGAAGATTAAAGTAATAATTGAAATAGTGTATTAGGTAATTCGCATACATACAAAGATTTTTTATTTAATAAACAAAAACAGTAAATGATTTATGGCTCTTCAGAATAAGAGTTCATTCTTTGGATCAGAATTTGATTCTTATGCTTTTCTTCCTCATTCATGATTTTCAACTCGATATTTGATTTCTTTAGATCATTTAACTCTTTCTCAATAGCAGACTTCTGTTTTTCAAGCTTATCTTTGCTTTCATTTACTTCTATTAGATTCCTCTTTTGTCTTTCAATCTGTTCATTCAACCCTTCAACAGTTACTTTCTGGTTATTGATAGTTGAATTTTGTTTTTCAAATTGAAGTTGGAGACGTTTTAACTTATTTTGAAGATCGAATATCTCCTTGCTGTATTGGTCTCTGGCTTCATCCAATCTTTCTGTAATTGAGTTTTCTAAACTATCAATATTAAGTTCTAGTTTCACAATTTTAGTCTTTAATGATTCGTTTTCCTTTTTACTTTCATTAATAGTTTGATCTTTAAGCATGTTGTCAGACTTGCAATCATTCAATGACTTCTGAAGGGAGTTAATTTCTCTTTTGAGCGTTTCGTATTTCATATGATAAGTATTGAATTTTTCCGTAAGTTCAAACTTTGTTTGAATTTCATTTTCAAGTTTTTCCTGCATTGAATTAATTGTTTCCTTTAATCTTTGATTTTCTAATGAAATAGATTGATATTTCTGGTCCTTAGAAACATTTTCATGCTTTATGAGATTAATATTTCTTTCATTTTGATCATTGGAAACGTTTAATTCTTCAATCATTTGTTTATGAACAAAAAGTTCATTATTCAAAGACGATTTTGCCTCATTAGCATTAAATAGCTCTAATTCAAGAGATCTGATCTTATTATCCCTTTCAGAAACCAAAAATCTGTAATCTTCTAATTCTGATTTAAGCTGATTAGTAGAAATTCTGAAGTTTGATATTAATTGTTGATTTTTAGCATTGTCTTTCTTCAGATCTTCATTTAATGATTTGAATGTTTTAACTTGAGTTTGTAAAATTGATTTTTCATTTCTTAGTGATGTTAACATTGTTTTGATGCTTTCAATATCTTTGAGCCTGCTTTCATTGATTTCTTTATGTTTCTCTGAGATCTCTTTTTGATTATTCATTAAATTTGGAATAATTTCTTCTTCATAATGATGCTGACATTGAGCTCGAAGTTCCTTTTCTGTATTAAGCTGAGAGCGAAGATTCGATATTTTATCTAGTAAATGCGCAATTAAAAGCTTGGATGTATTGAGTTTAGTTTTAATTTCAGAATTGAAAAGAAGTTTCATCGAATTGATCATTGTGGCTTCTGTAAGTAATTCTGTTTTAATATCTCTTACTTGATTCTTAAGCTTAATTAGTTCAGGATCATAAGGTTTGAATAAACTAATTTGTTGTCCAAGTTTCTCTGTATTTTGTGGTTGGGAGTTAATTTGTTTTAGTGCAAGTTGTGCACGTAATTCGGAAACCTCAGATTGAAGCTTTTTAATTTGAATTTCTTGCGTTTTAATTTGTTTCTTGTAAAATAATTCTTTCTGGTTTTGTTGAGCTGCAGCATCTATAACTTGTTTACCAAGAGATCTTATTTGTTCAGAATCGATATTTTCGGTTGCGTGACGATATTTTTGAAGTTGGGCTGACAATTTCTTAATATGTATTTCACGGTCATTGTTAACTATGTTATTTATAATCTCTCCAACTCTGTTTGTAACGAAACTAAATGAATTTGGACTTGATAACATTTGTTTAACGATTTTATCTGATGCAACTTGAGTTAAAACTTTATTTAGTGATTTATAGAAACTTTTTGAGCGTGATTCATCAAGAGTAATAACTGGTTGTTTCTGTATTGGCTTAGATTCGTTCATTTTAGTTTTTTCTTAAACGTACACTAATTTAATCAACCAATGGGATTTTATTTGATTTTTGAAATATTCTGATGGTGAATATCAAAATCTTAAATATTTATTTCAATGACTAAGAAATTTGCTCTATTTGTGGCACTTTTTGGCGCCAAAAATGGAAAAAACAATTGTCGTCCACGATCAAACTTTTCATGCTGATGATGCATTTGCATGCTTTGTATTCTTGCATACCGAAGAATTTCGCGGTGCAAAAATTATTCGTACAAGAAATCAAGAAATTATCGATAAAGCAGATGCTGTAGCTGATGTCGGCGGTATTTACGATCCAGAGAAGCGCAGATTCGATCATCACCAACTTTCATTCGATTTCAAGTTCCCAGGTTGCGAAATTCCATGCGCAGCAGCTGGTGCTGTTTATTATCACTTCGGAAAGGAAGCAATCAAGAACATCCTTGCAGAAAACAATCGTGATGCTGGAGAGCACCTTGATTACCTCTGGAACGAAATGTATTTCGTTTTTCTTAAAGAAGTTGATGCAATCGACAACGGAGTCAACATGTACCCAACAGATGTCGAGGTTACATACTCTATCAACACAGGTATTTCTAGCAGAATCGCTCTTCTCAATCCTCACTGGAAGACAAAAGATCCAGATCCATACGGCCAATTCATGAAAGCTATTGAATTGATTGGAAAAGAGTTTACAGATAGACTTCTCTTCATGCTTGACTCACAAGTTCCTGCTATGGACGTTGTTAAGCGCGCATATTACGACAGATTTAACGTAGACGAAAGCGGAAAGATTATGATCCTCTCCGAAAGCTGCGGATTCGAGAAACACCTTAAGCGCTTTGAAGAAGAGGAAGAGAACGAAGATAAGCCAAGAGTTCTCTATGTTATTTCCCAAAGAAACGACGGATCATACAACATCAAGGCTGTTGGCACTGGAAAGGGCTTTGAGCTTAGAAAGGCATTACCATTCCCAGGACTTAGAGATGAAGAACTTTCAACTAAATCTGGAATTCCAGGAGCAATTTTCGTTCACAAGTCTGGTTTCCTTGGTGCATACAAGGAATTAGACCAAGCTGTTCAATTCGCAAAGCTTGCTTTGGCCCAACCAACACCAGAAATCCTTCCACCAAAGAAGGAGAAGAAACCAGAAGAGGAAAAGAAGACTGAAGAAGGAGCCAAGCCAGAAGAAGAAAAGAAGGAGGAAGAGAAGAAGGAATAATTCATTCATCCCCATATTTTTTAATAATAAATTATATATCTATTGTTAAATATCTTTTTATTTATGGAACAAAATATCTATATACCGCAGAATTTAAATGTATTGATTTCATCATACTTTTGAAGATAATTTCATTCGAAAGTTTGAAAAGCGCTTTATAAAACTAAGAGGAAGGAAGTATATAATTTTTGATGGGCAATTTTGCATATATTCTTTTAATCAATCCATAATTGTGCAATATTGCTTATCATCTTTGCAATTTTAATGTTGTTTATAGTAATTTCCCAAAATCATATAGTTGATTCAAATTTAATTGAGTCAAAGAGTAAAATGATTTATGACTTACTTGCTGTAATCTTAATTCACATCGATTTGCAATCATTTATTTGCTTTTAGAAAAGATTTAAGTTGATTTTGCAACATTGTAGTCTTCAATATGTCGTTATCACATCTTTCTAACAAATAACGCAATATTTTTGTAAACTTCAGAAATTTAAAAACGAACAATATGGCGCACAGCTCTCGGAAGGATCAGCAGCAACAGCAAATAATTCCCGAGAACTTTTACGACAATTTGCTCGTCAATCAAAATGCATCAACACACATCGTTCATGAAATTTTAGAACAAATTATCACTGAAGGTGCTCAAATCTTACATACAAAATACTTACACTCGCAAATCAAACCATACGCTTCGAGAACCCTCGCAAGAGAACTTGTTATGAATGCTTCTTGGGCATTAGAACCGATTGGTCCAAATGATGTCACAGCAGAACCAGACGAGGATTTAGAAATACCTCCAATTGATGAGTGGGCAGGTGGTGTTCTTCCTGTACGCTCTGCTGATGCTACAGGATTGCGTTCTGCTGTTCCACCTCCAAGAGAACCGAAAGTTCAAACTTCAAACTCAACGAGGCCTCATCCACAAGTTGTCACTCAACAAAGACAGCTCCCACAACAAGAGTCTAAAACAACAACATCGCAAGCAACACATAGAAGCCAAAAAGGAAATACACAAAAAGAAGCTCCACGAAAGAAGCCAAAGCCACAAGTATCAGAAGCAGTCGCTATTACAAGAGCTTTCGAGGAAGCAAAGAAGAAGACCGCTGTATCTATGAAAGCTGTCACTGTAGATTCAGATTTTTCCGTTATTCAGATTACAGAACCGAAAGGACTCCCTCCAGCTCTTATTGTTCCTAAAGTAACTACAAAGCGTGCCCAGCATGTTGAACAGCCTACAACTGGTGGCCGTCAACAAGCAAGAGCCGTTATTCGTAAACCTCAACCACAACAGAAGAGAAGAGTTGTACCTAAACTCGTGGAACCAGATCAGCCTATATTTGATGAAGAAATTGCAGAAGTTTCATACTCAGATAAATTTATTTGCGCTCCTGGTGTTACATTTAAAGATGGAACAGTGGTTAAATCTAGAGCACAACAAGCTAATCCTAACCAGATGACTAGAGCTCAATATGAAGCATATCTTGAGGAAATGAAGAGAGGCGATTCGAATTAGTAGATTATATATTTATTTTAAATCAATGTAAACAAAATGTTCGTATAAGAATATCGTAATATTTATTATTCATCAAATTTTTCATAACATTTTTCTTCTTTTAATGGAAATAGGAACTCATTTCGAATGATATTAACATTGAGATGAAGTTTATTGGTAGAATTTTAGCTGATAGTGGAAATTCTTATTTGAAACTCCTTTAATCTTTCAAGTGATAAAAGAAATACAGTTTGATATTGTTCTATTATGCATAGAATATCTTATTAGCTGTATTTCATGGGTAATTGATCATTTTATCACTAAAATCATTTTGGAAATTTTTTTTTTAACCAAAAGGATCAAATGAACATATTCTAAATAAAGATCAATTCGACAATTGTTGCAAATTTCCCTCATTCAATGTTAAAAAAATCATAATTTTGATCGAAATTTTGAAAAATTAATTTAAAATTTATATAAGAATCAACTTTTATTAAGAATTTACTTGCGTGGTGGAAGGCCAGCAGCAGCAAGGTGCTCGTTGAGGATCTTGCGCTTCTCTTCGAAGGAGAGCTTCTTTGTCTGTGGCTTCTTTGGAGCGTGCTTCTGCTTCATCTCCTCAGCGTGCTTCTTCTTGTCGGCGATGACTGTAGCAGCTGGGTTCTTGCGGATGGCAGCGTGAGCATCCTTGTAGATCTTCTCAAGGTTGTCAGCTGTGATTCCGGCCTTGACGTAGCGGGAGAACTGCTTGTTGTACTTCTCTTCGGACTCCTTCTTGAGCTTGCGCATGTAGTCAGCGACGGCGCCACCGAGTATGTAGTACTGGTTGCCCTTGACGATCTTTTCAGCTGGGACGTCCTTGCGGTCCTTGCCAGCATCCTTGTCCTTCTTGTCGAACTTGCAGGCGAGGCGGCAGACGTTGTGTGGGATGAAGAGACCACCATCGACGGCACCCTTCATGACGGCGAAGACCTTAGCGCCTGTTGTTGTACGAGCAAGACCAACATCGAGGATGACCTTGAATGGGCGTCTGTTCTCTTCATCGTTGAGGTATTCCTCTGTGATCTCTGTCTTGAAGACATCGGCAAGCTTCATCTGTGTGAGGAAGCGGCGAGCAACAAGAAGACCTGTAGCATAAGCAGCTGGGTAGTTGGAGAGACCAAGCTTGATGCCGTACTTTGGAAGTTCTGTGGAGAGAGCCTGGCAGACTGTCTTATCACCTGTGAGTTCAGCAACAACGATCTGAGCAATGACCTTTGTGTTTGTGATACGAGCGACAAGGCGGTACTTGGCAGCACCATACTTTGTCTTGTCTTGTTGGATGAGCTGAGTACGCTGGACGTAATCAGTCTTAGCCTCACGCCGCCTGCGGAACTTTGTTTGGAAGCGGGAGAAGTAGCCAGCATTCTTGACGAGCTTAGCAGACATCTTGCAAAAAAGGAAGGCCAAAACCTCTCAATTCCTGTCAGTTTACAATTTTCAAGTTTACATGGCAAAAAATAAAAATTGTAGAATCGTCTGTTTGGTGAATTAAATAATGCGCATACAAACAAATGTTTGTTTTATATTAAATTTAGCTGGTTTTAAATTCTCAATGATTCATTTGATGAGTTTGAGGGGCATTTTCAATGACAATTTTGTAAAATCCATGATAACCTATGCAAAAGAAGATGGTTTTATAAGGATTCGCAATCAAAGATCATATTCTTGAATCGTTGTTTTGTATTTTAGTCTTTCCTTTAAGTATTTGGCATAGTAATGTATTTCAAGCATGCGATTAACTCCTTAGAATGAAACGAAGCCAATTTAAATGAAAGAAAAATAAATTCAAGAAAATTATATAAATAATACCGTTTTACTTTATTTTTAGATGTACTTCTTGATGAAGTTCTCGACTTCCTGCTTTGTCTTACGATCTCTAGAGACAAAGCGGCCGGCTTCCTTGCCATCCTTGTAGATAAGGAATGATGGGATGCCGAAGACATCGAGTTCCTGGAATAAAGCAATGTTTGGATCACGCTCAACATGGATGAACTTGAATTGCTTGAATTCATCGATGATAGCTGGCATGTGTGGCTTGATTGCCTTGCAATCGCCGCAGGCTTCACCAGAGAACATCAAAACATAGTTGCCATGAGCGACATGAGCTTCAAGACCAGCCTTGTTCAAACCTGTTGGTAACTCTTCCATAAGGATCAGTGAAGTTAAAAAAATTCAAAGGATAAAAGCAGTTTGACTTCACTTGATAATTTGCGATTTTATTTTTATTCGACCAACTTACAATTGCTTAGCTATCGATTGTTCTCATGTATTCTACATGACAAAACATCAATATGCAATTGCATTCAAATATTGGATGCTATTCAAAAATTGAGGGGTTTTTATATGATGTGTTCTCTGTTTATTGTATATAACTGAGGAAATTACTGGGTAAATATCATTTTTTACATGATTTTTTCAAAATTGTAATCTCAAAACTTTACAATTCACTGACATCGTAAAGAAAATTATATTATTGATGATACACTATAAAAAATATCAAATTTTTCTAAATTGGCTGCCCAAAATTTTCAAAAAAAAATCTCAATAATCTTATCTGAAGTGAAACTCTTAATGGATGAATTTAATATTAAAAGATTCAATCATATCGATCAGATAATAAATTTTTATTGTCAATCAATTTCAAACACGCGCCAGTCAACCGATCATGCAGCTAAACTTGCATGATCGGTTCAAATTAAAGTAATTAAAGGCGATATTGAATGAAATTAATCAGTATTTTCATCAATTGTAAATATATCATCTAATTTAAGCTCTTCTTCATGCTCATTGATGCTCTTATCGAAGTAATTTAATCCGTTACTTGATTCTTTTGATGAAGAAGAATATTTTATTATTTTTTGTATAAAATTCGCATTATCTTCATTTTCTTCAATTGAACTTACTCGGCTTTTGTTGGATTGTACTTTCCTAATAATTAAATAAACGATTCCTAAAATCACGATAATCACAATTAAAGTTGAGATTAATGGCCAAAGGTAACGCTCAACGAAAATTGTGCTTTTTGATTTGCGTGTAGATTCGCCCTGAGGGATATTAGTTACTTGTTCTGTTAGCGATGCTGATTGAAAATGATCTAAAGTTTTGGTATGTAAATTAAAAGGATTGATTTTGTTACCGGTTTGAATTAATGTACCAGTGTAGTATCGTATTTTCACAGCCGGTGTTGCATATAAAGTGAACGGAGTTGGATCTGGAACATATGATGTTTTTCGTTATCAATCTCATTAACTATTGATACATAGCTGTATGATACCTCCATATTTGAATAGCTTGGTACATTTTTGCAAATCTGATTCACATATCCTTCCTCTTTTAATTGATGAATGTTAATATTAATCAACTTAGTTTCTGGATCTTTTTCGACCAAACCGATGCTTCCTTTATCATTTTCTACAATCAAATGATCATTGATTGAGGTCCAATTAATATGACCAAATAAAAGAACATCATGACTAGAACCATTCTGAAAAGTGATTCCATTTTTCGCAAAGTTACCATTGATACAACAATTTTGCGAATCAAATTTGGAAATTAAGTTTTTTGTATTGATAATGCATAACCCTCCACCCCCTCTTCCATGTTCAAGGAGCGGTATTTTGTTTGTATCAAAATTCTTGTTTCCAAGATTAGATGTTGCATTGTTCAACTGTATTGCACAAGAAAATAGCTTGATATATTTCGTTCCTAGTGAGTAGATTGCACCTCCAGAGTTCCCTGCTTTATTGTTGAAAAAGCTTGAATTTTCAAAATAAGAATTTGTACTTTCGGTCATGCAAATAGCTCCTCCCATGCAATATGCTGTATTTCCAAGGTATATGCATCCAATATCATAATTTTCCTGGACTGATTCAGATCCATCGCATTGAAAATATATAGCACCTCCATGTTTGAATGCTGTATTATTTATAAAATTCACACTTGATGATAGCATTGTGCAACTATAGCAACAAATTGCTCCACCAAGTAATCCGTAATTATTTTCGAAATTTATTGGATTTCCTTGATTATTAGATGTAATTGTTATCACTGAGTGATCAAGAAACATGGCTCCACCAGATGTAATTGATAAATATTCTCCAAACGCATTATTGTTTTTGAATTCACACTCTCCTTTGATAGTTATACAACAATAATAGAAATTATGTACTTCAAGCTTATCATTGCTTGTTATTTTAATAATTGAGTTCCACTTGTAATCAGTCTTATATGTCAAATATTGATTGGAAATGAAATTTGGCGCTTGATGTTGTGGGACATTGGATTCCTGGCGACTTTCCCCTAATAGAGATCTTTCGGTTATGAATAGTAATGCTGCTATTGCCATTTTCAGTAAATTGGCTTTTTGAATGACACAAAAACATCAAAATTGAGAAGAATTGTAAGAAAATTGAATAGAGATTTCTGATCTGTTGAATGTTTTTAGGATAAAAGAAATAGTGAATTCTAATGGAATTTGAAAAATCTTTTGAATTCGAACTGTGAGAATTTTATCAGAAGGAAGAACGAAAGTGATGGATTTTTATCATAAGATTTGGAAAATTACCCAAATGTAAGAGCTTCTGTAGCCTAGTGGTTATAGCGTTCGCCTAGTAAGCGGAAGGTCGTGGGTCCGAATCCCACCAGAAGCAATTCTTTTTTTTTTCTTTTCCTATATTTTATTTTACTAAACCGTCCTTCATTATTTCAAATCCCAAAATGGAAATATTTGACCGAAAAACCCATCCCAACGATCAACTAAATGATAGTTTTTTTGCTAACAACCCTAATCTTCGAATTCTTGATCTTTCAAACTCAGATTTGTTATTTTTCCCAATGGGAATTCTCACGCTCAAGAAACTAGAAAAAATAGATATTTCAAATACTAAGGTCACAGTATTACCACCCGAAATCGGCGAGTTAGAATTCTTGAAAGAGTTAGCAATTCAAAATACTCCCCTCCTCGAATCTAAGCCATTTTCTATCTTAAAATCTAAGTCACCATCCGAAGTTGCTGCATTTTTCAAGCGAATTACCCTTAAAGATGAGATTCCAAAGTTTCATTTCGAACCTCATAATCCTCAAGAGAGAGTTTTTTCGATTTTGTCGTGGAATATACTTGCAAGCAAGGTAGCAAGAAGAGATTTCTACCCACTTTCTACCGAAAAATGCATGGCCACTTATTATCGTGACACATTAACTGCCCAAATCGTAGACGAAATACATCCTGATATTATTGCACTCCAAGAGTTCGAGGCTCGACAGGCATCAGATTGGAGCAAGCCATTTATAGAAAATGGCTATTGGGTAACTGTTGCACCAAAAGGCCGCTACTACACAAAGAAGCCAGCTGATCAATTATTTGTCCACGGACAAGCTACATTCGTCAATCTCCATAGATTCGATGTTCTTATTTCTCAATTATTTTATCCTCGCGATTCAAAGTTAGTTTCAGCCGATGATACAGACATCAAAGGATGCGACGATGTTGTCCTCATTACTGCTGTTCGAACTCATTCAAAGCCGTCAAAGAATTACATCATTCTTAACGTCCACATGAAGTTCAACGACGCTGAAGTCAGAAAGAGACTCGCTGAGATCATCATGAAGGAAACTCTCAATTTCGCTCATCAACAATTCAAAGTTTTCGGAATTATTGTTGTTGGCGATTTCAATGACAAAACAAACTCTCCAACTCTTCAGAGGTTTTACGATTTCAAGCTGTCAAACATTTACGACGCATTCCATTCTACAGTCAATACGGCGATTTTCCAGAAAGACGATGCAGCAAGAATCGACCATATCTTGATATCAAAGAATATCAAGGTCAAGTCAATTTTGAGTCAAGATACATATGGCCAATTGGCTGAGGCCCATCCTTTCATTCCTTGCTACGGATTTCCTTCTGATCATCTCCCGATCGGAGCTGTAATTGAAATATAAATCATATAAAATGTATTTGGCTTACAAAAAATGATTTTTTTATTCTTTTGGATTTCCGAAATTTTTCGGAAATTTTATTTTCGTAGTTATGTGTGTGTCCTATAATTCAATATATCCTTTAAATGAGGAATAAAAATATTGAGTTTATAATGTCGAACTCCTATTATTGAAAGATTCTATTTTTGTAAAATTCGGTTTTATAATACATTTGTGGTGTTTTTAATATTTTCATATAAAACAAAAATCAACTCACGATTTAAATTTTGAAAATAATACCATTTTTAACTCAAAAAAATTCTGCAAATCTAAATTTTGATAAAAATTAATTAAAATATTATTCTCATTTTTTCCTAAATGAAATAATCTTAGTTATTTTATAGTTCTTCCATTCATTAGAGAATCCAATTGTGGAAAAGAAGACTTCGGGTAGAAGTTGAAATAAAGAAATTTCAAATTTATAATTTTATTTTCAGTTCTTGCTAAATCCTTTATTTAACTGTGCATACAGAACACATTTAAGACATCAATCTACAAAATTCATTATTAAAATCAAAATCCGTACGTTAGAGCGTAAAAAAATGAGTTTTGATAAGTATTTTGCAGCTACAGAATGTGCTTTTGCAGATGAGCATGATGAGTTCTCAAAGCGAGTTAGGAATATAGGTATGAAATGGGATGAACTCTCATCTACTGACGAAGAAACTTGTAATTTAGTCAAAGAACTTTCGCAACTCAAATTATTACTTCGACGAGGACATCTACAGATTCTTCGAACAAAAGAAGAATGTATCCATATGAAATTAAGAAACGCACAACTTGCATTTCATGTTCGACAATTACAAGCAGAAATTCGACGCTTTTTACCATATACTTCAGTTAAAAACGAGCCATCTACAGAGTACGTATTGTCAATTGATAAAACAGAGATCATTGAAAAAGCAAAAAAGCAAGTTGCTGCAGATGATAAACTCAATCAAGACATATCAGATATTCTCAAGCAATGGCATGAGATAACCGATCTACAGACCAAAGTTTTCAATGAAGAAAGACAAATTCAACAAGCAGATTCACAACAATTTAAAGTTTTTTCTAATGATTATTACAAACAGAATGAGATGACACATAAGCTTCTTGATAAAGTACACTCAGAACTTCTTCATAACTACTTAATGGCCGAAAGAGCAAGTAAATCTTTATTAGCTAATCGACAATCGACCCAGAAAGGAATTGATACAAGAATTACGTCACTCAGCCATGAACTTGAAGGTTTAGGTGATAAACTTGAGAGGAAACTTGCTGAATCCAAAGTTAAAATGGACAAAAAACTTGAAATTAATACAAAGTTGATGAAAGAAGGAATTAAACGCCAGGAAGCTTATAATGCATCAGCAGCTATTGATGCAGCCAAGATGCAGAAGCAATTAAGTGATGATTTATTCTATTTCCAAGACAAAGTAGAAGAATTGAAACGTAAAGAAAAGAAAATTAATAATCAAAAGGAATTTAACTTTGCAGAAGCAGAACAACTTATTTCTAAACTTGAATCAGAGTATAATGCAATTATTTCTGCAGCAGCTGCAGTTCCTTCTCTTGATGCTGAACACCACATTAACTTAATCAATAGCGTTGCTCATGCAGTTAGTGAGCACGTCGATAAATCAAAGAGTTCAAGCATGCTAGATTCACAAGCAAAACAACTTGGAAGCGCAATCAAAAAATCACATAAGAAATAATTTCAATTTATGAATTTTTTCTTTTGTTTTCAGATAAGAATTTAAGAATGAGGTGATTTTTTTTCTTATAAAGTACATGATATCAACAATAACTGCAATAAGAAAATGTTTTAACTTTTTCTTGTTCACAAGAGTACTTTAGAAAATATCATTTTTTTAATGCTATTGCAAAAAGTTCAGATGCTTATGTAGTGAACAATCAAACTTTTTGCTTGTAAATAGATGTTAATGATCTTTATAATTGCATTACAAAATTCCAGATAATACATCCTTATATCATATTGAATTCATTGATTTATTTATAAAAATTTACATCTATCTGTTTTATATTCTCAGTATACAAAAACAAGTTCAAAATTATTCCCAAAACAAATCTTTTATTTATATATGTATAATATAATTTGTCTTAGATTTCGTGTTCTTCTTCTTCTGCTTCAGACATTCTCACAATTTCCATGAAGACTCTTTCGAGAGAAGATGAAGAACATGTGAAATAGTTAAATCCATTTTTGCCTTCAAGGCCTTCTTCCATTCTGAAGAAGAGTTCACCAAGTGCCATTGCTGATGCAGGAACGTTGTAGATTCTGGCAATTGGACGCTTGATTGATAATTCTGCACATGAAAGCTGACTGCTGAAGAACTTATCAACCTTAAGAGCACATTCTGGTGATTCGTTATCCAACTGCATATCGATCTTGTAATCTGTTCCGAACTTGGCAGACAAATACTGAGGAGAACCAACTGTGTAGACATTACCTTTAATCATGATTGAAATGTCATCACACAATGCTTCTGCTTCACTGAGAATATGTGTGCAAAGCATGAATGTCTTCTTTCCTCTGTAGTACTGAATCATTTCATGGACTTGATGTCTTGAGACAGGGTCGAGAGTTGCTGTTGGTTCATCAAGCAAGATGATTTTTGCTCTTCCAAGGAAGCTGAGTGCAATAGCAAGCATTCTCTGATCACCATCACTGAGATCTCTGATTGGTGTATCCTTGATGTTCTCAACATTGAGAAGCTGGATGAGTCTGTCTGAATTCTTCTTTTCATTCTCAGGAGACATCTTGTGGAGGAGAGAGTAGAAATGGAAATGCTCTGCAATTGTCATATAATCACAAAGATGAGTGTTGAACTGTGGGCAAACACTGAGAATGCTGGAGTTACTATCTTCGGTGATATCAACTCCATCAACTTCGATTGTACCTGCAGATGGTGGCAACATAGATGTGATCATGCTCATTAATGTTGTCTTACCTGCACCATTTGCACCTAAGAAACCGAAGAGAGAACCTTTCTTGATACCAAGAGAAACATCATTAACATCAGGAATTGGTTTTCCTTCTGTGTTGAAGAACAGTTTAGAAACGTTGTGAATTCTGACTGCATAATCTGTGCTTGCTTCGACCTGCTTTTCCATTTCTTTTGCTTCTTCAGTAACTGGATGCTTTGCTTTCTCTTGCTTGAAGAACTCCTCATAATTGCCGAAGTTCCTCTTTGCCATCTTCCTCCTGATTGCTTCTCGAGAATATTCAATGATGCAGAGGATGACAGTATAGATGATGATGTTAACATATGAGAAGATGAAATATGGGAATGCATCAGACTTGGAAGTAAAGTAGTGCTTATTTCCATCTTTGTTGTAGAGTGATTCAAGGAATACTTTCTGCATGTAACCTTCAAGCATCAGAGGTGGGAAAAGTGCAAATAGCCAGCCAAGATCAGCAGATGTATCTTCACTTCCAACCATAGTAGCTAAAAGAGGAATCATGAACATGAGTAAGTTGATAATGAACATATTTCTTCCTGCATTATCTGCATTGCTCCACAAAAAGCTCAAGCAATAGATATAGAGCATGAAAGAGAAACCAGAAATGAAGAAAATATAATATGTTATTCCTGGATTTTGTTTGAAAACCTTGATTTGGAAAATAAGGAAGACAATCCAAACCAATGTGATATCGACAATCCATACAATGATATCAAAAAGGTAAGAGATAACCCAATATGGGAGGATTTTGAGTGAGCAAGATACCATGTATGATCTAACCGGGCCTTGGATCTCAAGGATTGGTCTAATGATGATAGTGGAAATGATTGATGTAAGACCCATTGCTATCAACATTGGAGACATCATAGCGAAGAATTGGTCTTGAGTACTTCCTGTGAGGACTGTGTAGATAGCCTTGAAATCAATTCCTTTCTTGATTTTTCTGTCTGTGAACTCCTTGTTCATGGCATCTCTTGTTTCCTGAGGAATCGAGGCAAAATTTTCAGATTCTAATTCAGGAATCTTAGCAAGTGTTGCGAGCTCAATTCTGTATGTGATACACTGACCAATTAAAGAGTTGTTGATTGACTGAAAAGAGTTTTGATCAGCTTCTACTGTATCGTTCCAAATGAAAGAAATATTATTTCCGCCCAATGGATTGAATTCGTCAGGAAGAATGAATCCCATTGCAACGAATAATCCATTATCTCTACATTTGAAAAGAAAATCATTTGCATCAGTCACATTCTTGAACAAATGAATTGTTGGATTGACTCCAATATCTACTTTAACAAGTGATTTAATTGCTTCAATGTATTTCATCTGGAAAGGTTTGTTCGCATAATTGTTTTCATAATCACTTGCAACAACGACCAAATTATCAGCTTTATATGGGTAAGCTGAAAAATCAAATGTTTTGTAAGTGTCCTTGTATACGGCATCCATCAGGTACTTGATTACGATCGCTAAGCATGATACAACTAATGTGACAATAATATTTGAAATAAATGGACCGAATGACCTTTTGATAGATATCCATTTTCTATATATCATGGCTCTGTACTGTGATGCAAAACGATGATAATGTACATCATTTTCAATTTCTTCGTCTAAATTAGGATGCATTTCCATAATACTGGAAGTTCTCCTGGAAATCGTCGAGGATCTTCTTTTTGAACTACTCGCGGTTTCACCTGTATACCATTCGTTTGTAGACATTTTTAGAAATAATGCTTATTTTTATTTTCATAATTCTCATTCAATTTTTTTGTCAACGAGGTTAAAACATATTCAATTTATTGGATTTTTTCCTCTGAAAAATTTTGAAAGAAATTCAAACTGAGCGATTTTCGTTTTTTTAAGCACAAACAGATATTCATCATAAGACGTACCAAAATATATCAAAAATGCTTAATCGTAAAAAAAAGTAGTGATCCAAATTTCCATTGAATTTTTTGAGAGACTTTAATTGAAAATTTTCTTTAATCTAAAATATTAGCGATTTAGACTTAAAATCATTAATGAAGATGTCTAGAGTCTCATCCGACGATGACTTAGAGATAAAGGGTGGCCAATGGTCACAGAGAAATCCAACATTTTATAAGCAATTCAGCTCTCTTCTTAGAAGATCAATGCTTATTAAGATTAGAGATTGGAGCTCAATTGTTGCTGAAGTAATCTCAGTAGTCATCATTGTTTTCATGGTAGTCTTTTGGAGAATGTCCAGATCACCAAATGAAGAAATCAAAAATCCAGCTGTTCAAACAAGCGACGAAATGTTCGGTTCAACAATTGTTGATTACATGAAAGTTTCTGCGCTCGGTGGTGGTGGAAACTTTGCTGCAGCTCCAAATAATGACCATACTAAGAAGATGATCAACGATTATTGGAACAGCAGAACAATATCAATTTATGATTCTACAGGAAAAGTTACAGATGAAGTAAATCTTTCAAAAATGTTCACATATTTATCATCACTCGAAGATTTCCCAGAGAATTTCCAGTCTACAGACAAGTCATCGATTGGAGTTTATCTTGCAAATGCAGATGAAGACGGATACTATAGAAATATGACAACAAATTTATTACATAACAATGATTTTGCAAGCATGTTCACTAGTATGTCAGATATGGCTGCTAATTTTGCTTTTGAAATGACAGGAAAGTCTCTCACAGAAGCTTTCACGGCATATAATGCAAAACTCCAAGCTTACATTGATTCACTTCCAGCTGACAAGGCAGAACTTAAAGAAAACCTTACAAAAGAGCTTCTTACAATTCCAACAGATGGTTATACAAGTCCAAATATTGGTGGGCTAGTCATGTCAAGGCCAAAGACAACAACATCACTTCCACTTAACCTTGCTATGGCTTTCTTTTCATCAATTCCATGCATCATTTCTGCTATGCCTGACTTGTCACTTATCTTAGAAGATAAGGAGTCACATATGATGACATTCATATTCTTAATGGGTGCTAGTGAATCATCCTATTACCTTGTTGCCATTCTCACAACCTTTCTTACATGTATCATTCCATACATCATTATCAGCATTATTTTCTCTGCCTTTGCTGTTATGAAAAGAACAAACTTCCTACTTGTTTTCATCCTTTCAATACTATTTATTATTTCCTATATTCAGTTCCAGAACTTCTTGAGTACTTTCTTTAAGAAGAAAGGAAGTGGTAGAGTTATCACTGTTGTTTTCCTCATTCTCGTTATCTTTTTTGGTTATCTCAATAACCAATTCACAAGGAAGGCTTCTAGTGGAGTTAAACACATATTCTCAATCATTCCATTCGAGGCATGGGAACTTGCAGTTGATGTTATGTTCGAAGAAGTAAGAAATAGCAGACCACCACTCGGCTGGGGAGATGTTGGTAGAAATGATTTATCATATCCTCTCTGGTATGCTTTCTTGTGGTTCATACTCGACACATTTATCTGGGGTGGTTTATTCATCTTATTCAATGCAACAATGGATAGAGGATTCGGAGCACCACCACTCAGATGGACAGATATCTTCCACTTAAACTTCAAAGGCAAGGAAGAAATCAAGCTCGAAGATATTAGTGATAACAAATCTCTCATCAAAGTTGACAACCTCACAAAGATATACCCAACACAGAGGAACAAGAACAAACCAGCTATTGACGATATTTCCTTTGATATTAAGAAGGGTGAAATCATTGTCATGATTGGTCCAAATGGTGCAGGCAAGTCATCAATCATCAATGTCGTTTCTGGCGCACTTCCAGCAACAAAAGGTACAATGTCTCTTGGTAATAAGCCAGCAACAGACAGATTTGGTGGTATTCAGAACTGCCTTGGCATTGTTTTTCAGGATAATGTAATTTACAAACTTCTCAGCATCAGAGAGCATCTTGAGATCTTTGGACGTATCAGAGGTATCGACGAATATACTCTCCAAAACTCAATTGATTTCTTCGCCGACAATCTTCAACTTCGTGAAATGCTTCCAAACCGAGCTGGTGACTTGTCAGGTGGTCAGAAGAGAAAGCTTTGCATTGCTCTTTCACTCCTTGGTAATCCACCAATAATCATGATGGATGAACCAACAGCAGGCGTTGATGTTCAAGCAAGACAACTTATCTGGAAGACAATTTCCACCCTCAAAGAAAGTACATGCATCATCACAACACATGCTCTTGAAGAAGCTGAAGCAGTTTCATCAAGAATGTTCGTTATCTCTGGTGGTAAAGTTCCATTCAGTGGAACATCAACAGAGTTGAGAAGCAAATTCAAATGTGGATATCTTCTCAGACTCGACTGCGAACCAGAGAAAATGAGTAAGATATTAAAGACATGCAAGGAGTTCATCAAGGAAGCGACAATGCTTGAAGAACGTGATGATACAATTTGTGTTCCAGTGAACAAGAACATTGGCAAGCTACTCAAGCATCTCGATGCAAACAAGGAATCTCCTGGAATCGATAAATATTCCTTCTCCGTTGAGCAACTTGAAGATGTACTTCTCAGAATTCTCGAACATAACTAATTTTATAAACTTTATTCTATATTAAATTATCATTATTTTCATTTTTCAAACAACCCATAAAACAAACTTTTCAATACTGACAATATAAGTGAATAATTCCTTTAATTTTTTACAACTTTGTATAATTTTACAAACTTCTGGAAACATGATTTTTTTATTCATATGATATCCTAAAATATCAAAAATCACAAACATTCATCAGCTTTTTCGCTTAACCTATTACGAGGCTCGATTATTTTAATTGTTTTAAAGCGAAAAAAGGAATACATTTCTCGTCAAAGCTTCATTATGGAAGTTGAAGGAGTCTCTGAGAAAATATATAAATTATCAACACCCTTTTGTACCCATATTTTCAATAAGCTTGTAATTCGACAACTGAATTAAGGCAGTACTAGAACTCATCAGACTAAAAAAACTTTTTACATTTTAAAAAATACAAACAAAACAAATTTTTATTTTAAGATATTTTGATATTGGAAAGCAATCCATTTGAGTAACCCAAAGCAATCTATTGTTCAGACGGGTGGAAAGCAGCTTTAGTAACAAATCCATTCTTCAAATTAGGCGAAACCAAAGAAGGCAAAGGATAAAAGTTTCTGTTTGAATCGTACAACTGTAAATTCTGGCAATTTATCAGATACAAAGGATACCAATCACAGGACCAAACATCAGAGACTCCTTCAACTTCCATAATAGAAACTAACTGTGGAGATCTGAAGTCAATTCTAGACAATCCTCCTCCTTTCATATGCACAACAAATTCGTGATTATTCGATTTTGATTGTAGTATTTTCAAAGGAGGTGCAGGAGTGTCTACAACATTTATTGTTTTAGGTGTCCTCAAATCAACCATCCTGAAATCTTCTGTACCTATCGCTAGTGTATTCGCTGAGTAATCCAATGGTTTTATACAATTAATCCACTCCGTTTCGTCACAAACTTTTATTTTGTTTAAAAAAGAACAAGTGTCAAATTTCCATGGAGAAATGATTCCTGGTTCGTAACTTGAGTAGATTGTGTAATCAATGTAAGAATACTCAACAGAAGGAGAAGATTTCGGATTCAGAAATGGAGGAACAACCGAAAAACAGTCAATTACCATTGGAGAGTTGGAATTGAGATCTTTGACAAGGGAAACATCTCCATATGAAGTAATCAACAAACAGGAAGTCTCTTCAAGAGGAATGATCTTTTTGAGAGGATGTGATTTGGCATTTTTGGAAAAGAAGGTATTTGACATATGATACTGCTCTATCTTGTGGGTTTGGATGTTCCTGATAAGAACTGAACCATCAATGTCCCCAAATAAGATTCGATTCGGATCAATAAAAATTGGATCTGCTGCTAAAGGTATTTCGTGGATGTAATGATCGAATTCGACAAACTTTAGCTCTGTATTACTGCCTATTTGGGAGATAATTGTTGGCTGAGGTGCTGGAGGGATAAATGCAGCATGTGATGGAGAAAATCCGTATTTATCAAGCCTGTTGAACTGGACTTTCAGGAAATCTGTGATGGCTCCACTGAACAATGCTGTTAAAATGCCAACATTCGAAACTCCTTCGGGAGAATTCGAAATTAAACTTAAAATTGAGGTCGAAAAGTCCGAAATCTCTTGATATGGATCTTGTGAGAGTATGGATACAAGGTTTATTACGTCTTTGAAAGCTTCACTGAACTCTTTACTGAAGAATTCCTGATTTTCTAATAATTTCTGAGCAAAAATGGCCAATTGCATACGAACAAGCATAGATGCGTCATGTACATAAAGTTCTGTTAAGTGTTTCACTAGTTTTTCTATCTTTTCTGGTGTTTCTTTTTCGAAATCGATCATTGAAGTGATTACAAACAAAGAAGCTGCTCTAATCTCTGCATGTGGTGCTATTCCTGCCTGTTCCAACGGTTCTAAGAGGTGAAATTCTTCAGCCAAAGAATATGGATCTGGAACAACTTCAAGAAACTGGGAAAGATAGAGAAGAGCCCAGAAAGAAATGGTTTTGGATGTTCCTGAAACGGATTTGATGATCTCTGTGAACATTTCAGGGTCAACTTCGTTTCCATTATCTCCATATTCCAAATGCATGCCAAGAGTCATCAGAATTAGGCTCAATAGCAAATATTTCGAATCTCATGTCTTTTTGGCTGCTTCAAATAGTACAGATCTGAGTGGAAGAGCTGAACAAGTAAAAGATCTCAAAATTATGTCACCAATCAATGAGTAACATTGCATTTTTGCTGCACAATATGCAACAGGAAGTATCAGATCGGGATTCTCTCTATAAGGAAGTGACATAATCACAGGCATAATTCCATAACAAATTAATGAGCGAATTGCCATCTCTCCGAGGTCGATATAATTGCATATCGCCATCATACCGCGCAATTGGAGTGACGTTTCGGATAGAATTATTGGTAATAAGGAAATTTCATTTGGAACTGAGTCAAAAACATGTAATTTCAGGATATGTTCGATTGCAGTTATCGCGTCATTCGAAAACGATGAGAAATCAGTGGGAATGGTCGCTTTCGAAATTGAGGGGTTATTTTCAAGTTGGACCAAACGAAGCAAAACTCGGTCTAGGTACAAATCAAAGAACTCCCAGAGCTGGTGATCTGAGAAATTAGGGATTTCCGGATAGCAGAGAGGGTTTATGCCAATATCTCGACTAATTCTTTTGTATAAACAGAAATTAATAAAAATTTGGCCGATTTTCGGATCTCTGTAGAAGCAATTGTATAACATATCTACAGGCATAACTGAATAAGCCATTGCTCTGACTAATACTGTTAATAATCTTTCGATTTCGTATGTAAAGGCTAAAAGATGTGGTTTTACGCCATTTTCTTCGTTGAAATAACTTAGATGGAATTCGTGAGCTCCTCCTGTCATAAAATAGTAAAATTGTCTTGATCCCCATAAAATTGCAACATTTGCTGGTGTAAGAAGGCAAGAAGTGAATAAATCTGAAGGGAGACCAATCTTATGAGGAACTTTTTCTGTTGGACCGCATGAAAAGAATGCAAATCGATCAGATTTTGAATTTGGATCTGAAATTTCATTAAATAAGAGGCCAGAGTAGTCCGAATCGAAGATAAAGCATGAAGGTATCGGCATAGACTCTAGTAATTGCTTTCCTGTGATTGTTTCCGCTCCAGTCGTTTCATCTGGAGTTAAAGCGATTCCTGCTTCTGATATTGGTTTTGGAGAACCATGACCAATGTAAATAAAAAGACATCGCTTACTCTTCGGTATGTTGCTTAGTTCTTTGAATTGAGCTGAAATTCTTGTGGGGGAAGGATCTGAAAGTCTAATAACTGATTCTATACCGTAACGTAGTATATTGTGACAGATTTGGTATGATACAATATCTGATATTGAGGCTGGATCCTTGTTTTTTAAATCATTCCAACAATAATGACGTGAAGATAGCTCTAAACCGGACAAAACCATGTTCTTTTCAAGGTTGTATAATGAAACTGCTACAATACCCGTCGAAAGATCTGTTTTGAAATCACTTGAATCGAAAATTTCCGGAACGACGCTTATCATTGATTTTAGGCTGTGTCTCCATAAGTTAAATGGGTTTTGCGTTTTGTATCCAAAAGATTTCTCTTTTGGATTCGCTGATGCAATCATTTTCGCAAATCAGCTATCTTGGAAAATGACAATATTTTTGTTCAAACTGTCTTGTATTCGGCTATACTAGAGAAATACTCCATACTATTATCATTTGAATGAAATATACAATTTATTTCAAATCAAAATCTCTTTGATTAGTGTCAACGACAGATATTTCATGATATTACTTAGTCGAAAAAATATGTATTCATTGCCAAATATGAGAATACAAAAAATAAATTTGAAATGAGAAAATAATTACAGTATTATTATCATCAATCTTCTAAAATATTACATTGTTAAATATTGATGTAATAGTATTATTGCAATTCGCTTCATTGAATAATCTATTTCGAAATTATATCGAGTTTTTTATGAGTTTGTAAAATGTGTCAAGCTTTAAAGTTTAGACGGAGAAAGAGCTTAATAAAGATAGTTTTTACATTGTGATGAAAACAAAGATGTATGAAAAAGTAATAGATGAAAGAGAATTATAGTTATGATATGCGCAACTTTTGATTTTCCTTTCGATATAGCAATAATCTTTATCACCCATAATAGTAACGTTTTCGCCCATGAATGTCTCCCCTTTGTAATATTTTGTAACGTGAAATGTTGGAATAGTTGTAGTATATTGAAAGTTATTATATCCAACAGGAACGAATGCTGGAGAGCAAATGTAGACATCAGAAAAAGAAGTGGCGTAGAAAATTCGATCATTTGACAAAATAATATTTGATGGAAGGATGAGTAACTTAAGCCTTTTGCAATTTTCAAATGGGCGATATCCTAATGTCGTCGAAATTCCTTCTTCAAAAATAATATTTTGCAATTTAGTTGCTTCTGAAAAACAGTATTCGGACAATTTTCGTACTGATTTGGGAATAAATATTTCTATGATACATGTATTCCAAAAAGTATCTCTAGCGATGTATTCTAAAGTATTTGGAAGTAAAATCGATGTTATTAAGTAACAATTTCGAAATGAATAGCTCGATGTTTGAATCACTTTGTAATATTGGTTACCGTCGAATGCGTTACTTGGAATTTGAACGTGACCAGAGAGAGTAGTCCCATTTGGAACTGCATTTCCATATTCATTGTTAGATGTACCTAATGCGCATACAGTGGCATTGAGTTTTTCAAAAACCAAGTTACCATATGTAAAATTCTCCAAATTATTTAAAACGTTAGTCAAAAAATAAACCCTTTTTTATTTGAGAAAGGACTTTTGATGACAAAAGACATGAAAAATTAACAGTCTGCTGATGAAATGCTTTATTTTTGTATATATCATCAATGAAATCTAGAAAATATGGGTTGGGGGAATGATATTTGAAAAAGAATGAGTTTAATATGATTTAATTTTTACATAGTGACAAAAACAAAAATGTATGAAAAAGATATGGATGAAAGAGAATTATAGTTATGATAGACACAGCTTTTGATATTCATTTCAGTGTAGCAGTAGTCTTTATCATTCATAATAGTGACATTTTTGCCCATGAATGTCTCTCCCTTGTAATACCTTGTTACATGGAAAGTAGGAATATTTACAGTATTTTGAAAGTTAAGATATCCAACAGGAACAAAAGTTGGAGAGCAGACATAGACATCAGAAAGAAAAGTATTGAAAAAATCTTGATTATTTGCCAATATAATATTTGATGGAAGAATAAGCAACTTAAGACTTCTACAATTTTCAAAAGGACGACAACCTATTGTAGCAGAAATTCCTTCCTCAAAAAGAATACTCTGTAATTTAATGGCTTCTGAAAAACCAAATTGATCAATTGTTCTCACAGATTTAGGAATAAATATTTCTGTGATACTTGTGTTCCAAAAAGTATCCATTGCAATTTTTTCCAACGTATTCGGAAGGGAGATAGACGTTATTAAGTAACATGTTCTAAACGAATATGGAGATGTTTGAATTACTTTATAATATCGGCTCCCGTCAAATGCATTACTTGGAATTTGAACGTGACCAGAGAGAGTAGTCCCATTTGGAACTGCATTTCCATATTCATTGTTAGATGTACCTAATGCGCATACAGTGGCATTGATTTTTTCAAAAACCAAGTTATCATATGTAAAATTCTCCAAATATGTAATTTCAGATCAAAAAACAACCACTTTTTGAATTGAACTTTACCATTTGCACTGTATAACTTATAATTATGTGCTTCCCAATGGGAGCCATCGTATTCCTATCGCAATGATTGCTTCCTGTAATTATATCTGGTAAAATTGATGGTTGGAATATTCATTTCATTTGTTTTTTATAAATTATTAGGAAACAAAGATATCTTCAGAAAATAAGATGATATATTTAGAGTCATTATATGAATATTGCAAAATCTTGAACATAGTGGAGTTTATTTAGCAAGAAAAAGATAATGTTACTGAATTAGAAAAATTAATTAATTTTTTTAATATTTTTTTTTAAACAATTTTAATGTTGCCATTTTTAGAGATGTGTCCAATGATGCTGACATCATCATCGTCGTCATGGAATGAAACAAATTCTTCTTTGTCTGAAACACCTTCTGCAATGACATCACCAAGAAGATCAAGTTTGTTGATTGCAAGACATGGAGGATCACCTGGACATGCTTCGTTCTGGATAAGACGAACGTATTTGCATTCGTATTCCTGATCAAAGTTATATGTTTTCTCACGGCATCGACGCATATCGTAATCTTTTTCAACACGATGAACTTCTTTCCATGTTTTGTTGTCGTCTGAGATCTGAAGTGACCATGAATACATGCAGCATTTAGCACAATATCCGTATTCTTCGCAGCAGCATCCTATGTAGCAGCAGCCAGAACGTACAAAATATCCTTTGATTTTTAATTTCTTGTTTTTTAAAGAATAGGAGATGTAAGGGTGTTCATCATAACTTTTTCCGCAATTCGAACACCAATCATAGTCTTTATCCCATGGATAAATTGAGTATTCTGGTTTTGTTACTTGCATTGAGCCATTTATATCTTGCTGAGAAGATCCACTAACATCAATTGAAATAATATTTTCATGGAATACTTTTTTGAATATCCCATCTTTAATCGATTCTCTTAAACTCAGAAATAACAAACAATTCATTTTTATTAAAAAAGTGACATTTATAATTTTTAAAAAATTGATAACCTCGATGCTAGACAATATTTATCATTTTCATTGACATTTGCACCATGTGCATGTTGTAAACAGAAATTCATCAAAAGTGACACCTCAGAAAAGCTAAAATATTGAATTTTTAGAACTTTTGATAGAGCACGTTTTTAAATATTAATTAAAGTAAATGTATATTTTGTAAAGATTCTTTTTAATAAAAAAATAAATTTTTGAAGAAGAACACAAAATCTTCTGAAAAATAATATCACATAAACTCATATTATTTTCTAATATATAACTATTTTATATAAAAATCAAATTCAATGATCTTAAAAGCGAAGGATAAACCTCAAAATTTACGAATATAATGAGTGGGAATATAATGCTTATCTATCATAAAACCATATGAAATATTAATTTTTGCTTTACGCCTAATTTTTGACGACAATTAGCAAAAAATGTTAAATGTTAACACTCAGTCCATTTGAATATGAAAAATAAAATTGACTTTGATTAAATGTTTTGATTTATCATGCAATTCTTCGTGCTAATTCTCGTCAAAAATTAGGCGTAAAGCAAAAATTAATATTTCATATGGTTTTATGATAGATAAGCATTATATTCCCACTCATTATATTCGTAAATTTTGAGGTTTATCCTTCGCTTTTAAGATCATTGAATTTGATTTTTATATAAAATAGTTATATATTAGAAAATAATATGAGTTTATGTGATATTATTTTTCAGAAGATTTCATTCTATATGCCTATGAAAAGTACTCTCAAAACTAACTTTTTCCTAATTATAATTAAATCTAGAATATTGTATTATGCTTGGTATTATTTCATTTTTCTTATTCAATTTAGAATTTACAAATGTCAAAAAATTGAGAGCTGTCACTTTTGATGAATTTCTGTTTACAACATGCAAGAAGAAGTTCGGTCGTTTCTTTATATAAACAACGTGTTGCAGAATTTAGCGCAGTTTTCCCATTATTGTCTATTTCATTAATATTAGCACCATGTGAAAGTAAAAGTTGAACTGTATCTTTATAAGTATAACGAGCTGCAATATGAAGCACAGTTTTTCCATAATTGTCTCTTTCATTAATATTAGCGCCATGTGAAAGTAAAAGTTCAACTGTTTCTTTACTAGAACAACGTGCTGCAATATGAAGAGCGGCTTCTCCATTATTATCCCTTTCATTGATATTTGCGCCATGTGAAAGTAAAAGTTCAATTGTTTCTTTATAATTGTGACGTGCTGCATAATGTAGAGCTGTTTTCCCATCATTGTCTCTTTCATTGATTTTTGCACTATGTAAAAGAAGAAATACAATCATTTCTTTATAATTATAACGGGCTGCATAATGTAAAGCGTTTTCCCCATTATTATCTCTTTCATTAATATTCGCACCATTTGAAATAAGAAGTTCAACTGTATCTTTATAATTATGGTATACTGCATAATGAAGAGCATTTTCCCCATATTTATCTTTTTCGTTTGTATTCGCACCATTTGAAATCAGAAGTTCAACTATATCTTTATAATTATGATATACTGCATATTGAAGTGGGGTTTTCAAATATTTATCCATTATATTGAGATATGCACCATGTGAAATAAGAAGTTCAACTATTTCTTTGCATTTGTTATCTGCTGCACAATGAAGAGCGGTTTTCCCATTAACATTTTTTGCATTGATATTTGCCCCAAGTGAAATACAATATTCGCAAATAGATGGAATATTAAACATGGCTGAATAAAGAAAGCATTCGCTAAAAATGGATCAAGATTCTTAAATTTGACGCAATGGTCTAAATTGATCTCTATATTGTATTCATTCATCAAGAATGTAACAAAATCAATGTTGTGTGAAATAATTGCATATTTCATGCAATCTTTATTTGGTTCTTGATACTTCAAACATTCACTCATAATCTCTTTATTTTTTCCTAAAAATGAAAGTTGAAGACACGTTCGAGTTATTTCTGAGTTAAATTTTGATCTTAACAACTTGAAACAATCAACGGCTCTGTGGTAACAACATAATTCAAGTAATGAATATCCATTATCAGATTATGGATATAATTTGCTTATAAGTTTTTTATCTTTATCAAATCCTTCTCTTTCCGTGAATGAAATAAATTTTTCTTTGTCATTATACATAATTGCTCCATAAATTGAATTTTCTGCATGAATGTCGAGATTCTCCAATTTAATTTTTTTGAATTCATTAGACTTGTGTAATTTAATCCCATATTCATTATAAAACAGGACGTTAGAAACACCCGAAATTTCAAAAACCTCTGTTACATGATATTCATCAGTAAAGAGTTTGGCAAGAGTCAAATATGACTTTGTATAGCGATTGTTAAACAGGATGATGTCTAAAATATCTTTGATTATATTTTGAGGAAGATGTTTCTTTGAGTCAATCAAATTTGTTTTGAGCATTTTGTAAATTGAGTTTAATTCTTCTTCATTTTCAGTTTTTAACTGATACAGCGCATTATATGAATCAATGTAATATTTGTAAATACTTCTCAATTCACTGTATTTTATTTGCCAAATTTATGCAAAAACGGTTTTCAATTTTTCCACTATTAAAGATCGATCGCTTTACAAAATTTATAATAAATTTAAATACATTAATCATATATAAATAAAGACATTACAAAATTTCTATAACTTACCGGTTTTTTATATTCTCTTTCAATTCTATATTGAATAATATGATTCACAGATTAAGACGTAACACATGCATATAATTTTTGATAGTTCTTTTCAATTTTTTAAGAAGTGCAATGATATGAGCAATTCTAAATTAAAGTCAGCTCTCACAAGTTATAAATACATGGAGGAATCTAAGGGCATTCGTTCGTATCTCAATTGATGTACGACGACCCATATTCATATTCACAAATCTTTATTCGTTCATTCATCTTCCTTATATTTATTTATTTTGTGGCAAAGTTAATTCGTTCACAAATAATATCGCTCAAGATTAAATTCAACGGTCCAGGAATAGTCATTTCATTTGTTTTTTATAAATTAGCAGAATCTTTCGTCAACAGGGCTTTTAACTATACTTACAACCAAAGTTCTTACATTAATATGCCGTATTTATTCGCAGCAATGTTCATTTTTTCTTCATGGGAATATTATGCTCAATGTTTTAATATATTTACACTTCTAGGAATGAAGGCTGCAAAAGTATTTCTATGCATCTGTATTTTCTTAAAATATTCGTACTTATTCATAATATTATATCGTTTTGTTTTACAATTCATCAAAGACTTTAATGACACTGTTAGGACCATAAATGATATTATTACAATGATAGAATTTTTTGGAGAGGTCATCAGAGCGGTTCTTTTATATTTTATTGGATTTTTCTTGACATTTCCAAAAGTACAAACAATTTTACCTCCAAAAGTAAGATTTTGGATTAAAATAGCAATATTTATCATGTATTTCGGATTTATAATTGATATATTAATTCAAAATATAGAATCTTCACAGTATTATTCGATACGTGTTCTTGGAAAGATATCACGACACAAATCAATGGTAATCACAGAGGTTTTTAATGTAACTTCTCTTATATTAATTTATGGTCCATTAATGTGTTTTATTTTTCTTCTTTCGATAGGTGGCCAAAGCATAGAGAAAGACAGCGATGATAATGCTTCTGAATTGAATTCAGTAATATTATAATTTGTCCTAAAACTTTTTAAATTTTTTTGAAAAATTGAATTAAAAATAATCATTATTCATTTACGGGCGCGAATATTATACCATATTTTTTAATAAGAAAATTTATATGCGATCACATAATTATAATCTTTTCTTAGAAATCAGATCTAAAAAAATTGGGGGATTATTGAATTTTTTTTTCCAATGGGAAAAGCAATAAATGATATTTATCGACTTGATTCTTATTTAAATTCGACAAGAGGTCATACTTTTATTCGAAAAAACAGCTTCGACGTCCCAATGTTTTACTCTAATATCTTTATTTTGCTTATTCTCTTTATTCCATTCTTCTATTTTATAGTTGATTCTCTCAGATCCCATTCAACACGTTTTAAATCGAGTAACTATCCAGGTATTGGTTTCTGTTTTTCAGTTATCGCTTACAAATTAGGAATTTCAATTTGGATTAATGCATTTAATTACATATATCATGGATATAGCTATGAAATGCTATATTCTATGCTTTCTTTCTTTATGTACATCGGTTGTTGGGATTATTTTTATCAATGTTTTCGAATTTTTACTTTACTTGGATTGAAATTTACGAAATACATAGGATATTTATGTATACTTCTGAAATATTTCTATTTGTTATATACAATCTATACCATTGTATTCATGTATATCGATAAATCCGAACCAATTAAAATTATTGATGATATGTATCAAATATTTGATTATTCTTATTATATATTTGCAGCTATACTTTATATCATTTGTTATTTATTCTTACTTCCAAGTATCGAAAGAATTTTTCCTAAAAAAATCATGAAGAAACTAAAAATTGCAATGATCTTAATGTATCTTGGGTTTTTAAGTGATATTACATTTGATATTATCAGGAAAACAGAAATTTTCATCTTCTATTTTTACTACAAAAAAGATCCTATATCTCATTCATCATATTACTTGATTTTTGAAATTTCAGACATTATATCATTAATTGTAGAATATGTCCCATTACTTATGATGATTTTCATCCTTTCTTCAGGAAGCAAAAATGAAGATACGACCAACAATATGCATGATGCAATGTCTTCTTCACTTCTAGCTCAAATATAAGATTTAACATTATTTTCTTTTCCCCATCTGACTTTAAGAGAGCACATACTTCATGCCAGTTGTCAAAAAATTGAATTAAAGTCAGATGGGCGTAAGTAAAGCTTTAATCCAAGTTTCTTGCAATTTACTTGAACTCTTTAATTTTCTGTCCCAATTTTTAAGATGAAATTATTATGGGCAAAAAAATATTAATCATAATGTAGTACCTGCTATGGCTGTTATATTTTTTTTACTATTAAAAACAAGGATTTGCATATTTTGTGAGATAATGACAGTAAGTAGTATAAGCAGACCATTAAGTTCATTAATATAAAGACAGAATTCTTCTCTAATTCTGAAGGAATATAAATTGCTCGAATACTGAAGACACTCAATAATAATTTTTTTTCTTGTAATTTGCGAATTGAATTTTCCTTAGTAGTTTTCCCACGAAATAAGCCGTGATCATATAATATTCAAAATATATTTGTCACTCTTTGAGAGGAGGGATTTCCATTAAAAAGCGAATATATATTTATTTTGTCAACTGCTTAAACTATCAATAATATTTTCCTTTTTCTTTAAAATATGCATTTAATCCAATTTTTCTCAATTTTTATTCATGCCAAAGAAAAAATCATAAATGTCACCACGGTGTGGTGTCAATGGAAAGTTACAACCGGGTTAAAGTTAGAAGTTCCACTACTCCTTTACAATTATAATCTGTTGCAATTTGAAGAGCTGTTTGTCCATATTTATCTATTTCTTTAATATTTGCACCATGCGAAAGTAGAAGTTTGACTGTTCTTTCAAAGTTATATTCTGCTGCAATGTGGAGAGCTGTTTGTCCAAAATCATTTTTCTCATTGATATTTGCACCATGTGAAAGAGGAAGTTCGGCTATTCTTTCATAGCGACATTGTGCTGCATAGTGAAGAGCTGTTTGTCCAACATTATCTTTTTCATTGACAGTTGCACCATGTGAAAGAAGGTATTCGACAATTTCTATACTTTTATTTTTTGCTGCATAGTGAAGATCTGTTTGTCTAAAATCATCTTTTTCATTAGCATTTGCACCATGTGAAAGAAAAAGTTCGGCTGCTCTTTTAATGTTATATTCTACTGCATAGTGGAGAACTGTTTTTCCAGTGTTATCTTTTTCATTGACAGTTGCACCATGTGAAAGAAGGAGCTCGACCATTTTATACTCTTATTTTTTATTGCATAGTGAAGATCTGTTTGTCTAAAATCATCTTTTTCATTAGAATTTGCACCATGTGAAATCAGAAGTTTAGCTATATCAAAATAATTTTTATCTGTGGCAATATGAAGAGCTGTTTTTCCATGCAAATCCTTTTCATTGACAGTTGCACCATGTGAAAGAAAAAGTTCGGCTGCTCTTTTAATGTTATATTCTACTGCATAATGGAAAACTGTTTTTCCAGCGTTATCTTTTTCATTGACAGTTGCACCATGTGAAAGAAGGAGTTGGACCATTTCTTGACCTGTATTTTTTATTGCAACGTGGAGAGCTGTTTGTCCAAAATCATTTTTCTCATTGATATTTGCACCATGTGAAAGAAGAAGTTCGGCTATTCTTTCATAGCGACATTGTGCTGCATAGTGAAGAGCTGTTTGTCCAACATTATCTTTTTCATTGACAGTTGCACCATGTGAAAGAAGGTATTCGACAATTTCTATACTTTTATTTTTTGCTGCATAGTGAAGATCTGTTTGTCTAAAATCATCTTTTTCATTAGAATTTGCACCATGTGAAATCAGAAGTTTAGCTATATCAAAATAATTTTTATCTGTGGCAATATGAAGAGCTGTTTTTCCATGCAAATCCTTTTTATTGACAGTTGCTCCATATGAGAGTAGGTGTTCAACTATATATTCATTTTTTTCTGTGGCAATATGAAGAATTGTTTGCTCATTTGTATTATATTTTTTGTTGATTTTTGAACAAAATGGAAGAAAATATTCCGAAAGCAAAGGGATATTATAGTTAATTGAATAATATAAGCAAATGTTAGCATTATAAGTTTGATCGAAAAAAACAAAAAATGATTCAAGATTTTTATATTTTCCGCAGTATTCTAAATCAATCTTCAGATTGTATTCATTCATTAAGAATGTAACAAAATCAATGTTATGTGAAATAATTGCGTACTCCATACATTTATCATTTGGTTTTTGAAATTTCAAGCATTCACTCATAATCTCTTGATTTTGTCCTAAAAATGATAACTCAAGACATGCTTGAGTTATTTTTGAGCTAAATTTCGTTCTTAAAAACTTGAAACAATCAACAGCTCCGTGATAACAACATAATTCAAGTAATGAATAACCTTTATCAGAACAAGGATATAATTCGCATTCAAGCATTTGTGTTTCAAAAAAACTTTCACATTCTGTGTGAGCAATAAACCTTTCTAGATCGTTATTCATTATAGCTTTGTAAATTGTGTGTTCTTTAAGAATTTCTGGAATTTTTGTATTTCCATATTCTTTATAAGACTGAAAATTAGATATGTATGGAATATTAGTGAAATCATTTACATGATAATCATCAGATATGAGTTTGGCAAGTTCCAAGTATGACTTTATGTAGCGGTTATTATATGGAATGATGTCTAAAATGTCTATTATAATGTTTTTAGGTGAATATTTCTTTGAGTCAATCAAAATTGTTTTGATCTTTTCGTAAATCGTGTGTAATTCTTTTTCATTTTTCGTTTTTAATTGATACAACGAAATATACAAATTAGTGCAGTCATTACAGATTTGTTGAAATTTACTATATTTATCTTCATGAATGTCATAATCAGACATTAAAATTTTTAAAAGTCACTTTTTTAAAAAATTCCACTAAAAGTCGTATTTTAAAAATTGTATTTTAAAGTCGACTTTTGCATAAAAATTATTTTAACAATGTCACCATGGATTTTTTGAATAACAAAAAAGAAAAGCTCATTTTTAGTTGAAGATTTTTATTGAATTAAATATCGATTTCCATCCAGGAGGAAAATAAGATCAGAATAAATAAGCACAAATTTATTTCATGAAACAAGAAAAGCTTTCATTTAATAAAAATTTATTATATTTTTCTTAATATAAGGAATCAATATATGTGGGATATTTTATATATTTGATGAGAAATAATGAACATACATTTTATTTCTTCATCGATTTTTTTTGCGATATTGAATAATGCTCCGACCAAAACAGATCCAGCAAAACCAGTGAGAATCAATGCTTTTGCATTAATTGTTGGATATTCATCATCTGGCATAGGGTATTGTCGCACTAATTCTTTAATAAATGGAGGTTCTTGTTATGATTCTGGGGCTGACTCTTCATGTACTGGTTCTGGAGCGACAGGAGGCTGTGGTTATGGCTTTGGCTCTTCAAAAGGCTCTGGTTCTTCAACCGGTTCTGGTTTTAGCTCTGATTTTAGTCGTTCTGCTGGTTTTGGATGTTCCTTGTGTCTCTTTGGAATAGCAATTGAAGGAATAATAGCTTTGGCTTCCTCATATAGCTCATCTGGTTCTAAAAGGTTCAATAAGCCGAGCGGTAGCAACCATTGATTGAGGATCATTATCTTCGATACCGTATCTGTAGTAGGTCAAGGAAAAGTCATCATCTTTGTTTGACTTGTGTTCGGAAATTGGAGAATAAAGATCTCCCATACTATGTTTGAAGGCTGTGAACAGCAATACATGGATTCTTTCTCATTTGTTCTTCACCGAGTAAGAGAACATCTAGTAAATAAGGTTCTACAAAGATATTGTTATCGAGAAGGTATGAAGTCTTATCAATGTCATTAGCATCAATTAATTTCTTTGCGTTGTACATGATTATTTATTTTTTCTTGGTTTTCTGGCTTTTCTGAATACTGAATGGACTCAAGTAATGCTGAGTTGAAGTTGATATCAGATTCGCTAGCAACTAGTGATTCAATTCGGTATGGTCAGTTGCCATATCAACTTTGCGTAATTTAAGTGCAACTGTAATGCCATCGATAGTCTGGTCCATGGAATCAGTTGTCTTGTGCATGATCCCATTAACAATTAAGTATTTAGCTCCATTTAACGGGCCTTTATCGTCATTTGAATAATTTGAATACAACATTAGACACTCAGAGTGAATTGAGTTAGCCGCATTAACATAATATTATATTTAGTTTCATTATAGTTTTTTTTCTGATCAAAAAATTTATATTCAATCGTTCTTGATCAGATTTATTCATTACAATGAAAATATGCTACTTTGATTATTATTTAAATGCATCCAAAGGACATACATTTGTTCGCGGATGGATTTTTGATGATGCGTGTTTGTATTCAGAAATATTCATATTATTCATAATTTTTATTCCATTTTTCTATTTTATCATTCGTTCTCTTAGATCTCAATCAATAACCTATAAATCAAATAATTATCCAGGAATTGGATATAGTTTTGCAATTATTGTTTATAAATTAGGGAGATCAATTAATCTAAACGCATTCAATTATTTTTACAATCGTTATAGCTACGATATGCAATATTCTTTATTGTTCTATTTATTTTTCATTGCCTCATGGGATTATCTTTATCAATGCTTTCGGATTTTTAATCTAATCGGATTCAAATTCACAAAATATTTAGGATATTTATGCATATTTTTGAAATATTATTACCTGCTTAATACTATTTATTTTATTGTGATAACATTTCTTATTGATGAGTATGATCCAAAAGATTTTGAAGTGATATTCAAAACCATTGATTATCAGGATATTATAATCGATAGATCATATTATATATATGCAATACTACTTTAGGATTTATGTGGATATGATTTTCGAAAATATTAGAGACTCATTATATTTTTATCTACACATCGATTTCTTGTATCCCTCTTCAAATCTAAAGTATGAAATATTTAAGATAATATCCGTAATAATTCGGTTTGGTCCTTTACTATATATTATTTCTCTTTTAGCAGTTGGAAGATCAAAACGAATTGAATTCGTCTATTTTATATTAATTATTTTATTTTTCTAATAAATTAATTAGCAGAAAGCTGAAATACTTGTCATAATTAAAATATGACAAAAGATAATTCAGTTGCTGTTTTCATTATTTTTTGATGACAAAAGCAACAAAATAAATTGTAAAAAACATCCGATAAACACATAAAAGTACATGTCTAATCTGCTAAATAATTTAAATTACCTCATTCAGATGCATGATTATCTTCTGATTAAATTGAACTCGAATCTAAATCGTGCATACTTTATTGTATCAACACGATCTATAATTATTAAATTTTTGGTAATGTGGGTGAGTTCCACCCAGCCATATTTAAGGTTCAAGAAATATTCATGCACTGATGCTTTTATGTATAGATGCACGAAGAAGGAGGTAAAAACGAAGAAAATGAAGAAAACAAAAGTGAATTGAATTCTGTCATCATATAAAATTTAGTTGCAAATGCCAGTTTATTTAAGTATATTTTTATTATATAAAATTAGATAAAAATTTATTTTTCATGCACTCATTTCGAACTTATAAATAAATTCTTGTTTGTAAATCATAAAATGAATCATATGTTCGTACTTAAGGCCACTTTATTAATTCATTTTTTACGCTTCATATTATCTGAAATTCATCAAAAACAAATGAGTTAGCATAGTATCATGAAATCCGCTAAAAGCCAATGATAATACTTTTTATTAGTCAGAATTTAGTTGTATCGAAGTAGAATTTTGATAAACATATGTCAGAAGATAAACGATACAGACCGTTTGGTCTGAGATAAACAGTAATTATTCAATGAGTAACATAAAATATATTTATTACATTGATTGGTATCTAAAAGAGTCTAGAGGTCATACATTTGTTCATATAAACAATTATGACAACCCATATCTATATTCAGATATCTTCATTTATTTAATAATTTTTATTCCATTTTTCTATTTCATCATTAGATCTCTTAGAATCCAACCAATTTCATTTAACTTAAATAATTATCCCGGTGTTGGTTACTGTTTAGCAATTATTGTTTTTTTATTAGGTAGAGCAATTTATTATAATGCTTTTTATTATCTTTATAATGATCCTTGCTATCAACTACAAGCTGCTTTAGTTTATTTGCTTTATTATATAAGTTCTATGGACTATACATATCGATGTTTTCGAATTTTTACTTTAATCGGATTTAAATTTACAAAATATTTAGGATATTTTAGCTTATTTTTAAAGTATTATATATTAGCTTATTCAATTTAAACTATAATATTAATATTTGTCAATAAATCTTATGAATCACCTGGATTAATTTTTACTATCATGAATTATGTCGGATTTATCAAAAATTATTCATTTCAAATATCCATGGCATTACTTTATATTATTTGTTATTTATTCTTAACGAAAAAAGTACAAAAATTCATTCCACCTACTGTCTTATCAAAAATAAAATTGGGATTCTTCTTTTTGTGTTTGGGATTCTTAATAGAAAGATTAACATCAACAATTAATTCTGAATCATCAATATACATATCTTTCAATACTAGGAATCTAAAAGCATCTTATTTAATAAATGAACTAATACATTTATTATCAGTGATACTTTATACTGTACATCTTTTATTCATAATTTCTATTCTATCAGATGGAGAATTAGATGAAGAAACAGATAATAATCATAAGGAATTAACAGCTTTGATATTATAAAATAATCCTAGATAAAAAGATAATATTACCAAATTTTATACAATTAACAATGACATAAGGGATTCCTTACTTGCTATTATTAGCCAAAAGACAACTTTTTTTTTCACTACTGATTTGATAATTTAAGCATCTAAGACATGGTCTTCAATTCAGATGTTTAAGGTTTTCAATGACGCTTCACGATAGTTGTAATTAAAGTCTAATAGCTGCTTTTACGGGCGTATATTACTCTTATTATACTAATTTTGTATGGATATTTTCCACTTTGCATCAAATTTAAGGGTGTAATCACGCCCCTATGACACGACCTTCAATTCAAATGTTTAAGGTTAATTTTCATTGACGCTTCACGCCAATTATCAGAAATTTGAATTAAAGTCAGATGGTAAAATTCTGTTCTAACAATTTCATTATTTGATCAGTTTTATTTTTAATTTTTGTATTATTATAAGTATTTATCTATATTACCATTACAATCTGATAAAAAATTCTGATAACTTAACTGCCACCTTTTTGATGTATTTTAGATCTGATCAGAATGCCCTCGGTTAAAATCCTGTTTATTTATTATTGGTATTTTTATGTAGAGAAAGTCAATAACCACATATTCATAACTGATTTTCATTTAGATGACCCATATTTATATTCGGACATCTTCATTCTAGCAATTGTCTTTATTCCATTTTTCTATATTATTTTCAATATCTTACTAAATCAAAATATATTAGAAAAGTATCATAATTTTCGAGGAATTGGTCTTATATGAAGCTTAATTGTATATAAATTATCTTTTTCATTTACATATTATGCATTCAATTATATTTACCATACATATGAAGATAGTTATTACAAGGTATATAGAACATTTCAAGTTTTAACTCATATTTCTTTGTGGGATTATTCATATCAATGCTTTCGTGTTTTTAAACTTATTGGAATAAAGTATACAGATTTATTCATTTACTTTTATTTGATACTTAAATACATCTTTTTAATATATCTATTTATCTTGTTTATTGCTGTTTATTTAGAATTCAGGATTTCTATATTGAATTTTTATATTATTACCGAAAGGATTATACATTATTCAGACTTTTTTCTTGGATTCGCAATGTACCTTATCAGTTTAATTTTAATATTGCCAAAATTACATGCTTTTCTTCCACAATTTTTGAAAAAACACATCAAACTACTTGCATTTTTAATGAATTTTGAATTTATTACTGAGAAAATATTCAGTGCCATTCTATGATCAATTGCGTTTGAGATTTACTTCTGGGTTAAAAACGATCATCCAATTTACTATATTATTTGGGAAGTATTTTATGTTTCATCTTTTTTATTTAGATTTCTACCATTATTTATAATTATAATGTTCCTTGCAGTAGAAAAAGACGAATCGGATGTTGAAAAAGAAAGCCTTTCGATTGTTTAAATACTTTCTACATAGATGAAAGAATTATAGTGTTAAATACAAATTCGACTTACTCAATTCAATTATTATGATTCAAAAAGTGAATTGGGAAATTATTTTTCATTATTCTATTGTTAGCTATAAAAAACATTTCATGATCTACTTTCTGTAAGCCAAGCTCTTTCAGAGAAGTTTAATTAACATATCCTCATACACTGTATATCATTTTTTTCCCTTTTGTTGAAGCTATTTCTATTACATATTGTATTTAAAAAATTATTTTGAAAACTTGGTAAGGTAACCCTTACTAGGCAGCTGAGATAAAATATCAAGAAATGATTAACAATTTCCCATCACATATTGTAGACATTAATACTTCATTATTCTACTACAATAAATCAAAAAGGAACTTTGAACTCATAATTTTGAAGTGAATATTCGCAATTTAATACAATAAGGATCAATATTTAATTTATTTATTTAAATGAATTGAAAACGATATCAATTTTTTTTGAAAAAAAATGATTTCCCTTTTTTCTTCATTCTGTTTTGGAATTCAAGTTGATGGGATATTTAAAAAGGTATATTACGATAAAATTATTGCAGTTGATGCTAGCGGATCATCAAAACAGTACATAAACGGAAGTCATCAACTTACTCAACCAGAATATGCCATTTATCCATGGGATAAAAGGTATGATTGGTGTTCGAATTGCGGAAAAAGCTATGATGAACATCCATGGATAACTTTTTCCTTAAATTCAAAGAAAATTAAAATTCGTGGCTACTTTGTCAGATCAGGATGCTGCTATGCGAATAGTTGTTGCTGCGAAGAATACGGATATTGTGCTAAATGCTGCATGTATTCATGGTCACTTCAGATCTCAGACGACAACAAAACATGGAAAGAAGTTCATCGTGTTGAAAAAGATTACGAGATGCGTCGATGCCGTGAGAAAACATACAACTTTGATCAGGAATACGAATGCAAATACGTTCGTCTCATCCAGAACGAAGCATGTCCAGGTGATCCTCCATGTCTTGCAATCAACAAACTTGATCTTCTTGGTGATGTCATTGCAGAAGGTGTTTCAGACAAAGAAGAATTTGTTTCATTCCATGACGACGATGATGATGTCAGCATCATTGGACACATCTCTAAAAATGGCAACATTAAAATTGTTTAAAAAAATATTAAAAAATTTAATTAATTTTTCTCATTCAGTAATTGTATCTTTTGCTTGATATATAAACTCCAACATGTTCAAGATTTTGTAATATTCATATAATGACTATAAATATATCAAATTTCATTCCAAACACTCAATTCATTTAACCAATCTTATTTTTTGTAGAAATCCAACGGCTCCCGATAATATATAAAATGAATATTCCAATCATCAATTTAACCCGAGGAAGGTTTACTTTGGGAAATACATAAGTTAAGTTTATTATATTAAGGAAATTGTAAAGTTCAATTCAATTTTTTTTTGATTTGATTTGAATGTACATATTTGGAGAATTTTACATATGGTAACTTGGTTTTTGAAAAAATCAATGCCACTGTATGCGCATTAGGTACATCTAACAATGAATATGGAAATGCAGTTCCAAATGGTACCATTCTCTCTGGTCACGTTCAAATTCCAAGCAATGCATTCGACGGGAGCCGATATTATAAAGTAATTCAAACATCTCCATATTCGTTTAGATCATGTTACTTAATAACGTCAATATCTCTTCCGAATACATTGGAAAAAATTGCAATGGATACTTTTTGGAACACAAGTATCACAGAAATATTTATTCCTAAATCTGTGAGAACAATTGATCAATTTGGTTTTTCAGAAGCCATTAAATTACAGAGTATTATTTTTGAGGAAGGAATTTCTGCTACAATAAATTTTCGTCCTTTTGAAAATTGTAGAAGTCTTAAGTTGCTCATTCTTCCATCAAATATTAGACTGAGAAATTATCAAGATTTTTACAGAACTTTTCTTTCTGATGTCTATATTTGTTCTCCAACTTTTGTTCCTGTTGGATTTGAAAACTTTCAATATACTGAAAATATTCCAACTTTCCATGTAACAAGGTATTACAAGGGAGAGACATTCATGGGCAAAAATGTCACTATTATGAATGATAAAGACTACTGCTACACTGAAAGAAATATCAAAAGCTGTGTCTATCATAACTATAATTCTCTTTCATCCATATCTTTTTCATACATACTTGTTTTTGCCACTATGTAAAAAATATAGCATATTAAGCTTATTCTTATACTTGGGATTTTTTAAGAGTGAACTTTTATCTTTTTGAGATTCTCTCAATTTTTTGACACATTTTTCTAAGTCTGATCCTCACCTAGGTTTTGTCACTCAGTTTATAAAATGTTAATATTTTTGACAGGAAAAAGTTATTATTAATCACTATTTACTACATAATATAGCTGCTATACTTTTTTGCAATTAAAATTAAGATTTATTGATTTTGTGAGGGGATGTCAAGTAAATGCACAATTGGAAACAATTGATTTGAGACTTTTACTTGACAATATAATACTTTATCAGAGCCTGCAATTGTAAATCCTCATGCTGTATTTAGTTTGACAAATAAGGAATAGCAAGGTAAAAAAAAGCATATTTTTGAAAAGTGTCAAATTTTTTGACAGTTTTTGTTTAGTCTATTTTGACATTTTCATTCTTTGAAATATGGCCAATTATACTTACATCATCATCGTCGTCATGATACGAAACAAAGTTCTCATCTTCATTATCATTTCCTGTTTCAATTTCTCCAATCAAATCTAGTTTGTTTATTGCGATACAAGGTAGTTCTCCTGGGCAGCTTTCATCCTGTATCATTCTAACAAATTTTGCAGAATAAGACTTATCGAAATTATATGTTTTCTGATGGCATCTTTTCATTTCATAATCTTTCTCTACTTTGTGAATTGTTGTCCAAGTTTTATTATCGTCGGAAATCTGTATTGACCATGAATATAGGCAGCATTCTATGCATATAACACTCGACTCACAGCAGCAAAGACTATCATAGCAGCATCCAGATCTAACAAAATATCCTTTGATTTTAAATTTGTTTGATTTCAAGGAAAAAGTAATATATGGATGATCATCATACGATTTTCCACAATTGGAACACCAATCATAAGACTTTTCCCATGGATAAATTGCGTATTCAGGCTTTGTTAATTGTGTTGTTCAGTTAATTCTTTGTGTAGATGATCCAATAGCATCTATAACCACAATATTTTTGTTGTATATCTTTTGGAAAATACCATCATATTCAACACTCAAAGAAAAACATAGAAACAAAAAATTCATTTTAATATGTCACTTTTTTAAAATTTATATCATGATACTGAACAAATAACGAATTGATATTATATTAACATAATGCCTCATGAACTGGTTATTGTAATTTCATGCAAGTAATAGCTCAAATTCATATAAATATGAAAATTATAAAATTAATGTTTAATTTATGCTTCAGCATTCTGATTTGCTGATGAATCAGATTTATTTCCTTTGAAATGTTTGTAAAGGAAGAAGCCACCAACAGCAAGACCTGCAATGAGGATGAGTTCCGCCAATCTCAATATAGAAATCTTTTCCATCTTTGAGCATTGTAACCATTCTAATATCATTGTTGTAGTTATTATCTCCTGTGAGCTGAACATAACTCTCATTATCTTTTGGATCTGAACTTCTGTAAATACGAGCTGAATAAAGTGGTGTATCTTCAACAGTTTTTTCATCTTCGACTGTAAAGTCATGTTCTGTCTTAATAATCTTTGAATTGATCTTGTCAGATGAAGGGAAAACATATAAGCAGTTTCTTGTATCTTTTGGAATCTGAATCTCATTGTCAGAGTATTGAACGATTTTCTTTGAGTTTCCTAGTGTGAAATAGAAATCTTTGTTGATCCCGGAGAAGAATAATTTGTTGTCACATTCCTTATCTTTGTCGTATGACATGATGGCAAATGTGATATCAGATGTGAAATCGGACTGGAATATAATATAGCCCGTTGATTTGAATACGACCGCATAAGGAATATTGAAATTATATTTGCTTCTCATGTTGACTGTGTTGATTCCTGAATGAACTTTGATGTTGACTTTATCGAAGTTTGGTGTATCTAAGAACATTACAACTGAATTCTCTGAGATAATATACTTACGTTCTTTCTTTGATCTCAAGTCGACATTATAAACTCCTGGCTTTTCTGGATCACTAGATATATAGGTTTGAATAATCTCTGTATGGATAGTTTCGCCTACATAATCACTTCCCAATTTTGCATTTGGTACGGAATGCTTCTCAAATCCACTGTTCATGTAATAATATGCTCCAACTGTGTTATTTTCTGGATATTCAAGAGATGTGATCGAAGAAACGCCAACAAAACCTGATGAAAATTCATCTGGAGTAAATTCAATAATAAGATTCTTAGATCTATAGATTAATTCGCTTTCACTTCTCTCAACACGATTAATCAGGTCTTCATAAACTTTATAATGGCATGAAGTATTCAAATTGCACTTAATTTTGATATTTGCAATCTTAGATGTTGCAATGTAAAAACAATGCTCGGCCTGTGAATTTTTTGGATTTATTTCAGCATATGTAGGCATATTAGATACTCCAAAAATAAAGTTCTCATATAGGCAAGGAATATATTGAAGCACGGTAAAATTTGCAGAATTTGTCTTTCCATCAGCTTCAATACTTGCAAATTGATTTCTTTTGCTTATTCGCTTTTTATCAATGTCTTGATAGTTGTGTAATAAAACATATGAATCTCCATATTTCATTTGAAGTTTGGAAAAGTCGATGTCTGTAGCTTTGCCTTCTTCTATTGGGGCTGTGTTATATCCATATTTAGCTTCATACGTTAATGCAGAAGCACGAGATAGTAAGAAAGAAATCATATTCTTTTTGAACGGTTTGTCAGACCTCGTATGATTTATCTCAATTTTTCTTATCAAAATCAATAGTAAACATTAAAAACAAGGTTTTCTTAATACGTTTTCATGGCAGATAATTTTGAATAATTGAATAAAAAATCATCTCAAACTTTTCTCTTCTGAAATTTCAGCCCAAACAAAAACCGAAGGTAATGAAGAATTTATTTTCCGATAAATTTTTGAGTGTGAAATAAATAAAATCGAATTGATAAATACTTGGAGCTAATATATTGATTAATTCTGTTTTTTGCGAGAAAAATTTGGAAGAAAACTTTGAGAGTTCTCAGAAAAATCTATAATTGAATATGTAAGCCACTGAATTATCCCCCATTATTTGGAATATTCCATAACTTAGATAAATGTGTAAATTCATTAAAAATAAATAGACGATTCGCTGTCAGAATTTGTTGGAAAATAAAGTTGAAACTGTAAATATTATATTTATTTTATCTCATTACTTCTATTTTATTATGCCTTTTTTTGACATATAAAATTTAGAATGCCATCACTATTGAAATAATAATTCACTAGTATACGATTATTTTTCATTCAAAATACTTGATATTACAATTTTCAGACACTTTATGGGTCGTTTCACACTTCTGACAAAACATCCGCAAAGTATTAATTTAACTGAATAAATTATGAATATTTATTATTATTTTATGCATAATTTACTTTTAATATGGTAAAAATATACGAGGAAAAATGAATTTGCATATAAAACTTTAATATTTATTATTATTTAAACTAAAACTGTTTGAGGACCACGTGAGGAGGAGTCTGCTTGTTTGCCTTTGATGTGTTTGATAAGGAAGTATCCACCCGCTGCAAGACAGCCAATAAGTATAACTGCAACAATAACACCAACAATCAAGCCAACTGGAGTGCCACCAATCTCGATGTAGAAGTCTTTGCCGCCTTTGGACATAGTAACCATGCGAATGTCGTCATTGTAGTTGCTGTTGCCTGTGATCTTAAGATAGGTTTCACTGTCACTTGAAACTTTGTTCCTGTGGATGTATGCAGCATAAAGTGGTGTATTCTCAACACCTGTTTGATTCTCGACTGTGAAGCCATTCTCAAACAACGTGATGTTAGATTTGATCTTGTCTGATGAAGGGAAAACAAATAAACAGTTAGTGTCGCCTTCTGGAATCTGGAGCTCGTTGTCTGAGTATTGAATGACTTTGCTTGTGTTAGATGGTGTCAAATAGAAATCACGGTTGATTCCTGAGATGAAGAACTTGTTGTCACACTTATATTCTTTATCATACGGGATGATGCAATATGTGATATCTGATGTGAAATCGGACTGGAAGATGATGTATCCTGATGACTTGAAAACAACTGCATAAGGAATGTTGTAATCATACTTACTTCGCATGTTGACTGTGTTGATTCCTGAATGAACTTTGATGTTGACTTTATCGAAGTTTGGTGTATCCAAGAACATAACAACTGAATGTTCTGAAATGTATAACTTCGTTTCCTTCTTTGATCTCAAATCTACATTATGAACACCTGGTTTTTCTGGTTCACCAGTGACAACAGTTGTATATGTAGTAGACCTATCCTCTTGAGGATACTCACTGCCTAACTTTGCACTTGGAACAGAATGCTTTTCGAATCCACTGTTCATGTAATAATATGATCCAACCGTATCATTTTCTGAATAGTCTGGAGCTGTGATCGATGAAATACCAGCAACTCCTGATGAATATTCATCTGGAGTAACTACAAAGATAAGATTCTTCGATCTGTAGTTTAAAACATCTTCTTTCTTATCAATCGGATTCAACATGTCTTCATAGACTTGAATGTGGCACGATGTATTCAAGTTGCACTTGAATCTGATGTCTGCATTCTTAGTTGTGGCAACATAGAAACAATGTCTGTTCAGTGAGTTTCCTGGGTTAATATCAGCGTATATTGGCATGCTTGAAACACCAATAATAAAGTTTTCAAAGACACAACGTAAATCTGGTAAAACTGTGAAGTTTGCAAATTTGGTTCCATTTATTGCACTGATACTAGAAAACTGATTTTTCTTGGATAGTTTTCTTTTATCAATGCCATCAGCGTTGTGTAACAAAACGTAGAAAGAATCTTCGTTTAAAGAGGTAAAATCTATTGCTGTTGGTTCATTGCCGACCAATGGAGCCGAGTTGAATCCAAATTTAGCCTGATATGTTTCACAAATACTGCTAGATAAGAGAAATGAGAACATTTTCTAAAAAATCAGATACAATCAATTTTCTTACATTATTGCACACTCAATTTTTCTGAACATTTTACATCTTTCATATACCGTTTAATTAATGCCAAAATGTATACATTAATATCATCAAATCTTCATGAGCAGATTTATTTGAGATTTGATATTACCATCATCATCCATACCGTTTTTTGAATTAATTTCTTGGAAGAAATTTTTTAAAAGTGACAACTGATTAACAGATTTTGTAAAATGATCATTTACATCACGAAAAAACATTTGATTTCAATAAAAACTGTCAAAAATTCTCGAAAGATTATCAAAATATTCTATGAGATTCTCACAATTTAATTATCACTTATTTTCTGTCAGATTGTTTCATAACTACTTTCAATTTAATTATAAAACTGCATTAGTTTCACATTAATAACTCTATTTTTATATGTTATTACTCAAATATCGTTTTTTTTACACAAATATCAAATTATTCACAACTTATAATGCTTGTATCTTACCAAAAATAGTACTTGACACGAAATCGATTTAAAAAAATATGCAACATTTAATATAAATAAATAAAAAATATATTTAACAAATAACTTTTAACAACTCTATTTAATATACATATAAACGACTCATCCGAAATCATCAGAAATAGCTTTTTCAAGAATGAGTCTCTCATCTATTGTTCTCTGTCTTCGTTTATTACTTAACTGTCTGAAAATAACAATTAAAATTCCTGCAGCAATCAAACAAACTATTGGAACGCAAACGATGATTATTATCTTTTTAGTTTTCTCTTTAGAAGGATCGTAATCAGGGTTCGGTAAAGCAGGACAATTATTAACTTTTTGTGTGATTTTTAATCCGCCAAATTTGCTACTTGAATAATTTTTTGAAGTTTGAATTACATCAACTTTTTTGGCTTTCTCTAAGAAGTTTCCTTGGATTTTGCGATTACCGCAATATTTAATCTGCTGTATTCCTGCATGAGCAAACGCTGTTTCATTAATAGATTCAATGTTATCATAGATATAAATAAAAAGATTCGAATTCGATACAAAATTTGACAAAATAGAAACAGATCCGTTGCAGAAATTAATATTTATCTTATCTAGTTCAACGAGCTTGCTCAATGACGGTAGTTCTTTGATTTTATCAGATTCAAACGTAACTTGTTTGATTTGATGATGTAAACCATTGAAATCTAAAATGTCAAATTTATTTGAATGAAATTCAATGTTTGCCAATAATATATCGTTTTCAAAAGCTGTCTGACTTATTTCATAGTCACCAGACATTTTAATAACAATAGTCTTCAGTGATATGCAGTTAGCAAAACAATAGTTAGAAAGATTTGTCACTTTTTCTGGCAAAACAATTTTTGTCAGAAAATTCAGAAATTTCTTTTAGTGAATTTGACAAAGAAATCTTTTCCAATGACGCACAATCTTTAAAGCAACCTTCTCCTATTTCTGTAACTTTGTTATACATCTGAACAAATCTTAATTCTTTGCAATTATGGAACGCGTAATCTCCAATTATTTTTAGAGAAATTGGTAAAATTAATTGATCAATTTTACAATTCTCGAAACAACCTAAACCTATAAAAATCAAGTTCTCATTCAACTTCAATGTTACAAGATTGCTACAATCCAAAAAGACCATTTCTGGAAGAGATTTGACAAGTTTTGGAATTTGAATTTCAGTAAGATGTTTACACTTATTAAAAGCGAATTCTCCAATTGTTTCTATTGTATCAGGAAGTTCGATTTTAGTGATCATAAAACAATTATCAAACAAATAACTTGAAATTTGTTTTAATTTACTAGGAAATTTGATTTGAGCTAAAACAAAGCATTGAGAGAAACAATTATCGCCTATTTGAACGTTTTCGCCTAAAAATTCTATTGATTTAATTTGTTGAGAATTATAAAATGCAGATTTTCCAATTTTTTGTAATTTTTCTGGAAAAACTAAGTCACTTATACCAACTCCATTAGAAAATGATTCATTTCCGATAGAAATAAGAGTATCAGGGAATTTCGAAAAATTTAAGGCGGAACAAGCTTTAAAAGCGCAATCCCCAATTATACTTAGGCTAGGCGGTAACTCTATAATGTTTAAATTGATGCAATTTTCGAAAGTTGAAGTTTTAATTTCTTTTAATGCAGCAGGTAAAGATATTGTCTTTAAATTGTTACAGTTTGTGAAGCAATATGCTCCAATGACTGTGTTTGGATTCGCAAATGTAATTGTTTGTAGATTCTTGCAAAAGGAGAACGCATTTTCATTGATTATTTCTAATTTTGCGGGGAAATCGAGCTTTGTTAAACCTATACAGTTTTTAAATGCACTTTCTCCTATAATTTGTAATGAATTTGGAAAATTAATGTTTTTTATTTCAGCGCAATTTTCATATTGATTGGGATCTATTGTAGTTATATCGTTTGAAACATCTAATACGTCAGTTTCAGGACATTGAGAGGATATTTGTATTACAAAAAAATGGAATAACATTTTTGATAAAAATTTCTGTCCCGATGTAAAAAATGTAAGATTATTTTCTATTCAAAAAATGAAGAATTTTAAGGTTAAACTTGGATATGAAAAAAGTCACCAAAAATTGAACCTGGTGATATATTTATTCATAAAAGAACAAAAATGTATGAATGTTCAAGAAATGTATTTTTCCTTCTCATAAATCTGAGCATTAGCTATAAATATTTTGAGGGAATTCCTTGTAATGTGAAACTACAAGGAGTTATTTTCCATCAAAATGTAGAGGATAATAATTGGTCAAAAATCTTTAAATATTTATAGCAGATTTATAAACCCATAATAATTTTAATACCTTTAATTGTAATTGTAAACCATTTTTAATCAAAAATTTGAAAATAATATATGATGAGATATTTTAAAAGCAAATTTCACTTATTAATGAATTCCAAACACCAATTCTATTGTTGGATAATATCACAAATATTTATAACATCCATTATTTTGTTTTCCCATATTGATTAGATAATGAGTGTAATCTTCTTCTTCTGTTCCTTCCTCCTCTTCTTCCTCTTCATCATCATTATCATCACTATCATCACTATCATCACTATCATCATCATTATCATCATCTACAAATTCTCTACCAGCTATTGCACCTTTCTCAACTAAATAATTTGCAATTTCATTTGCACCATTTTCATTTGCAATGTCAAGGGGAGAAATTTTTCAGCGCAGTAATCTTCATCTGTATCGATAATTCCCATATTAACATCTGCACCATTTTCAACTAATAATTTGACAATTTCAAGTGACCCATGATTAATTGCAATAGAAAGAGGTGTTTTGAAATCTTTATAATCATAACCACCATGGTAATCACAAATTTTCATATTAACATCTGCACCATGATCAATTAGGTATTGGACCATTTCGATCGAACCATTCTTTATTGCAGCTTTGAGTGGTGTTTTATAATTAAAGTACTCACGAGTCTCCATATTAACATCTGCATCATGTTCGACCAAATATTTGGCAATATCGGTCATGCCATTCTCAATTGCAAGTGTGAGAGGATATTGTCCTGAAAAATCTTCTTTATAATCTGCACCATGTTCAATTAAACATTTGACTAATTCAATTGAATTCTGTTTAAAGGCAAGAATGAGAGTATTGTAAGATTTTGAATAGCAAGCTCCCCATATATACTTCTTTCGAGAGGCCCTTGTGTTAACATTTGCTCCAGACTCAATTAAATATTTTGCAATTTCAGTTTCATTCTTTTTGACAGCAAGAGTAAGAGGAGTATTCTTCTTTTCAATAAAGTTATCTTCACGTGTTTCTCCATTTGTTTCAATTAAGGATGGGCACTCATTAGGGTGATGAAAAAAATCAAGTCTAGCAAAGTCAATATATTAAAAACAGTGAAGACTATTATATAGCATTATAGTGCACAAGCTCAAATATTTAGTGATGCATTTCTCGAACGTATTTTATTTATAAGTTAACCTTGAAACATGAATTTTAGTATATCATGAGCATATTTTTTTCTAATTTTGCAATACTTATAATATCATACCAGGATTCATGTGGAAGTCTAATATTTGGTATATAATATTCTTACAATAAATGTATTAATTCAATTATATTCAAAATGATGGGCCGCAATTTTTACTGAAATTGCAAATTTAATTTAAACAATGAAATTATTGTTTAAAAAAAATAGCACAACAGCAAGATGGACAATCATATATAGAATTATAATGCTCCATATAATGCTTTGATTTGATGCGTATATAATGTTATTTTTCGCACATCTTTGTAAAAAATTGATTTTTGTAATTTTTGAAAAAATTCGATTTTATTTCGAGATTTCCTCTATAGGTGAAGTATATTGAACAATATTCCTATGGGAGAAAATAATTGTAAGTATGAGTACTTTCATTAATACTATGGGTGCCATGGTTATCGCTCAAACGAAAAATAGGGTAGAGCCATATGTCGTCAACACTGTTGAATTTGTGCTATCTGTATTATTGAGCGGCGCTACATTTTGCCAATTAGAATTTCAATTCATGCTGAATAACATCAAAGTTCCGTCAGAAGCTACATTTCATCGAGTCCAAGAAAAGGTTGGTCGTGTTATCATAGAAGTTGCCAGAGAATCTGTTAATTATTGGAAATCTCGAATGAGAAAATGTTCGGGACTTTTGTTTGACGGTTCTTGGAGTCAGAGAAGAAATGTAATGTTTTGCTATGTACAATTTGTAGAAGAGAAACTCAAAAAAATTGTAGATTGGGAAGTGATATCTAAATCTTTTAAAAATTTCAAGGGTAATTTCAACGGAAGATCAAATGAAATGGAATTTGAAGGCTTAAAAAGAATGCTGAAGCGTTGGAATAATGAAAAACGTGTAAATTTTTTTGTGCATGATGGCGATGTCAAAATTGTTTCTACAATCAAAAATACATTCAAAGGTATCAGAGAATACAGAGATCCTGGACATTTTCTTAACAATATACAGAAAAAGCTCAAACTGCCAGAATTCAGAATCTTATCTAGCGTTTCAAAGAATTTATTGCGTTGGCTTAGGCAACTTCTCAATGACACACATATGTCAATTAAAACAAAGAAGTTTTTATGGTTGAATTCCGCTAAACATTATGCCGGAAATCATAAATTTTGTCCAGATCCTGAAAAATGCAAGATGATTAAACCATGGAAATATGCAAAAAATAAAACTGCTATAAAAACACTTAAAAAATTCCTCGAAGATACCGTAAAAATCTTTGATATGGTAAAAAAGATTCATTCAACTCAAGTAGTTGAATCGATAAACCATATCAAAGCAATGCTTGCTAATAAAAATATTAATTGGCATGCTTCTTGGCCAATTAGGATGGCAGTCACAATATTGCATTTCAATGAAAGTATGTTTGAAACGATTGTAGCAATAAGATACAGGTTAAATTTACTAACAATGCCAGAAATGATGAACAGATATTTCAGAATGTATGATACAACAAAAGATTTAATCAAAGCATTCAAAAATTCAAAGCAAGTTCAAAAAAAGTTTGCGGCATTAAGAGCTATAAAGAGAGGTCTTCAAGCTACCGATGATCGTATTACTCTTAAATCACATAAATAATTATTAAATTTATTTCACCCTCAAAACATCATAATCTTGCACCTTCTTTGAATAAACACTTTCACCTTCTATTTTTAATTAATGTTTTTTAATTGTCCAAAATTTTTAGATTATATAAGATATAATTTTTTATAAAAGTATTATTTTCTAAAAGATAAGTATATATTCTTAATCACAAAACCTAGCATTTTATCATATCTATATATCAGCTTCCTAAATATAATACTCATATAGTTAGTATGATTTTAATGTTTTTGAACATGAAACGAAAATATGATTACAATCATATAACATAATGGAGTTATTGATATAACTTATATGGATGATACATTAAGAAGTCTTCCAACAATATAGATATAGTTGTAGATTCCTATGATTCCTTTTATATTGTGAGATAATAACATTTTTATGCTGTCAGGAGCCTATGAGTGCCCATCCTTAAGGTTTTTGAGTAAAAGATCATATTAATATCAGCACCATCTTCTACTAAACGTTTAACATCTTCAATTGAATTTCTTTCGATTGCAAGTGCAAGAGGATGATTAGAATCAACCATTGTTTCAGGCATTCTAAATTAATGAATAACGATAAGAAAAATGACACAAAAATTTTTGTTTTAATTTTAATTGTTAAAGTTTTAGGGTGAATTTGATTGAAATAAGATTCTTATCACTTATTATTTTAAAATAAAAAATTCAAAATTTTTAGAAAAATTTATAGTCGTAACCATTTTCTGTCAGAATATTCAAATCTAAAAAATATAATTAATTGGTCAGGCTACTTTTCCGTGCTATTCGACTATATAAAATAGAATGGACAATTTTGAAAGAGGATGTTTTATTGTCTTCTGGATGGACAATAATAATACCCCATTTTGAAATGTAAAAAAATGCTTTAACAATTTTATAAATATGAGAAATAGAATATCAAAATATCCTATTGTTTAAATATAATTTGTGTTTGATCCAGAAGACAACTCTTTGCTGATCATAGGGAACTTTTCATTTTCTCTGCTCTTAACAATTCTGTAAATGATAAATCCCAAAATTGCAACGACAATAATTCCGCAAGAAAGAGAAATAACAATGATCATAACTTTCTTATTCTTTGGTTGTGGATCTGGAGTAGATGTATAAGAGATTGGTGGAACTGGTGTTTCTGTAATTGGAGAAGGAATTGTGTTTGAAATCTTGATTGCACATGAACTATTGAATTTAACAACAACATCATTTGTGGGTTCTGAAATTGTAAGATAGAAATCAACATCATCTTTATCATTTTCCATTGTTTCTATCTGCACTTTCTTTTCATTTTGTCCTGTCAAGAAACTGACGATTTGATCAATTGGTTTGTAATCCTTTCCTTCAACAGCTGTTCCTGGAAGAGTTTGTAATCTAACAGAGCATTCTCCATCATTTCCGCCACTTCTTAATATCTTGAAATCAATTTTATTTCCTCCTTTGATTGTCAGTTTCTCATTTTCCAATGAGATCATTCCTGTTGCGTTGTTTTCCAACACAGTAAATTTCTTGATTTCACATCTCTTTGAAATCAAAACTAAAACAATAGAATGTGATGAAAGAGAAAGAGAATTTGGCAATTCCAAGTCATCAGAAGTAAATAATAACTGATCTTTTTGTAAATATTCGGAATGAGTATCTATAATTCCAACTTTTTTGTTATCAATAAAAACCAAAATTTCTCCAGTATTTGGAGATTTATTACCAATAATGAAGACTTTTGTTCCATAAAATTGTGCTTCGATGTTTGCACCGACATCACTTGAAACTACAACATCTCCTTTATCTTCCCATGATCCATCGAAATCCATATCTTTTCTATCGATGTCAATCAATCCTTCGATTGGTTTTCCATCATAAATTGTTATTTCCGATATATCATTAAAACCAATCAAAGAACCTTCACTTGGATCAACAACTTGTGCGAAGAAGGTAAGATTTGATGTTATCTCAGGATTCTCAATAGTTTTAACTAATATTAATTTGGTTTTTTCACCATCTTCGAAGTTAAGTTTTTCTAAAACATTGATATAATGTTTTCCATGAACAGCTGTTCCAGGAACTGTTTGGAATGTTACAGAACATTTTCCAGAAGATCCTCCAATTCTATCGACTTGGATCTTCACTTTTCCACCTTTAGCAATTGCGTAATTTGCATTTCTTATCTGGAACATTCCCATTCCTTTGTTATCCAAGTAATAAAATCCATGTAATGCGCAAGCAGTTGATTCTAAAACAAGTTTAATCTCATGGTCACCGTAATCTAAATCAGGACTTGTATAAAGTAATTGACGAAGTTTTCTTTCATCAGCTTTCGTATTAATTACAGTAATTTTGTTTCCATCAATATAAACACCTATTTTTCCATGTCCTGGATCAACAATTCCTACAACATAAACTTTTGATCCTATGAATTTATAACTTACTGATGCTCCAACTTGTCTCGTCCAAATACCTTCATCTTCATTGTTCCAATTTCCTGTTTTATTGAACTTTGCGGCTAAAACTTCTGTCAAACCTTCAGGAATTAAACTCTTCTTCGAGAAAGCTCCGTATCCTTTGTAAACACCGATTCTTTCTATCAAAGGAACATCTTGAGATTTAGTAATAACTAGTTTGATTTTTTGTGATGTGACAGGATGTTGCCAACAAAGATGACGAGTGTTTATTGTTGTTCCATTTTCGAATAAAACCCAATCATTTTTAGATGAATCGAAATAGTACAAAAACCACTCTTCAACTCTTTGTCCTAAATCAATGTGTTCCGAGAAAGAAACAATGTCAAAAGTACGTTTTTGTCCGAGATCAATTTCAATCCAACCTTTTGTAACATTATCGTCCATTGTCCAATATGTCGAAATATTGTCATCAACAGCGTTTTCTGGCTTGAATTGTGGATCATTTCCTCTGAAACTACTTGCTGTCACTTTTACATCTGGTTGATTAGCGAAATTAACTTCGTAAGTCTTTCTAATTGTTTCTCCGAACTCTTCAAGACGTTTGACCATGTTATCTGGAAGAACACCTTCCTTATTTGGAGGAACATTTAATAACAATGGCTGACCATGACCAACGGAATTGAAATAGATATCAGCGAGTTCTTGCATTGACTTCGGAACGCGTCCTTCTGTCCAGAACCAACCTGATGTGATTGATACATCGCATTCGCCGACACTCCAGATATCGCCATCGGGATCACCGTGGAAGTAGTATTCATATTCGCCAAGACCAATTGTATTGCCTCCTCTCATACGTGATAAATTTACTCTTGACCAGCAAAGATTGCCTGCGTAACCACGCTCATTACCAATCCATCTGACTGTGGATCCGTATGGAGAAAATACAACTGAATCTGGTTGTAATTTGTCAATAATATCAAACCATTTCAAGAACCAGTACTTCTGATCTTTTGCCGCTTCACTCTTGGCGCCATCCATCCAAACTTCAACAAATTTACCGTTGTTTCCGTATTTCTTGTTTCCAAGAATCTCTCGAAGTTGATTCATGTAAAATTCATTGTAAAGTTCTTCATTTCCATAGGCAGAATTGTTCATATCCAATGGAGATAAATAAAATCCCATGTTCATGTTGTATTTTGAACAGCTCTTAGATAATTCTTCAATGACATCACCTGATTGACCGCGCTGTTTAGAAGTAGCTTGGAATTTAGCACTACGATTAACATTGTGAACTGTGTAATTGGTTTTCCAAATGCAAAATCCATCATGATGCTTTCCAACAAAAATTAATCTCTTAAATCCAGCTTTTTGAATTGATGTGACCCATTGATCTGTATTTAAATTTGTAGGGTTAAACAAATCTTCGTTTTCGTGTCCGTTTCCCCATTCAACACCAGTATAAGTGTTCATTCCGTAATGGACAAAAGCAGCTAACTCTTCACGTTGATATTGTATTTGAGCATGAGTTCCTTGTGGTCCCCATGGAGCTGGAGGTTTTACACTATTCGTCAGTATAGAGAAGAAAATCATTTGTAAGAAAATAATTTTGAAAGAGTTATAATTTGATTGAGTTAATTCAAAAATTCAATGAACATAAAATCTGATTGTTTAATCTACAATGTTTTGTTCATATTATTAAATTATTTGTGTTATTAATTCAATTCATTCAAATTTGATGGGAACTCTTTTAAATATTTATTCAAGAAAACAGTCCTCTTTAGATTTATTTCAAGTAAAAAAATAATGTCAATTTATTGAAATGACACCATCAAAAATATCGTTTAAACCAACCATTTTGCTTTCATTTTGTTCCATATTAAGTTCTGTCAAAATGTAAGCTATTCAATTCTATCGTCGGGGAAGTATCACAAATCTATCAATTTTTTTGTAAAAGTATACAAAAACATATGGTGTTCAATTAGTTTATAATAATATAAATATTAAGATTATCCAAAATAAGAAAAACTAGGTTTTGAGAACACTTTTGAGATGATAATCAAAATATTTTGATTGAAAAATAATATATTATTTATCAGATATAGAATGGATTTTTTCAAATTTAAAAATTCTGAAAAATAAACAGTTTTGTAAAGTAAAAAAAATGAACGAAAACTCGAGACCTCGTATTCCAAATTAATGGGTAAGATATATGTATGAAAAACTTGAAAATGGTGAGTAAGGATGTCAATTTGGAAGAAAAGTGAGAAAATTTTGATTGTGAACTCATCTCTAATATTTTGGCTCCTTAATATATTTGAAACATGATCTTTGAGAAGAGTTCTCAAAAGTATTCACAAAAGCTATTTTTCCTTGAAATTTAAAAATCCTGTTTATTATATATTACCGAATTCAATTCCCTACATATTTCAAAATATTCTATGAGCATTTCAATTTTTGAAAAAAACATATTTTTTCCAAATATATTTATTATCATATTTCTAATAATATTTCCTAAAGCGTCACTTTTTACTTCCTCGACGATTATTTTCCTCTCAAAAAATTCAATAGCTTACATTTTGACAGAACTTAATATGTAACAATTTTAAAAGATTTAAAAAAAAAAAAAAAAAAAAAAAAAAGGTAGTGGGGCTTCCAGGCACTTCGTGCCTTCTAGCCCTGAGGATGTTTTGTCAAGACTTCTTCGTAAATGTTTTGTCAAGATTTCATCGTAAATGTTTTGTCAAGACTTCTTCGTAAATGTTTTGTCAAGACTTCTTCGTAAATGTTTTGTCAAGACTTCTTCGTAAATGTTTTGTCAAGACTTCTTCGTAAAATCAGACAAAAATATATTTTAGGGTAGAAGGTTAGATATAACCTCTTTTCTAACCTCTTTTCTACCCTCTTGAATTTGTCAAGATTTCTTCGTACATGTTTTGTCACTTTTCTGTCACTTTTCAGGAAAAAACATTTTTATTATATATATAAAATGAATTTTACAAAACCACCGTTACCCTTCTTTGGAAATAAGAGTAGATGTAAAGATATTCTATTGAGAGAACTTAAGAAACTACCGAATGGTCTAACATTTGTAGACTTGTTCGGTGGAAGTTTCTATATATCTCATTTGTGCCATACAATATTTCCTGACTCAAAGATTATATGCAATGACTTCGACAACTATATGAACCGTCTCAAACATATACCAGACACAAACAAAATATTGAAAGAGTTAAAAGAAAAGATACCTATAGGTAAGATGGAACGTATACCATTAGATAAGAAAAATACTGTCAGAGAGGTTTTGAAAAAGGCAGAGTATATTGACTGGGATAGTATATCTGCTAGACTATTATATAGTGGTGCTATAAGAGTTCATGACATTGAAACACTTATGTCAAAAGTTTTATATCTTAACTATACAAATGTTTTCAAAGAGAACATAGAAAAATATATTGAGGGTATAGAGTTTGTGAGATGTCATTGGACAGAGTTGTATGAAAAATATAAAGACAAGGAAAATGTTTTCTTTATAGTGGACCCGCCGTTCTATAACACATGGGATTTTCAATACCAAGTAGACTGGACTTTGAGAGACTCTTTAGAAACTTTAGACGTTTTACATAACCATCCATGCTTTTACTTTACATCCGATAAAAGTGGTTTGGAAAGTGTCATGAGATGGTTAGAGGACATACATGACTATGAGTTTAGATACGATAAGATAGAATATGAGAGAGGTCCTATAAACTGGAGAAAGTGTCATAACAAAGAAATTTTACTAGTAAGTAAATGTGGTTTGAAATAGGACTACTTGTTTTAGGTTTTTTCCATTGTGTCATTTACTTATTTGACGTGGCAGAAAAGATATAGAGAATATGAAGATGAACCAATGCCTGCAAATGTTCAGCATATGTACTCGTAAGAGATATTTTTATCTAATATTAAATGGACGCACAGAACTTAGCGAATGCACAGCAACCTGGACAACCAAACCCAGAGAATATTCCAAATGAAGTTAGAATACAAACTGCAATGGCAAACTATGGTCAAGTGCCAACAGATGTACAAATGCAAACTGCCATGTCAAATGACGCTGCGTTAGGCTTACCACCATGGTATGCAAATATGAGATGGAAAGAGTTTTATACAAACCCTGAAGTGGATATAAACAACTCTATGCAGATGACGCGAACACAGGAGTTGACCCAGAGTATGTTTTCTACCAGAGGAGAAATAGAATGTATGAGCTCCAGTTAAAGAATGCTATGGAACTCAACAGGAAACGTAAGAGACTAGGTGGACATTAGATTTTTACATATAGTAAAATGGGTTTCTTCAGTAGTATTGGAAACTTCTTTCGAAATGTTGGAAGAGGTATATGGAATGGAATAAAAACCGTAGGAAGAGGAATTTGGAACGGAGTCAAAATATTGGTAAAAGAGTAGTCAGTTCGTTGGTATTATACCTAAAGACCCTGAACCAGAAGAACAAGCTCCTGTTATACAACAGCCTGAACCTGCACCACAGTCAAGTTGGCAACCAAATCCAACACCTCAACCGTATTAAAATTATATTTTACCGTTCGATAGTATTGTATATGAAACTAAGTTCTAAGTAAAACGCGTGGTATAATGGAATTATTCTCTTTCTTCCATCTGTAGTAAACCATACTTGAAAGTCTGAAATACTTCCACTTGGTGGTTCGTATAGCTTTGTAGGTTTTTCGTAAAAGTCATTTGCCAAGCATAAAAAAGAGTTTTGTGCACCAGAAAATGAAGCATGAACTATAATAGCATCTGAGTCGAAAACATCTTTAAAATAAATATGGTTCATCTCTTGCATATCGACTGTAAATATTGCTAAAGGAAGTTCGACTTTCTGATTTAACATTCTTTGCAAATAATACCATGACATTGCAGTGAATTCTGTATATATTTGTTCGTCTTTCTTTGGATTGTCTTCGTAGATTTGAAATGACACTTGTGAATTTTGTTTGTCATATACAATTCTCACATAAAGTGTGCTCTCGGTATTTGCATATTCATCAGCATATTTTGCATAACATGAATTTATTTTATCTTCTATATTTTTTAACGCAGTCTGTAGAGAAGATGAAAGGTCAACTTGTATTAGCTCAATTTCTTCCCACATTTTTCGTTTCCCTTCAGATATATAATCTATATGAAACCTTACAATAAATGGAAAACTTTTATCTTCTACAGACACAAACTTCATTCTACGAAAGCCAATAGCTTTTGTGACAGATGGGTCTCTTAGCCATCTTAATGGGTAGTCAAAACGATAGCCTTCATGCTTTACGGTCTCTGTCTCAAACTTTTGACCGACATTCGTAAAAAGTTCATCTAATGGTTTAGTTGTAGCAACTCTTGAATTTTCTTTTTCTATTGAAAGCATATTTTATCTAGAATAAAAATGTCGAAAGAAACAGCGTCTATGAGAGAAATACAACACAACCGACAACTCATTTTGCAAGCTCTAAATAAGAACACAACAAACTTTTCAAACTATTCTAAGATATCTGAGTCATTGAAAGAAGGAAACTTAAAACTGACGATAAACCCAATGACAGATGAGTTTCTGTTTCAAGACAGTAAGAACCATACTGTCTGTGTAAATCCAACAAAAGGAACTTTAAACGAGAAGCCTATAAAAGAACTTCTTTTGAAAGCAGATGTTGACAACAAAGCTGACAAAGAGTATGTCATTGAAAAAGTTCAAGAAGAACATGACAGAGCAGATGCAACATATGCAACGAAAGAACATACTCATCCTGAACTAGCAGACAAAACATATGTTGACAATAAAATGTCAAGTGAAGTGACAAGAGCTGACAAAGAATATTCTAAAAAGACTCATACACATACCATTGCAAATATTACAAACTTACAAGAAACCTTAAACAGGAAAAGTGACGTTGGACATACACATTCTATATCTGAAATAACAGACTTAAACGTTAGCCTTGAAAAGAAAGCTGACAAAACATATGTCAACAGTGAGTTAGAGGAGAAAGTAGATAAGGGACTTATGGCTAGTGTGTTAGTGAAGAAGGCAGATAAGGAATATGTGGATGAAAAAGATGAAGAAATTAAAAAAATGGTTGAATGGTATAATGAACGGACATCGAAGATTTTAGAAGGTAAAGCCAATACAGGGTGGGTTTCAGGATGTTTAGACCTTAAAGCCGACAAAGAAACTGTAGATATGTTGGCACAAACGGTTTCAAGTCATACCAGAGGTTTAATGGAAGATGGACAACAGTTGAAAGAGCTTGAGAAAGGTGTTACAGAGTTAAGGAATACAAAAGCAGACTCGACATGGATAAAAGGATATGTAGATGCAACAAAAGAACGTATTTTCGCATGGACAGAAGGAACATACCCACAAAAATATCATAGACATAGCATCTCTGACGTAAATGAACTTGAAGAAAAGTTATATAAAAAAGCAGACAAAACAGAGCTTCAAACATTAAAAGACAGAAATACTTCAAACAATATATCCTATAGGTTCTATTTACACGTCAATGAACTCTACCAGACCAGAAGTAGTACTTGGTCTCGGAACTT